TGGATAAATAGGACTAGTTCAAAAACATTGGATCAAATCTGAATACACTTGAATCTTAATCTTTTTGAGTCCCGTATCATTTCCATATAGGTTTGTGAGGTCTCGTCCCACTTCCCAAGTTGTTATTTGTTTCATGTTCTTATTCAAAATACTGCTGCATGACTCAGAGTGGTATCGAGTCTATTAGCCTGAGTATTCCAGTTGTTAGAAGGTTTAGCGTAACAACTGAAAGTAACCTAAGGTTTGAACAAATAAGCATTAATTCAACAGAGCTCTGTAATAATTTTTTGGCTGTGGAGGCAGAAACACTACAGTTTTGAATAGTAGCTTATTTAATGTTCACACCCTGAAGCTACAAACTAAATATGAGAAAATATGAGGATAAGATATGAAAGGGTCCATTTTTTTCCCAACGTAAGCAGCACTCCGACCATTTGGTATTTTTGTGACCTTTACATTTGCAGGGGCAAACAGGGGCGAGGTTCATTCACAAGAGGCAGTGCAAAAGAGTTGATATTTCAGTGGGAAATGTGTCTTAGACGTTGCACTGAAAATAGATGCCTCAGACCCACATCTTTTTGTGGCAATAACAATAATCTGATGCCAATCTCAATTTTTTTTACCAAGAGCAAACATAATACTTGATGATGATGGTGAAGCTCTCTCTATGCATTGAACTGTGGTTGTCACGCACCATCTAAAAATATCGTGAGACTGACCCTGACCTCCTTTGTCACTATGTTGTCACCTGACTTCCTCCTTTACTCTCATCATAATAACTACCGCAGCTACAAGGGTTTATTACTTGAAAGTAAACAAATGTTTTGGGTCCTTGCTGAAATGACTAATAATGGTGTTTGTCTTGGCAGACAGTCAAGGTACTTACCTTTCAGACCCTATTCTATTAATACTGGAGGCCACATTTAAATTCAGACCTATTAGGTTGATATGGCCAATTTTTTCTTTTTATGAATTAGTATGAAGTTTAACTAAGTAAATTCAGACAACTGAAATTGACATGACAGTCATTTAGTTAACTGCATTCTTGATTAACATCAGTCACACAACAGAAACACTCCCAGTTTGACTAATTTGTAAACATTGATTCTGAAAGATGCACAAGTCATGTTTTTAAATTAGGACATAGTCCCTGTTTTAAATGGGGTTTGTGCATTTAAACCTTTTTTTGAAAGAGAGTATGACCAGCTTCATCGTATTCATAGGCTAAGTCCATTGCAGCTTGTTTGAGGAGTCAAGAAGTATTTCCAATATCAAACTAAAATTCAACTCGTTCCAGAGGACTTCCACAGAGTTTGCCTATATGTTCTCTCTGAACTAGGGCAGACACTGTTCCCCAACAAAGAGGCTGGTAAATCATGCACCAAGGAGGTCTTGCCATCTGCAACAACTTCCATGATTCCAGATGGGACATCCACGTCTGCTCCCTCTGTGGTAGAGGCAATGCTTGCCCTGCTTGCTTGCACAACCCTACTTTGCAAAATCTAAGTAAGCATTCGACACCCCGTAAAAGATACCGGCATTATCAGTAGCGCTTTAAAATTAATCCTTGTTCCAAACTTCTCTCAACTGGCCCTGAATGCACTGAAGCAAAAGGGAGCCAAATTTAAGAGGACACATGAGTGCCAGTCTGCTTTTGAAGCCCTGAAGACATGTTGGGTCACTACACCCATCCTCGGACAGCCAACAGTTCACCTCCCTTTTGTAGTCTACACTGATGCAAGAGACATTGGTCTTGGCGCCGTGCTAGTCCAGCAGACTGGGCTGGGGACCGAAGAAGTTCTGGCATATGGCAGCAGGAGCCTAAACAAAGCAGAGCGCAACTATTCAGCCACGGAAAAGGAGTGCTTGGCTGTGGTTTGGGCCTTGAAAAGGTCGATATACTACCTATTGATGCTTTGGCCAATGTTCTGCTGGGAAACCTTGGGTCCTGCTATTCATGTGGATGTTACTTTGACATTGTTGCAGACCATGTACACTCTTTCATGGAAATAGTATTCCCTGATGGCAGTGGCCTCTTTCAGCAGGATAATACTCTCTGCCACAAAGCCAAAAATGGTTCAGAAATGGTTTGAGGAACACAATAACGAGTTTAAAGTGTTGATTTGGCCTCCAAATTCCCCAGATCTCAATCTAATCAAGCAGGACAAACAAGGCAGATCCATGGAGGCCCCACCTCAAAACTTACAGGATTTAAAGGATCTGCTGCTACTTCTAGTGGAGTCCATGCCTAGACAGGTCAGGGCTGTTTTGGTGGCAAAAGGGGGACCTACACAATATTAGGCAGGTGGTCATAATGTTATGGCTGATCGGTCTATGAGCACATCATCATGCCTACTTGTACCCCTCTCCATTAAACTTTTGAAAGATATGGACACCATTGCACCTTATCTGCGCAAGATCATAAACATTAATAATAACGATAATTATCTGACAGCTAGTATCACCTGTGGCCTGCCCCAAGGATCAATTCTGGGACCAATTTTATTCTCTTTGTACGTTACCCCCTGTACATATCATTCAGCAACACAATGTCTCATTGTTACTCTGATGATACATAGTTATATCTCTCATTTAAACCACATGAATTGTACAATCTTTTGAACTCTTGTTTATCCAGTGTCAATGACTAGATGGCAGCCAACTTCCTACAATTTAACAGCAGCTTTTAAAACAGAAAATCTAAACTTTGAGCCAGATTGTCATGAATCACAGATACAGTCCTCTCTTGGTTGTCTTGCGACCAATGTAAAGTCTGTGGCAAAAAACCTCAAGGGAACTTTTGATGGCCTCTTATCCTTTGAGCAGCACACAAGAAACATCACCCAAGCTTCTTTTTATCAGTTACGAAACATCTCTAGAAAAAAAACACATGCTCAATTTTTATGACACAGAAAAAGTAATACATGCTTTTAGCGCTTTTATCGTTACTTTTGTCTGTTCATAGATAGATAAGATAGATAATTCCTTTATGTATCCCCCTAAGGAGAAATTCAGGTTGAAACAATAGGGCAAAGCAGCACAAAAACAGAAAACAAAGAATATCACAGTAAAAATATTGCTAATATTATTAATATTAGAAGATATAAAAACTATAAATTAAAGTATATACACTATTTGTTGTTCAAGTAGGACATGGAGTCCAAAATACGAGCAGAAAATTAAACTTGACTAAAACAAAAAAAACTACAACTAAACTAAAACCACCAAACTACTAAAGTGGAAATTTAATATAAATAGTGAAAAAGGTTTGTGCGTTGTAGGTAGGAGTTCTAAACCAGTCTTTATCTGCTGGGGTTGGAGGTACTGGGTGCTGAGGCGTTGTGGAGTCTGATGGCAGATGGTACAAACGAGCCTGCAAACCGCTTTGCGGTAGGGGCTGGGTCAGTCTGTAGCTGAAGATGCTCCTGAGCTGCCTCAGCTCAGCGAGGAGAGGATGAGAGGGGTTGTCCATGATGGCTTTCAGCTTCCCTGGGATGGCGTGTCTGCAGGTCTGCAACGGTGGAATGGATAACGTCACAGGCATGCGCCGCTACTGCCGATGGAGGAATGTAAACAGTGATGACAATAGTGGCCGTAAACTCACAGGCAGATAGTATGGCCTTAACCCTATGGCCAGCAGTTCAATATCAGGTGTGCAGATTTCTGCCTTCTTGACAACATGTCCAGGGTTACACCATATAGAGTTCACAAAGACAGCGAGCCCTCCTCCCGACTTTTTACCGCTCTGTTTCTTCCTGTCTGCCCGAACTAGTGAAAAACCGGCCAGTTCCACTGAACAGTCTGGTGTAATGTCATTCAGCCATGTCTCCGTCAGACAAAATATGCTGCACTCCCGATACTCTCGCTGTCCGTTGACCAGGGCCGAGAGCTCGTCTTGTTGTTCAGCGAGCATACGTTTCCCATGACAACCGAGGGAAGACATGGCTTGTATCTCCACCGCCTCTCTGTCTTCTTGGTCCTCACCAATGTGCCTGCTCTGGTTCCTCTCCTTTGTCTCCTTAACTCCACCGGGATCTCCCTTGGGCATGCGACACGTCAAACCCGATACCGTAGGAAGTCTTCACGTGAATAACATCCGGTGTTTTGTTGTGTGGTGGTTGTTGTGTCCACATTCCTACACATTGTTTATATTAAAAAAAATTAAAAACTAAGTTCAACTACGGCTAAAAAAGTTAAAATTTAACTACCAACACTGGAGGTCTGTTTACAACAATAAACACAGTGCTGTTTAAGAAGAAATAAAGAAGTAGTAAGATTTAAGGCAAAAAAATAAGAGGCGGAGCGGGAGTTGTTGCGTCAAGCTGCCACTCTCTGTGGCACTTCATGGGTGGTTCTTGGCAGGGGCCTGATGGGTTTCTGATTGTGATTTCTTTTTTGTATATGTTTTAATCTGGACAGCACTTTGTGCTCAAGCTTAAAAATGCTTTACAAAAAAAAAAATTAATAATAGTTATCACACTATTTTAGCTAGCATTGGTGCCATCTACTGTCTACAGGTGAGTGTCTGCAGGCAGCACACCTGCCAACACCAGTTTTTATACCCTAAATGGAGTAGGCTAGCTACAGCATGAATCAAAGAACTGCACAGTGTAGTTTTTAATGACCGTAAAAAGTCAGGATTGTTGTATTTACTTACTGTCAGTAAAAATAGACTGCAAAAAAGACCCAGAAACTAGTCATTTTTTTTCAAAACCCAAGAAAACTAGTCCAGTCAAGCACTTTCCTACCCAATCTGGCAACACCGAATTGAAAAATTTTGCAAAGTGTGGTCATTTAGTTTGGGCTGAGAAGTAACATGGTATTGTACTGAGGCATCCAGAAGAAATTGAGAAATGCACATGCACACACAGTGCAGTATGTTCATACATGACGAGATGCAATTTCCCATTCCTGATTGGGCAACAATTATGGTAATGAGATAGATGTGAAGTATAAAGGTTTTTCAAAGTATTACATTTGACCAAAACACCCATCAGCACTACTGCATGAACAATCTTGAGGGTTTAGCAGGTTTGATTTGAAAAAATAATCTTATTTATTTTATATAATATATTGTTTGACTCAAATATATGAATTTATATGTATATTTCTGCTTTGTGTATGTATATATTCTCTATATTTTGAATAAGAAGAATTATATTGAATTGTAAGAATCCTAAAACATGGAATCAGAAGTCACTGTGAACAACACTTTTGTTGGGACTGACATACATCCCTGCTATGAAATAGAGAATTTCAATTACATATTGACAAACAACCCTTCCATTATATGTGTATTATTATATATTTTCCTTGTATTATTGTCTGTAATCACAATATGTGGAAACCTTCTCGTTATAATCTCCATCATTTACTTCAAACAGCTCCATACTCCTACTAATTACCTTATTCTCTCTCTGGCTGTGGCTGACCTGCTTGTTGGGATTATAGTCTTTCCTTTCAGCATGGCATTCTCTCTCAGCTCGTGTTTGTATCATGAGGATTTATTTTGTAAAGTACGAGGCAGTTTTGATATATCACTGAGCACATGTTCCATTCTGAACCTATGTTGTATTTCTATTGACAGATATCATGCTGTGTGTCAGCCTCTGACATACAGAACTAAAATCAACCCTCGTGTTGTTGTGATCATGATCCTGATGAGCTGGAGCGTTTCTATTGCTGTTGCAATTGGCCTTACAATTGTAGGATTAAATTCTGAAAATTGTGAGGGAAAGTGTACTACTGATCTTCAACTTGCAAACATTTTGGGACCTATTTTCTCATTTTACCTCCCAGCAATCATAATGCTCTGTATCTACCTGAAGATTTTCCTTGTTGCACAGAAACAGGCACACAGCATCCAGAACACAAAGTCTGGAGCAACTGTCAGTAAGATGGAAAGAAAGGCCACCAAAACTCTGGCTATTGTTTTGGGAGTTTTTCTTTTATGTTGGACTCCTTTATTTCTTTGCATTTCCATTGTGCCTTTTAGTAATAATTCAGTACCAGTTCCTGTGATTGAAACACTTAACTGGCTTTCACTGTCAAACTCCATGCTTAATCCATTTATTTATGCTTTCTTTTACAGCTGGTTCAGGTCAGCTTTTAGAATGATCATATCTGGAAAAATGTTTCAGGGTGATTTTGCTAACTCAAAATTGCACTGAATTACTCAAGCTTACTGAACCTCAGCATTACATATTGGTAATAGAAATATAACCTTTTGCCTGTCTTTTAGGTCCAAAACTAGTTGAAACTGAAATGCAGGTGCATTATGGGGTAATGCAAGTACATGCAATGCTGCAGATGGCTTAAATGATAAATAGATTGCATTTATTGTGTGCTGGTCTACCAACTACTCAAAACACTTTACAACTTATGCCAACCTTCACCCATTCACTCACTGATGGTAGAACATGCAATGTAAGGTGCCAACCTTCTCATCAGGAGCAATACAGGGATTCCTATCCAGAGTGCCATGGTATAATTCACACAGTGGCTTGCAGGGAAGCCCTATTTTCCAGTGTGCACCACTACTATATATTTTACATGCACGCACATGTATGGAATTGTACAGTCAATATCTGTTACTACTACAGACATAATATAATAATATACATAATATGGTCAATAACATTTCCTAGAGGCTAAATAACAACAACATACGGCTAATGTTTCAGAATCAAAAATACATTCATTTAAAGAAAAAAACTATAAAATAAAAAAATCATGAAATCAACAGGGGGACACAGGCAATGTTTTTCTGCTACTTGAGGTTATAAACTGTCAATATGGCCCTTTTACTTATACTTTTACTCAGTGCTGTAGTCAAGACCATTTTTGTCCAAGACCAGGATTAGTCAGGACCGAGTGAAGTCCAAGTCCAAAGAGGTTTGGAGTCCAAGTCAAGACCGAGTCCAAATGAGAGACAGAGGCAAGACCGAGACAGGTCTTTTTTTTACTAGAAAAAACAAACATATATTGCTAGACTCGGACAAGATCAACTAGAATATTTTGCGGGACCAATAACCAAGTCTAAGACAAGTCCGAGTGCAAATACAAACAATTCCCAGAAATGTCTTGACTCCAGACTTGAGTACTACAGCACAGCCTCTATGACTGTAGCTACAAATATTACTGTTTTAGCTACTATTACTATAAAATGACCTGACAAGAACTAGAGATTAGGCCCATTCTCAAATCTTAAATAGATTAGGGTTAGAGTATTTTTTGAGGGGGCAGGAGACTTTTGGTTTCATGCCCTAGGAAACATATGATCTGTCTACCTGAATGATGATCTCATTTTCAGTACAGTATGTTACTCTGGCATGTAATGTCATCAAAGATCAAAAGTCTCACAGGCTATTGGACAACTACAGAATGTATTCATTATGGTAATTAGAAAGGGGTAGTTAAAAATAAAGTTTGAGCCCAGACGCACAGGCATAGGGAGCACCCATCAACACTGATAGGTAAATTATTTAGAGCATTTGACGTGAACTGAAAATCTTTTTGTTTATAGATCTTATGTTTTAAATAAATAAATAATTCATAGAAAACTGATTTGCAGGAAAAACATGGCACCAGAAGTCAACCGCACTTATGTTTACTTCCATCCCTGTTATGAAATAAATAAAGTGTTCTCACTGACAAGCACCCCTTCCACAGTATGTGTTTTATTATATATCTTCCTTGGTTCATTGTCTGTTGCCACAATATGTGGAAACCTTCTTGTTATAATCACCATCATTTATTTCAAACAGCTCCACACTCCTACCAACTACCTCATCCTGTCTCTGGCTGTGGCTGACCTGCTTGTAGGAGTTGTAGTTTTTCCATTCAGCATGGCATTCTCTGTAACCTCATGTCTGTTTAATGAGAATTTATTTTGTAAAATACGAGACAGCTTTGACATAGCACTGTGCACATCTTCTATTCTGAACCTATGTTGTATTTCCATAGACAGATATTATGCAGTATGTCAGCCTCTGACATACAGAACTAAGATAAATGTTCACATTGTTGTGATCATGATCTTGGTGAGCTGGAGTGTTTCTGTGCTAGTTGCAATTGGTCTTACAATTTTAGAATTAAACTATCAAACATGTGAAGAAAGGTGTATTGATTTTGAACTTTGTCGCCAGCAGCCAGGGCCTCATCCAAAACTGCTCCGGACTTCTGCCCTTCCTCCTGGTTGTCCACTAGACCTATTCCACCCATCGTGTCTGCCACCAGGCTGCGCGGTTCACGCCTGCATTCTTCAGGTCACAGGCCATTTGTCCCTGAGACAATACCATTGTCTTGCTGTCTTGCATTTGGGTCATAGACCAATATCACAGAACACACTCAAACTTACATAAGTCGTATTCTTCGGTTGCTGTGAATACAAATCACAAATCCATCCATGTCAATGGAAGTTGCTCGCTTAGACTCCACACTCAAAACACCCAGGTTACTCAATTTTTCATCATCCATAGTTGATCTTAGGTAACTTTTAATCAGCTTCAGCACTGAAAAGCTCCTTTCACAGGCAGCTGTACTCACAGGTATGGTGACTGCTATTTTACACAACTTAAAGACCTCATGAAACACCTCATGGTGGGGCTCAATGAATTTGGTTAGTTCAACAATGCTAGATGGTTTTTCTAGGCCTGCTTGGCTTTTCCTCTCTAGGATTCTTTTTAGCTGATGTAACTCATATCTCATGTCTTCAGTGTTGCTTCCATAAATAGATGCAAAGGGTAACAGAGCTGCTTCATCACAAAATGTAGCATTTGTAGGATTCAACGCCTGAATGCCCCTCATCACTAGACAGTTTGGTTTAGGAAACTGTCTGTTGACCTCAGTGAGCATATGGTCAAGGACTGTGTAAAATAACCCTGTGCGAAAATTGTCCTTCTTTTGCTCAGGACGCCCACCAAGCTGGCTCATGACAGTATACCCATCAAGCCTTTTGCCTTTTTGAGTATTTTCTTTCTTTTGGGTGCAGGATCAGTCTCAATATTGCACTGCTCAGCTGTATGGACAACTTCTTTCCACAGCTCTTCAAAGTGTGTTTCACCCCTGCAAAAAGAGTTTGTACAAGAGCCTCAACCAAATCAACAGCTAAACTTAAATCCAGATCAGGAGACTGCAGGGCATCAGAGAGGCATCTTGCCTCACCAAAGAGCTTAGTCATTGTAACTAGAAGCCCTACAAACTGGAGGTCCATTTGGGCAAGCAGGCCTCTTGCATCAACTGACCTGTCACTGTTCCTTTCTTCCACTATTTCTTCTAGGGCACTGATAATTGCAGGCAGTCTATCGAGAATGGTTTTACATGCCTTATATTGACAGGCCCACCAAATGTCACTTAACCTTTGCAGCTCCCTTGGTGCTTTTTGAGCCATTTGGTGTGAACATAGGACCCAGACATGAATGTGTAGTCTTTGCACAAGAGAAAAGAAGCACTCTACTTCAGGGATAGCTTTAACCGTGTCCACAAGAACTAGATTAGGGCAGTGGGCATAACAATGTACATAAAAATGCCTGCTTTGCCACTTCCTTAACACAAGCCTGAACTCCAGAGTTCTTGCCGCTCATGACGGATGCTCCACAATAAGCTTGTCCGACCAAATTGTCCCCATATTCCAGCCCGTATCTTTCGAGGATGTGTATTATTTTGTCTGCCAACCCTGCAGCATTAAGATGCTCATCAGCTTCAAAATGCAAAAAGCTCTCTTTTACAGCTCCCCTGTAGTAATACCTAAGAACAAGAGAAATTTGATCTTTCTTTTTTACATCTTTGGTTTCATCTGCCATAAGGGAAAAGACTTGACTCTCTTTGACCTCACTGATAATGGTGGAGCGCACCATTTCTGCTAATGTGTCTAACATTTCATTTTGGATTTGGTGGCTTGTGTATTTGGCATTACCGGTTTTCAATTTCTTTTTCACAACTGTGTCATGATTACCAAGAAGCTCTATAGCAAGGAAGTTTCCCTTGTTGCCTGAATCCACTGTCTCTCTATGACCCATTTGTGCTATGTTTTTTGTTGCAGTTAACAGTAAAACTTCAGCTACACTTTTAATATAGTCACGGTTTTCCTGTTTTTTGTGCTGTTGTGACAATTTAGTCATCAAAGATCGTTTTTTTATTGTGTCTCAAATTTTTTTTAATTGTGTCTCAAAATTTTTCCGGGCTAACATAGCATTGATGTGTGCTTCAGACTTAGCATGGGATGTAAAGCCTCCATCTTTGAACATAGCCTTTTTCCAGTTTTTATAGCCCCTATCAGAAGTGAAAACTGATTCAGTGTTTGGAAGGCCAAAGTTCCTGCAGGCATAACAATAAAAAGCATCCTTGCACTGAGAATATTCGATCCATATATGATGGGAATACCACGAGGCCTGGAAGTTTCTTTGTCTGTCCCCCATGGCAGTCTTTGGAAACACGGCAAGCTGTGGCTGGACTGGACCTTCAGCTCGAGACCTGGAGATGTCTAAAAGAAAAAGAAATATATGAATTTGCAATTATGCTACACAATACATCTATTTGTAATTTGTGAGTGTCTGAATGTAAATCATATACCTGGCGGTCCACTGTGGTCTGGGCATTTCACTGAAAGCCCAACTGCACTGCTGTGCCCTTGATCCGTATGAAGTCTTTCATCCGTCAATTGAGATAAACAAGTTAAAATGATGATACTAATATGTCTTTATCACATCTAAACCACATTTTTGAAAAAAGATTCTTGAAATGTTATCATTTAATGCAAACAGATACAAACAGTAAGCCTGCAGTAACTTGTGGATTGTGGTTGACATCCTGTAACCTACCTTGCAGAGCACACTGTGGGGGATCTACTCCACCATCACTGTCACTATCTGAATTGGCAGGTCGATCATCTGTTGGTAAAGACAGAAAAGTTAAATTGGTCAGCATGCCAGATTTTAAGCTAATTAACTTTTTTCCCCCCACTGATATGGCTTTGAAAATTAAATTGCACATCGGCTGTTGAAGGCAGAATCCTGTTAGTACTTCAGCTAATAAGGCAGGTGGTGTACTGTACCTGTATGTTCACTTCCATGAAGAGCAACAGATGAGCGCTCTCCTTCAATGTCTGACTCTGTCTCATCACTGTCATCCTGCATCTCCTTCTCCACACCACTTTCCCTCCTCTCATTACTCGGCTTACTACACTGACTGACAAAGTAGGAAGTAGTTTTCCTCTTCATTTTGCCTGAGAGGTGCAAAACCAAAATATAGTAGCTTTAACATTATGGGCAAGCATTTCAAAAATATTCCTTTGCAATACTTTGCATATTATCATTTGACTGCCAACTGCCAACAAAACATTTTAATTCCCTTTCAAGGATGTGACACAGACAGACCACCATCATTAAGTCAGCACTGAAAGTTGACTCTACTTTTAATGGCCTTCTACAACGCTCTTTTAAATGACACTGACACAGTGAAACTGTTTATAGCTTGCGACTTTCATACTGCTAAGTTAACAGCCTAAATTAACTTTAACTCTAAAATTAAGCAAACTTTACCATGTCTGTTTCAACTCCAGCACGCCAGCCATAATATACATACATTAAGACAAGAAACATTTCAAACATAGTGACTAAACTTAATTCTGCTTGATAACTTATCTGTGACCTCTTCTCTGTCGGCGGGAAACAGACAGTCCTCCTACTGCACGCGCAAAGTCGCTTGGAGCACACGCGAACAACAACGCTACTTCTTCTTCTTCTGTGATTGTGTGTGTAATTGAGTGTATTACCGCCACCTTCAGTTTGGGTGGAGAAGTACTTGTTGGGGTGTGCTGTTGACATGCGTCCATATGGGAACACCTGTGTACAGAAATGGTTCCGCAAAAAAGTTGCCGGCAAAGCGGTGGTGGGGGGGCCGGGGGGTTGGCCACCCCCTGGCTCCGCCCCTGCTTGTAACTCTAGTTTTGAAAGCCGTTTTAAAAATAAAATAGAACATGAACAGCAGTCTCCTGTGTGACAGTCCTGGGTTAGTTTCACCCATCACCTCCTACAGACACAGACTTTCTCTTACCATGTCACCTGACTCTGATTTCTAAATGGCAAAACTTTATGCTAGACGGAGCATCCACAAATTAAGCTAGAGGGGTAGCAACAAAGTTTGAAGCGTCACTACTACTACTATAACTGTTACTGTAGCTATTAGTATTACTATATAATTACCTGACGGAAACAGGATCAGAGTGGGCCCATTCTCAAATATTAAATAGTTAGGGTTAGGCAATGGTAACTCAGATATTAGCAGCTTTGGTGAAATGAAAGGATTCAAAAAAGGGTTTAAAAAGTTAATCTCATCTTCAGTACAGTATCTTGCTCTGGCACAGAAGATGAATGTATTCATTAAAGTAAATGAGAGAAGGGTTAATAAAAGTCAAGACTGCGCCCAGTCGAACAGGAAAAAGGAACACCCATCATCTCTGATACGTGAACTATGTGTTTAAAAGAAATCAGAGTGGGCCCATTCCCAAATATGACCTTTGGCCAGATAATTGCAGGATTTAACAATGAAACATTTGAAGAAAAGTGTTGTATTGTTTAATTCTTCTATTTTTTTCTTGTTTTACCTCCCAGCGATTATAATGATCTGTAGCTACCTGAAGATTTTCCTTGTTGCACAGAGGCAGGCACGCAGAATCGAGAACACAAAGAGTTTTTCTGACGTTCTGGACTCCTTTCTTTCTCTGTTACCTTTCAGATTTTGAATCATGTGTAAGCGCCAGTTGCTGTGATAGAACTGTTTAAGTGGCTTGCACTGTCAAATTCTATGCTCAACCCTTTTATTTATGTTTTCTTGTACAGCTGGTTCAGATCAGCTTTTATAATGATCACATTGAGAAAGATATTTCAAGGTAATTTAGCGAAAGCAAAACTGCATTGACACATTTTTTGTACTGAAATAGAGACGTTGTGTTTGTCACAGTAGACACTTTAAGGGCTACTTACCAAAGATTTGACTTAAAATCAGTAGTAGGAAACTTAATATTTAGTTGCACTGCCTGACATTTTTTGGGTGGTGAAGTTAGAAATACTGTTAAAAAATGAATTTAAACTCTTTAATGTGATTTAACAAATTAATCTTCTTAAAACACTTTGTTACAGACTAAAAAATATGGATTACATAAATGTATAAAAAAACCTACCTTTTTAGAAGACTTTTTTGTCATTGACCCATGTCTTCCTTTTTCTAAAAGACAAAAAAGTAACCTATGTTGGAGCTAGTTCTCTGGAATAATAGAATAACAGCTGATGTACGAAAATTAAAAATGACTGTGGGCCTGTCTTTCTCTGCCTCTGTTGGTGAAGTTGACTGCTGTGGTGAGTGTTTTTTTTTTAAAATTCTTTGATTTGCCATCAATTTTCCTAAAACTGCCAATATTCAAAATCTATACAGCTGATGTCTTGTCCCAAAAATAATCAGAAGTGACTTAATAGTAGAATGAAAAGTAGTAATAGTAGTACGAAATTTGCATTTTAAACAGTTTGTTGTAATTGTTCTGGTGCTTTGCATTGTGGGACACAGTAGGCAAGTAGACTGATCTGATGCATACTGGAGATTATTCTGAATCAGTAACACATCCAGGTGTTTTTTTACACTCTGGACCTTTAACTATACAGTATGCACAGTTTATATTCCAGAAACAAACATATTAATTTGTTTCCTATCTGTCATAAAGTATTATAGAAACTATAGGTTGTAAAGTCTTGCCAGGGTTAACTTTTGTTGCCAGATGAACCTTTACGACAGAACCCCTCACTGTCAGTGGCTCAGTCAAGCGTGATGGTGAGTGTGATTAGATGGCATAATTTTAGCTATATGTTACTTTTCTGAACTATCAAAGTCCATTGACAACTGTTAATTAGTTGTTATTTTTCTATTGTCCAGATATGTGCACAGTCACATAACACCATGACGTAAATCAAAGAAGATTGAATGATCAGCAAAAAAACAACTAAAAAAAAACCAGAATGTATTCCCTAGACCATAAGGAGGGCTTTTCTCACATTTCTTGTTTGCTCCTTGTTAAATTGGACTCTGTGGTGTATTATGTCATTATTCAGATCATTAAGTGGCCACACATTTGTTTTGCTCTATTAGTTCTGTTATTGCTAGAAAACAATAAGGCCCCAGGTAGAAGAGGTGAGATGATGCAGGCAGGAAATGTGTGTGTGTGTGTGTGTGTGTGTGTGTGTGTGTCTGTGTGTGGGTGTGTGTGCACGTACATGTGTTTGTGCCAAAGGCAGCCCAGGGACCAATAACCACACATTCACACCTCTAATTGAAGACTCTTGAATCACATCATCTAACTGGAGACATAATTATGAAGACATAAGTGAGCCTTTGGATCAACGTGCATTAAACTTTAGATTTAAAAAAAATATGAGATAAAAGCACTTGTATTTTAAACCATGATATTGCTTTTAATACCAATATCAGGAAAAAGAAACATTACATTGATAAAAGTACACACAGGGTAACAAACAGTAAAGCCACAAACTACAGTTATAATTACAAACAAACAAAACAAGAACAGAATAAATTTGTTGTGAAAACTGTCGGAAATTCTTTTCTTTTTAAGGAACCTATTTTATCCGCCGTAGCTTCTCCAGTCTGTTGGAGTTTGAAAACACAAATAATCATTTCGGCAAGTGCCCCACAACAAGTGGCCGTAGTAATAATGACAGGAGCAAAGGAGGAAGTCAGGTGATTTCTGTGCCTACAATGGGCATGTGAGCATCAGAACTGGACCACAGAGCAAGGTGGCCTGGTCTAATGAACCACATTTTCTTTTGCATTTTGTGGATGGCCGGGTGCATGTACGTCGCTTTTTGCTGGATATTCATACTATTAACAGTAGCAGTAAGTTCAGCTGGGTTGTGAAGTAATCACACCACATGCATTTGGCAGTTCCAGAGCTGCAGCATTCATCTGTTTCGTTGCTGCAGAAATCATCTGTTCCTGAGTTGCAGAATTCAGAGGGATTCTGCCTCCGCTGCTGGTCTCTAGAGGGGTACTGTTGGCTTAAACTGCCCCTGTCCTTCGAGATCCCAGTAGAGTTGGCTTCCACGTGCATGGTGTTCACATCGAGAGTATGTCAGCTGCATGGCTTCTGCAGAGCTGTTGCTGCCAGCCATTTAAACTGTAGTGAAATACGTGGATATGACTACCAACAGATCCTTTCATTGAGCTCTTTTGCTGGGAGAAGCTCGAAAAGATAGGTGAGACCTCGATGCTCTAGTGAAGTGTGGCAGCACACACAGCTGAGATGGTGAGACATGCAGTGTGACCGCTCTAATCTGTTAACATAGGCAACGAAATAAAAATCAAGACATTCGGCCAGGCCTGTGAATGAGCCGCAAGAATCTTGTCAGGAACTAACGGTTGACTGGGGGAAAGTCTAGTTGGGAAAGTCTAGTTATGTACATACATTACGGGACACTAATTAACATAATGTGATTTAACATAAGTCCTCTTCATGGGCCCCGACACAATTTACAGAAAAAATTCAGCAGCAAGCCTCAAAAAAACACAAGACGTAGGCCACACATCACTGCGGTGCTGCACAATCTACATTGGTTATCTATCAAATGCACAATTGATTTTTAAATTATTTGATTTACCTTTAAAGAACTACATGGGTTGGAACCACCTTATTTTACTGAAGTAGTGGGTCCTCTGACCTGGGTGAGATCCCTGAGGTCTACTGACCAAGGCCTTCTGGCGGTACTACAATCTAGGCTTAAAACCAAAGATGACTAAGCCTTTACAGTTGTGGCTCTCACCCTCTGAAACCACCTTGCCTCAATTATAAAAAACACAGAGTAAGTTGATAGCTTTAAAAAGCTGCTAAAAACTTAGCTGTTTTGTAAGTACTTTGTCGTGTAATGATTTTTTGCCTTTGTGTAGTTATTATTTATTATTTATTTTTTAATTATGTTATGTATTATTTATTGTTATTTCCTCTTTAAACTTTCTTTTTGCAGCGTACAACACCTTGTGACTCTAGTTTTGAAAGGCGCTTTAAAAATAAAGTTGAACATGAACTGCGGTCTCCTGCGTGAAAGTCTTTTGTTTGTTTCACACATCCCCTCCTCCATACACACACTTTCTTACTCTTACCATGTCACCTGACTCTGACTTCTGAATGGCAAAAAACTTTCTGCTAGATGGAGCATCCAAAAATTATGCTAGAGGGGTACCAACTATGTAGGGCCACTGACCAAGCTACTGTATTTGACGAGTTGCGAGAGAATGGACAGAAACTGTCACTACTACTACTGCTACCAGTGTTACTGTAGCTATTAGTATTACTATAATGACGTAAACAGGATCAGAGTGGGCCCACTCTCAAATATTAAATAGTTAGGGTTAGGCATAAGAAACATCTGGCTGGGAGACTTTTGGTGTCATGTCCAAGATCGTAGTACCTAAATGGTAACTCAGATATTAGCAGCTTTGGTGAAATGAAAGGATTCAAAAAAGGGTTTAAAAAGTTAATCTCATCTTCAGTACAGTATCTTGCTCTGGCACAGAAGATGCATGTATTCATTATAGTAAATGAGAGAAGGGTTAATAAAAGTCAAGACTGCGCCCAGTGGAACAGGAAAAAGGAACACCCATCACCTCTGATACGTGAACTACGTGTTTAAAAGGTAAGACATGAACTGAAACGCTGTATTTTCATCTAGAGAACTAATATTGTAACTCTGCATTCATACAAGGCAAATTGTTTTTGTTGTTGTTGATGTTTTTTTAATATTGTTAATAATTAATAGAAATTTAATTTACAGGAACCCAGAAACATGGCACCAGAAGTCACTGACAACCGTTCCTACATTGACTTCCATCCCTGTTATGAAATAGATAAAGTGTCTTACACACTGACAAGCACCCCTTCCACAGTATGTGTTTTATTATATATCTTCCTTGGCTCATTGTCTGTTGCCACAATATGTGGAAATCTTCTTGTAATAATCTCCATCATTTACTTCAAACAGCTCCACACTCCTACCAACTACATCATCCTGTCTCTGGCTGTGGCTGACCTGCTTGTAGGAGTTGTAGTTTTTCCTTTCAGCATGGCATTCTCTGTAACCTCATGTCTGTACCATCAAGATTTATTTTGTAAAATACGAGATGGCTTTGATGTAATACTGAGCACATCTTCCATTTTGAACTTATGTTGTATTTCCATAGACAGATATTATGCAGTGTGTCGGCCTCTGACATACAGAACTAAGATAAATGATCATGTTGTTGTGATCATGATCTTAATGAGCTGGGGGATAGCTTTTCTAATTGGAATTGGTTTAATAATTGTAGGAATAAACCAAGAACAATGTACTGCAACATGTTTCATCGATGTTGTACTGGCAACCATAATGGGACTTATTTTCTCATTTTACCTTCCAGTGCTTTTAATGCTCTGTATCTACCTGAAGATTTTCCTTGTTGCACAGGGACAGGCACGCAGCATCCAGAACACAAAGTCTGGAGCAACTGTCAGTAAGATGGAGAGAAAGGCCACCAAAACTCTGGCAACTGTTCTGGGAGTTTTTCTGATGTGCTGGACCCCTTTCTTTCTCTGTGCAAACTTGCAGTTTTTGAATCATGTGTCAGTGCCAGTGCCTGTGTATGAAACTTTCATTTGGCTTGCACTATCAAATTCTATGCTCAACCCTTTTATTTATGCTTTCTTTTACAGCTGGTTCAGATCAGCTTTTAAAATGATCATATCAAGAAAGATATTTCAAGGTAATTTTGCTAACTCAAAACTGCATTGACATATTCTTTGTGCTGAATACAACTACTGATAAAATTTGGCAGAGTAAAGATTTTTCTGAAACCTGTACCTCTGTGTCATGTTTTATGGTTTTTTTTGTTATTATTCAATAAAAATTACATATTAACATGAAACATTGACTGAGGCACAAACCTCTGTCTGTTAGTTTGTCAGTTTCTAATTATCAGTCAGTTTCTCATTATAATGAGCTGTCAGTTCATGCAGTCATGTAAATGACTAAAACAAGCAATGTACAATATTCTGATTGTGCTTGGTCTCTAAATGTGTTGGCCCCATTCTGACCAAAAACCCCCCACAAATTTTAGGCAATCACTTTGGGTGTCATCATTTCTACAATGGCCAAGTTGTATTTTAGCATTTAAACATAAGTCTGATTTATTTAATTGTTCTTTAATGGTCCTATTCAAACATGAACATTGTGGATCATGCTGCGATATTATGGATAGTGTTAAAGGGAGCAAAAGGATGAGAATGTAAACTCTCAGATTTCAGTTCTTCTCACCAAATCAACTGAATGTTTCTTACTGAGTTTGGACTGGGATTCTATGGGTCTCGAACATATGTGTGGGAAAATTGCTTGACATTGCCCCCTATTGAGCAGCCCCAATGACACATTTCACATATGAGTATGAAAAGTGGTACACATGTAGATCATATATCAAATTTCCAAAACACACGTCCCAAATGGCAGCATTTTAGAGTTAGTTGTTAGTTTTTCACATCGGTGTGTCAAAATGGCTTGATTGTGCCGCCTACAAAGTTTAAAAAAGCAGACCCAAAGTGCCGTTTCACCAGCATGTATGAAAATCAGTAGAACTATGTATCATGTTAAGATGTACAAAAAAAGCCGTCTCAGCTGCACTGAGGGTGGAGGTTTGGGGTGACCAGAGAGGGATAGGGAGTGGATGAGTCTCTGACAGGTTTGAACTCTGGTTCCAGACCTCCCTTGTGTTGTTATGTTGGAGGCACTACTTCAGCTTTTTCCTGTAACTGACCTTTCCTTTCCTTATCTCCCATCTCAGCTGCCTTTGAACACTCATCAGCTCTTCTTTGTCCCCAAATCTGAAAAGTCTCTTCTTCTCATTAAGCATGGCCTTAAACTCAGAAATCACCCAGGGTTTTTTAATGGAGAAATACCAAACCTTCTTCGTAGGCACAGTGTTCTCTACACAGACATTTATATAGTCTGTGATGCAGTGGGTTAACTGTCAATGTCCTCCCCATGTGGCCCGCGAAGCACTTTCCAGTCTGTGGTGTCAAAACAATTTCTCTGTGCCTCACTGGTCTCCTCATTTTCTCACATACCTTGTGGTTGGGGATTGTTTATTGACCAAAGGTATGTAAACAGGCAGCATATGAACCAGGTTGTGATCTGAGTGACCAATTGGGGGGAGGGGTTAAAGACTGTATGCATCCTTTTTGTTTGCATACAGTATATCTAATGTTTTATTGTCCATGGTGTGGCATTTAACATACTGGGTGAAGGTGGGGAGAGTGGAGAACATGGAAGCATGGTTGAAGTCCCTGGAGATGAGCAGGAGGGACTGTGGGAACGGTGTCTGCAGCTGTAAAACGACAATGTGAAAGAGCTCACAGGCCACTGTAGCATCGTCTGAAAGGGGATGTATGCAGTTATTGCAATAACGTCCCTGCAGTTAATAAGCCCACATGCTAACAGCTAGCAGCTCAATGTCCTTGGTGCAGCGTTGCTCTTTAACACTAATGTACCCAGGATTACACCATCTGTCAGCTAATCTCACCAGTTGCATATCCTTGTTTTCATGCGTAACGATGGAGATAGTGTCGAAAAAAAGTAGGAAAAACGCTAAAAATACACTAAACACACAGAGCTGTGGTAACAGCCTGCCACTCAAAAATACTGCAAGTACACCCTAAGAGTCCTGCCCCACAAGTCTTCTCTCAAGAAGGGACAGCTCTCCAACAGCGACACCTCCATGTTATCGCCAACAGAGATGCACTGTAGTGTTGAGAGTAAACATAATATCAAGTGATGGATTCTAAAACTTCTATTGATGGTTTATGTCTAGGCTTAATTAGTAACCATTGTGCCTGCGAGGGATGCTCTAGGCTAATCAACCCTTAGCCTATAATGATTTTGTTCAAATGTCATCATTTATTAGACTATATGAGTTTTTGCTGCCTCTAACCTACAATCTGACAGTGCCCAAGCAAAACAAGACTAAGCCATGCTATTAGCTCTGAGAGGTTGTAAATGGACTTTTTTAGTCTTCTAGACCACTTAAAGCGCTTTTACACTACGTGTCACATTCACCCTTCACCCTTTCACGCATCATACAGAAACCTTGAACTCACTTATTCACATTCACAACCGATGACACAGCCCAGAATCAATTTGGGGTTAAGTATCCTGCTCAAGGATACTTCGACATGCGACAAGCAGGGGATCGAACCAGTAACCTTCCGATTACTGGATATACTCGCTCTACCTTTGAGCCACAGCCGCTCCACTGTGCTGACAATAACATTTAGCTCAAAGTACCACTGTGCCTAACAAGCGCACAATAACAATGCTAGCATGCTGATATTTAGCAGGTATACTGTTCACCATTTTCCCTGATTTTAGGTATTTAATCATAAACCAAAGTATTAGACCTGTTGAAGACAACAGAAGAAAAGTTAAGGGATAGTTGGACATTTAAATCAAAAACACAAATTTGGACCTCATGGTGGTGCGATAGGAAACTAATTAAATTCAACACCTAGGTACCATGAATGTTTGTACAAAAGTTTGTGCCAACTATCAAATAGATGTTCAGATATTTCTCAGAATGAGTAAAACAACTGATCTGCTGGTGGGACTAGAGGAAAGCTTATCAGATCAGCAAAGTCATTTGGATTCATCCACTGGGCACCAAGTTTTGTCAAGCCATTCAATTGTTTATAGGAATCACGCTCAAAACAAAAAAGGTCAGCATCATGTTGGCACAAGAGGAAGGGATCACAAAAGCTTTGGATTTTTTAAAGTTTGTTGTAACGTCATTCTCATCATTTAAGTTCACAGTGTTAAAGTGGTGGTCTGACTGACATTGCCAACATTGCCATTGCTATTTTTACTGGAATACTACATACTGTAGTGTAGTATTAATTGGACCAGCTAGTAGTGTTACTATAATGACATTAAGTCTTTTTATTATTGTTTTAACCACAAAAACTGTGCTTAATGCACAATTTTTTCAGGTCAGCCATTTTTTAAGTATTTGAGGATTTCCTCAGGCAGGGAGGTTTTGGTTCCTGTACCAAGTTCACGATTATTTGTTTTGTATTGCGTTTATACATACATTTATACATAACTCTTAGCACAACATTCTTGATAAGATCAAAATTAACACAAACATACACACATACACACACACACACACACACACACAGTCAGCACATTGTTACCTTTTCTGTTGCTATGGCATCTCACAGGATGCATTATGCTACCTCTGATTGGACAAGGGAGCTTTGTACTTATTACAGTGGTATGAATTAATAACATTAAGTCTGTCCTGAAGAGCTCCACAGTAATCAAGGACATTAATCAGTACTGATGTGTAGACGATCTAGAGAGTTTAATAGGTATGGTATGAAAACATAACAAGACGTAGGAACACTGAACATAATATTCTGTTATAAACAGAACTGAACATTTTTAAATATAGTTTTTCATACTGTATGTATGGTTAACTGAATTGCAAGCACGCATGAGCATAGAAATGGAAATCAGCATCAACAGGACTGATGTTCTTACTGACATACATCCTTGCTATAAAATAGATGTCTCTTACGTACTGACAAGGAGCACTTCTGCAAAATGTGTATTGTTTCATATTTTCCTTGGTTTATTATCTGTCGTCACGGTATGCGGAAACCTTCTTGTAATAATCTCCATCATTTACTTCAAACAGCTCCACACTTCTACCAACTACCTCATCCTTTCACTGGCTGTGGCTGACCTGCTTGTAGGAGTTGTAGTCTTTCCTCTCACTATGGAATTCTCTATAAGCTCATGTCTGTACTATGATGACTTATTTTGCAAAATACGGGGCACATTTGATGTATCATTGTGTACATCTTCTATTCTGAACTTGTGTTGTATTTCTATAGACAGATATTATGCAGTGTGTCAGCCTCTGACATACAGAACTAAGATAAATGATCATGTTGTTGTGATCATGATCTTAATGAGCTGGGGGATAGCTTTTCTAATTGGAATTGGTTTAATAATTGTAGGAATAAACCAAGAACAATGTACTGCAACATGTTTCATCGATGTTGTACTGGCAACCCTAATGGGACTTATTTTCTCATTTTACCTTCCAGTGCTTTTAATGCTCTGTATCTACCTGAAGATTTTCCTTGTTGCACAGGGACAGGCACGCAGCATCCAGAACACAAAGTCTGGAGCAACTGTCAGTAAGATGGAGAGAAAGGCCACCAAAACTCTGGCTATTGTGATGGGAATTTTTTTGATATGTTGGTTACCTTTCTTTCTTTTTACCACCATTATGTCGTTTAGCCATGTTTACGTACCACTTGCTTTGATTGAATTACTTAATTGGCTTGCACTGTCAAATTCAATGCTCAATCCATTTATATATGCGTTCTTTTACAGCTGGTTCAGATCAGCTTTCAGAATTATTATTTCTGGAAAAATAATTCAAAGTGATTTAACTAACTCAAAGCTGCTCTGATTCACTGTTTGGTTAATATTCCATAGATGTGTCTATAACTATAATGAATAGCACATTCACACACAAATATGTATATATAGACATGCAATACTATACACTTTGCTACATCAGGGAGAAAATGTAAAAACACAATGATGAAAACATCTTTTGAGAGCCAAGGATCTTACGACATTATTTTCAATTTTTAAACAATAATGAAAAAAGTGAATTGCTGCATATTAATTACCAGTACAACATTGCACACAAAAGAAGAAAAGAGAAGAAACTAAGTACTACCCAGTGACATTCACTGGGTAGTGCTGGATGATTTCAGACTACATGCAGGTTCATAGTGATAATCAGTTCAATTATATAATTGGCAGTACTTTAAAATTTAATAACATTTTATCATTTGAAAAATGAACAGGTCGTCAGTCTAGTGTCTTGTTAAAATCACTGGAGTTTTGAAAACTCTGTAACCTGTATAAGCTAGTGATCACACAGAGTTGCGATGCTACCAAGGCACCCACCAAGAAATTTGTATGACATCATTAGCTACTGCTATGCATTTGCAACACTGTGGAGGGCATTGAGAGAACTTAGTTTCTCCTCATGTCTGTTTAAGTCAGCTGTCTGGTTGCCTGTGTTCAGTTAAGCTAACTTTACTTTATTAAATGCTAATGTTACTTGTGTGAGATTTTTTTCTGTCTTGTGCAATTATTTTATTTATCCTTTAAGTATCCTTGGCCTTAAACTGCCAACTAGACAAAGAGCAAATCTAAGTCATTATTTTCTGGTACTGTTAAATGGTTGTTAAAAAATGCTGCAATTGCGCATGTTAAACTCTTACATACCGTGGCCAGCAGTGGTCCCGGAGAATATGAGCTATGGGGGGATAGACTGTTTATAGAAGGTGCTAATTAATTTTTATGCAACAAACAATAACAAAAAATGTTACGACAGAAAAACAAGATTCAGTGATCCAGGGATGATAATTTAAATGCATGTTACTAAATTTTTAGCATTATACAAAAGCAAGCACAAATAACTCTATTAATAACTGAATTTAGAATGAAGAAATCAAATGTATATAAAAAGTTTACAACAACAAGCACAACCACACTATCTCTCTGGAACTAACTAAAGTTAACAGCAACATCAAATGGCAGAGTACGCACAGTGATTGACACTGGTCCTCAACCTTCTGTGGCTCAGCCTGGAGCTTACCTTGATTTATAAACTCCAATTTATAACACTCCAACTCTAATTGTTTACAAACCGGAACATGAAATAGTTTAGCTTCCCGATTGCGGGATCTTGTCTTCATTTTTCTACCTCTTGAACACTTTTCTTTTTCTGTTTCTGTAGTAGGACAAGCTGCTGTTGTTGCTCACATGTTAACCCAGGCCTAAGACCAGACAGAACAGAAGCTATATTACTCACTTTACTGAGCCCACTTATTCTGGGGGAGCAACATCAGACACGCTAGTCGTTTCTACAGGCACACTTGCACTCCCCACTAGAAGAGACAAAACTTTTTTTATAAACCAACTGGGCTTTTAATGTATCCAACAGTTACATCTTTATTTAACTTAGCCGTAACACCGTAATGGTCAGCTACTTTCCAAAGCTTATATTTTTAATTAGAATTTAGCTAATTCTCAATGGAAGCCATTTTGCAATTACACACTTTAGGGGTACTTTTCTAACACTAAATACTTTGTTGTACAACACCACAGATAGGCCCAAACTGCAAACAAAGACTAAGTTGTCAAACACCAACCTAAAAGATGACAGGCTGCTTTAAATATGGAACCCCATCCTCTAGCTAACTGACTAACCAATACTAGCTGACTCACTCAACCCTAGTCTTCATGCAGGTTAGTGGCAGGATATAAATTAAGCCCAGAGCCCAGTAACCTGATTAACCACAAAAAGAAAAAGATCAATGGAGACAGCTAGTGCCCCTCATTGCTTATGCCTATCAGGAAAAACGGTTCCAAATGACTTACCAGCTTTTAACTCTTATTGGCAGTTCAGGAAAACACAATTTAAGGTAGAATCCATGAAGCAGTACACTTACTGGATAGTCCAGTAACAAAACCATCCAATTCACCCCTAATCATGCCAGAGGAAGCCTTCAATATGTGTGAAACACACCCTTTAAAACATATCGAACCCCCATTTGTTACCAACTGGCTCTATGCAACAAAAAGGGAGGCCATGCACAGATGTATCAGTCAGACAAGTAATTTATTGAACTTAAAATCCAAACATATCAACTAAATGGTGAGATGTGTAAATATATCAGTCGTATCAGTAATGTTAGAGGTGCATGGTTGAGTGAAATGTGGTTTAATGTGTGTTGGATGGTGCAGCAAACCAACCAAAGAAGAAGGTTGAGGGACTTGCTGTAGGCCAGGCTGAGAGAGAGACAGAAACTCCCAGAAGGGCAGTCTTCTATAAGTCACACCGACATGGCCAAGTAAGTAAGTATCTGTAAAGGAGACAACAGAGCAAGGTAAAGCAGACTGGGAGGGATCTTCACAAAACTGCATCTCAAAGCAGTTCAGGAAAGGATCTGCATAATAACCTAAACTGACTTTAATCGGGCAACTGATAGCAAAAATTGTAGATTTTCAAACAAAATCTTAGGATTAATTACAGAACGAAACAAAGAAATGAGGCTATGGAATTAGAATAGTTTATTGCATATAGTGGATAAAGGTAAACTGATATGATAATAAACTGTAGGAGGGATGAAGGGATGAAGGGATGAGGGTTGAGGGTTGAGGGATGGACGATGAGGGATGTAGGGTAAGGGTTGGTGGTTGAGGGATGAAGTGGTATGGGAATGAAGGGTGAGGGATAAAGGGATGGGGGAGAGATCGGGTTTGTCGATGGGTGGAGGAGTTTGTACAAGAATATGGTAGGGAACCCTGAGGGAGTTGATACTCATAGTGGGAGAGCCATTTATTCTTTGCTTTTAGTTAGAGCCCCCAAAAGAACTTAAAATGGAAAGATTGGAGGAGGAGGAGGTGGAGGATAGCTTGCCGGATATTCCTGATCTGGATAGGATTTAGGGAAAGGGGTGGTGAAACCAAAAACGTGTGGCTACTTTGCCTGTTTCTGTGATGAACATGGTCTTGAGGAGAAGATTGGCTAGCTAGCCTAGAGTTAGTGTAGTCCTGTATGGGTTTGAATGGACAAAAGTAAGACTGTAGTTAGAAAGGGTAGATGGGCTTGAGGTGGACCAGACAGGTTGGTCTTGCTGCATTAAGGTGGTATATGAGAATGTCAAAAGAATGAATGGCAGACATAGTTGCATGACAAGAGGGATCGTAGTTGAGTGTGGAAGCGGTGAACTGCAGTGAGTGAGAAGGTCTGAAGTGAGGGAAAAATTTTTGGGGGTTTTGGTGTAGGATGTGGTTCAGCCTTTAGGAGACCTTTAGGCTGAAAAATACTGATGTATGAATGGGACATGGCTGAACACGGTGCCCCTGAGGACAGTTTGATAATAAAATTAATAATGCAGATGTAGACTTGTATGGTGGAAGATTCAATCTTAAGGACGGAATGAATAAACGTGATGAAGCTAGAGAGATGTGGGTAAGAAGGGGTCTAAAATGCTCTAATGATGTCTGGCTTGGACAATCAGGCTCATTGGCATGCAATGTGGCTGAACATCGATGGCTGGACCGATCATTAAAGTATTTTTAACAGTTTATCATTATCAACTAGTATTAGGCTCATAGATAGATAGATAGATAGATAGATAGATAGATAATTCCTTTATTTATCCCCCGAAGGAGAAATTCAGGTTGACACAGCAGCAATAGGGCAAAGCAGCACAAAAACAGAAAAAAAAGAATATCACAGTAAAAATATTGCTAATATTATTAATATTAAAGATATAAAAACTATAAATTAAAGTATATACACTATTTGTTGTTCAAGTAGGACATGGAGTCCAAAATATGAGCAGAAAATTAAACTTGACTAAAACTAAAAAAGCTAAAACTCAACTAGAACTACTAAACTACTGAAGTGGAAATTAAATATAAATAGTGCAAAAGGTTTGTGCGTTGTAGGTAGGAGTTCTAAACCAGTCGTTATCTGCTGGGGTTGGAGGTACCGGGTGCTGAGGCGTTGTGGAGTCTGATGGCAGATGGTACAAACAAGCCTCCAAACCGCTTTGCGGTAGGGGCTGGGTCAGTCTGTAGCTGAAGATGCTCCTGAGCTGCCTCAGCTCAGCGTGGAGAGGATGAGAGGGGTTGTCCATGATGGCTTTCAGCTTCCCTGGGATGGCGTGTCTGCAGGTCTGCAACGGTGGAATGGATAACGTCACAGGCGTGCGCCGCTACTGCCGATGGAGGAATGTAAACAGTGATGACAATAGTGGCCGTAAACTCACGGGGTAGATAGTATGGCCTTAACCCTATGGCCAGCAGTTCAATATCAGGTGTGCAGATTTCTGCCTTCTTGACAACATGTCCAGGGTTACACCATTTAGAGTTCACAAAGACAGCGAGCCCTCTTCCCGACTTTTTACCGCTCTGTTTCTTCCTGTCTGCCCGAACTAGTGAAAAACCGGCCAGTTCCACTGAACAGTCTGGTGTAATGTCATTCAGCCATGTCTCCGTCAGACAAAATATGCTGCACTCCCGATACTCTCGCTGTCCGTTGACCAGGGCCGAGAGCTCGTCTGTCTTGTTGTTCAGCGAGCGTACGTTTCCCATGACAAGCAAAGGAAGACATGACTTGCATCTCCACCGCCTCTCTGTCTTCTTGGTCCTCACCAATGTGCCTGCTCTGGTTCCTCTCCTTTGTCTCCTTAACTCCACCGGGATCTCCCTCGGGCATGCGTCACGTAAATCCCGATACCGTAGGAAGTCCTCACGTGAACATCCGGTGTTTTGTTGTGTGGTGGTTGTTGTGTCCACATTCCTACACATTGTTTATATTTAAAAAAAAACTAAGTTCCACTACGGCTAAAAAAGTAAAAAATTAACTACCAACACTGGAGGTCTGTTTACAACAATAAACACAGTGCTGTTTAAGAAGAAATAAAGAAGTAGTAAAATTTAAGGCGAAAAAATAAGAGGCAGAGCGGGAGTTGTTGCGTCAAGCTGCCACTCTCTGCAGTGCTTCTAGAACTATAATGATGCCTGACTGCAAGTTGTGGTGTGTGAAGGAGTAGTCTAGCTACATCACCTGCAAACCTTGGTAAAAGCCATGTGTGAAATCATGTATGAGGTAGTACAAACTGTTGGTCTGGGTGATTCTCCTCCGGCCCTGGTAGAGGACTGGTCTACTTCTCTTATCAACGCCCTTGGGAAGAGGGCTGAGGGTGGTTGGCTTAACGTTGGCTGGTTTAGGGGTGACAGATGGAGAAGGGGGTGCTGAGGGTATGTTGCACGACGGGGCTACGTTTGTTTGGAGGTGTGTGGGCTGCATGTTGTGGTGGGATGGGATGGAGCACCTCAAAGGTCGCAATTCAGGCAAGAGTGAGCTGTGAAAAAGTGGCAAAACAGCTCAGGATCTAATGTTCCCCAGTAAATTCCCTGACTGTATTGCTGCAGGTAACTGAACGTCTGGGTGACAAATCTTCAAGAAGATGACTGTCTAAAGGGTTGAAAAGAAACTTGTAGTCAACTGTTTAAAGTATTTATTTTTCTCTTTCTTACTAATCTGACACAGGTCATGTTAAAACCTGCGTCAAAGAGGGAGTGTACAGATAAGGTGTGCTTAAGTACTTTTTTTGTGGAAATTAAATGAGTTTGAGGCGTGGTCTTTATTACCAAACAGGTAGACCTATTATGCTAATCTCCAGCTGTAACTATATATATAGCAGTAACTAAGGAAAAGCAGAATATTTCCCTTTAAGTAAGAAAAACCTGATCAAGACAAATTATAGAAGAATACAGCTTGACTGGGTAAGATAACCCAACCCACCTCGCTGACTTACCAAAGGTCAGGTTCAGTATTTGAGTGTTTGCCCAGGCAGGGACCTTTTTGGTTTAAGGGCCAGGGGAAAGTTCATTACTATGCATTTTGTTTATACAATAACTTTTAGCATAGCATTCTTGATAAGATCAAAACACACACCTACACACACACACAAACACACACACACAGCAAATTTTTTGTTGCTATGGCATATCACAGGATGCAGTATCCTACATATGATTGGACAAGGGATCTTTGTATTAATTATAGCAATATGAATTAATAACATTAAGTCTGTCCTGCAGAGCTCCACAGTAATCAAGGACATTAATCATTACTAATGTGTAGACGATCTAGAGAGTTTAATAGGTATGGTATGAAAATGTATGAAGAGGTAGGATAACAGAAAGCAGCTGTTTAAATACTGCATTAAAACTCAACATAATATTTTGTCAATCAAATAAGACTGCAATTTCTCAATATCATTTTTTAGATTCAGGGTAACTGAATTCCAGGAACGTACAAGCCTAGAAATGGAAATCAGCATCAACAGGACTGATGTTCTTACTGACATACATCCTTGCTATAAAATCGATGTCTCTTACGTACTGACAAGGAGCACTTCTGCAAAATGTGTATTGTTTCATATTTTCCTTGGTTTATTATCTGTTGTCACGGTATGCGGAAACCTTCTTGTAATAATCTCCATCATTTACTTCAAACAGCTCCACACTTCTACTAACTACCTCATCCTTTCTCTGGCTGTGGCTGACCTGCTTGTAGGAGTTGTAGTCTTTCCTCTCACTATGGAATTCTCTATAAGCTCATGTCGGTACTATGATGACTTATTTTGCAAAATACGGGGCGCATTTGATATATCACTGTGTACATCTTCTATTCTGAACTTGTGTTGTATTTCTATAGACAGATATTATGCAGTGTGTCAGCCTCTGACATACAGAACTAAGATAAATGATCATGTTGTTGTGATCATGATCTTAATGAGCTGGGGGGTATCTTTCTTTATTGGAATTATTGTAAGAATAAACCAAGAACAATGCGCTGCACCATGTTTCGTCGACAACGTACTGGCAACCATAATGGGACTTTTTTTCTCATTTTACCTTCCAGTGCTTTTAATGCTCTGTATCTACCTGAAGATTTTCCTTGTTGCACAGCGACAGGCACGCAGCATCCAGAACACAAAGTCTGGAGCAACTGTCAGTAAGATGGAGAGAAAGGCCACCAAAACTCTGGCTATTGTGATGGGAATATTTTTGGTATGTTGGTTACCTTTCTTTCTTTTTACCACCATTCTGTCTTTTAGCCATGTTTACGTACCACTTGCTTTGATTGAATTTCTTAATTGGCCTGCACTGTCAAATTCAATGCTAAATCCATTTATATATGCGTTCTTTTACAGCTGGTTCAGATCAGCTTTCAGAATTATTATTTCCGGAAAAATAATTCAGAGTGATTTTACTAACTCAAAGCTGCTCTGATTCACTGTGTGGTTTGCTAAAATATTTCATAGATGTGTCTATAAGTATAATGAATAGCACAGTAACACACAAATATATATACACAAAATACTATACACTGTATTCCATCTGGGAGAAAATATAAAAAACACACGATAAAAACATCTTTTGAGAGCCAAGGATCGTATGATATTTTTTATAAACAATAAAAAAAAAAGAAAATGTGAACAACAGAAGCCTTTTAGCCTTTTTATTTTGGAAGACCTCCTCAGGCATTTCTTGAGTGTTGCTATAAAAGGTGAAGACTCAGTTGTAAATTAAGTCACCCCCCAAACACATACTTTGACTCACTCAGTCAAATTAAAGGGTCAGTTCACCCGAATCCCAAAACATAAATTGATAGTCCACACACCACACAGTGAACAGTTTGGATGATCTCAGACTACATGCAGACACATAGTGATCATCAGTTCAATTATATATAACTGTACGGTTTTATTAAACTAAATCCCACTGCACGGGGTGCGTTTGACCGGCGAAACAGTGTCACACTCAGCTCCGACACTCAATATCTTTTTCACGGGTTTATTTCCTTTTATCAGCAACTCCACACATGCTTTTCTTTTAGCACGTAAACAGTGATCGTGCCGTCAGCAAGTAATCAACTGGAAAACACAAAATATAAACAACATCGCTTCATTAATGGCACGGACATATTTATGATATTTAACTCAAGTTAAATAAACACTTTGTATACATATTAACTCACCAGCTCAGCTTCACCAGTCAACCCGAAGCACAGCAAGTAAGAATAATCAAAAAAAAACAAAACAAGGTGGACTGCTGCCGCTAGAGGGCGCTATGAACTCCCAACATTATAAAATAGTAGGAGACAACATGACATATTTGAAAATAGGAGAACTTCACACAATAACTGTCAGTGCTTTAAAAGTTAATAACATTTTATAATTCAAAAATGAACAGGCAGTCTGTCTAAAGAGGCTAAAATAAGTGTCTGGTTAAAATATATGGACTTTTGAAAAGCCTGTAACCTGTCTAAGCTAGTGATCCCACAGAGATGTGATGCTAGTGATGCTCTAGCAGCAAAACCATTGTTTCTGGCGGTTTTTAGACGCAAATTTAAGTAAAAATATTTTAGACTTTTCAGCACAAGGCACAGAGTTGCACCACTCGTTAATGTCATACTTGGACCAATCAAGTCAAGCACGTTTTGATGCTGATACATGTTATAGGAACAGAGTATGTGGAGGGTAAGGGGAAATTCATAGCTCATTGTTGTGATTGTTGTTTCATGTTCTCAAATCACGTTTGATTGCCTGGTTGTGCACAGAGCTCCATTCCACAAGCACATTAGCTTTTGCCTGACGTGCTTTGCCAAGGCAAATAAAAAGAACACTGTAGTAATGAAAATGTCCTGTAGTGAACTAAGCATACCAGAGTCAGTACAGATAATTGGAACATATGTGTTGGTCAGTAGCAAAAAATTAGATGCCATGGCAATGAACAAATATGCCCCAGAAAAAGGATATACATGTAAAACAGAGATGGATGCAGAATTGATCCTTGAGTCTCTCCAAACCTGATTTTGGACAATGAAGAGACAAAATTGCTTACAGAAACATCAAAATTGTCTATTTTCCAGGTAGGAGGAGAACCAGTTTAAGCTTACACCATATTAATCTCAGGCAGAGCTTTCGAAAGCAGTGAAGTAAGGAAGAAGCAAGAAAGTCGCATCACAACACGTCTGCTGATGGTGCTCTGCCTGTGGATTTGACATCATTAGCTACTGCTGTGCATTTGCAACACTGTGGATGGCTTTGAGAGAGCCTAGTTTCTCGTTGTGTCTGTTTAAGTCAGCTGTCTGGTTGCCTGTCTTCAGTTAAGCTAACTTTACTTTTTTAAATGCTAATGTTACTTGTGTGAGTGGGGCTACTGGGCTTTTAACCCATGTTGGCAGATAACACCCTGTTCACATAGGCGTGAGACGCTGCGGGCAGTGTGACCGCTCTAATCTGTTAACATGGACACCAAAATAAAAATGAAGATGTTCCGCCACACAACCCACGCAGACGCAGGCGGTGTGACTAAGCCTTTATGTTTTAGGACACTTAAAGGGTCATTTCTTACTACTGTAGAGCTAACTTTTGTGTATATAGCATTATCATTGCTACTAACTGTTGTTTCTCACTGGAATGTCATGTTAGCTAGAAGCTGACAAGCTCAAACTACAGGCCAATTTACCTCAGATTCACCCCAATCTACAATTAGAGGAGAAATCTTGTCCAGGGCCTTGGTCAGTACCAATGTTAGGCCCAGTATATCTTTAGCCCTAACCCCAATCACGTGATTATAGTTATTAGTTAACTGATCACTATCGTCCTCTGATTGGACAACTGAATGACTGAGGCAGCTCATATGTGTATTGGAAGCGTTGTCATTCTGCTTATATACCCGATGAAGCTCATTTGACTTCTTGTTGAGAGAGCTGAGTTAGAATATAAACTTGTCCCTCATAATGTATATATAATACTAAAGGTTGGCACAATAAAGATTCATATTTTCACTCTCAGTCATACACAGTTATATTTTTACTCCTACTGTACTTTGTACACAAATTTGCAGTCATCCATTAACATTAATATGTACGAGTATAAATTCATTTTTTTGCATATTTGGCAGTATATTAAAATGTAGAGAATATTTAAATTAACTCTTCTGACAGGCATCAAAAGACTGGCTGTGACAGTCTGGTCAGGTATGTAATCATGTAAACCCACTTGTCTCACAGTATGAAGTTAGGGCCTTTGTACACTGTATGACTGATCCCATAATAATGTCCTACTTTAAAATGAGGCTTATGTCAAAAGTATTAGTAAAATAAAGATAGTGTTTTAATGCCTGTACCATTGTGTCGAATAGATTTTATTCTGTGAGATGTGCAATTATTTACATTTTTTAAAGTGTCCTTTAAACTGCTGACAAGACAAAGACATTATACAGCGAAAAGTGTATAGGGAAACATTCATCACGTGCCGGACATGCCACACGCTGCTCAGATGTGAACAGGATGTTACTCATGCATGCAGACATGAATGTAGTGTATCCCATCTGATTGGGCAAAATACCTTTGTATTAATTATGGTAATTAGGGATTTGTATTGAATATTTTATCATCAAGTAAAAAGGTTTTGCACAGCAGAAGAATGAAGGACAAACATCACCGCTGATGGTATGGTATGAAACCTAATAAACTATGCATTTTTTTAGTTTAACTTGAACTAACTTTAACTTTGTTTCTTTAGAACATTAATGTTGTGGTGTCACATACTGAAATAAATATTCAAGTATCTACAAGGTTTTTTCAATGTTATTGGTTAATATTCCTTTTTTTTTTCACCACTGATGGTATGAAACTTGAACTACAAGTCTTTATTGTTATTCAATGTAATGTCTTTGTTTCTTAATAACATTAATGTATCTCAGTGTAGTTTTATATTGGATTTTCTTTGCAGGAATCTGAGAGCATGGAACGAGCAGTGACTTTCAATGGGACTTACACTGTTAATGACATACATCCCTGCTATGAATTACATAATAGAACTTATGTATTTACAAGCAATCCTTCCATTATATGTGTATTATTGTATGTTTTCCTTGGCTCATTATCTGTTGTCACAATATGTGGAAACCTTCTTGTAATAATCTCCATCATTTATTTTAAACAGCTCCACATCCCTACTAACTACCTCATCCTGTCTCTGGCTGTGACTGACCTGCTTGTAGGAGTTTTAGTTTGTCCCTTTAGCATGGCATTCTCTGTAACCTCATGTCGGTATCAACCAGTTTTATTTTGTAAAGTACGAGGTAGCATTGACGTTACACTGAGCACATCTTCTATTTTGAACTTGTGTTGTATTTCGATTGACAGATATTATGCAATATGTCAGCCTCTCACTTATAGAAGTAAAATAAATGATCGTGTCATTGGGATTATGATCCTGATGAGCTGGGCAGTTGCTGCTGTAATTGGAATTGGCATCATGATTGCAGATTTTAATCGAGGAAATTGTGGACAAAGTTGTTTAATTGATGCTGTAATATCAACCCTTCTAGCATGTGTTTTCTCCTTTTATATACCAGTCATTATAATGCTTAGTATCTACCTGAAGATTTTTCTTGTTGCACAAAGACAGGCAAACAGCATCCAGAACACAACCTGTCAGAGCACAAAGTCTGGAGCAACTGTCAGTAAGATGGAGAGAAAGGCCACTAAAACTCTGGCTATAGTTATGGGAGTTTTTCTGTTATGTTGGACTCCTTTCTTTTTTTGTTTGACATTTCTTTTTTCTATCAATGCTAAAGTGTCACTCCCTGTCTTTGAAATACTCAACTGGCTTTCATTATCAAATTCAATGCTCAATCCATTTATTTATGCTTTCTTTTACAGCTGGTTCAGGTCAGCATTTAAAATGATAATTTCCGGAAAGATATTTCAAGAAGATTTTTCTAATTCAAAACTCCTTTGATTTCTTGTTTAGAACTTGTCAGTAATTATATGTAATAATAAAGGTTGGCACTATAAATATTCATATTTTTTACTAAGCTGTAAAATGCAATAAACACATGACATTATATGATATTATTGCAGAACTTGGCAGTATATTGAAATAGAGAGTACATTTAAAATAACTCCTCAGGCAGGCATTTGAATAGATTTAGAAAGGTATTTACATGTAGTATTTGAAGCATTGCTGTGGGAAGACTGATAGGATTATCAGTAGTAGAAAATAGGAATTTGGGTTTGTTGTTACTGATGATATTTGAGAATAAGGATTTTCTGGCAAGTTTCACCTATTCAGACTTTGTTGTAATGTATAGATATATATTTATAGCTGTCATGATCAGACTTTGGTTAATATTCCCTCCGTTTTCAATTCACTACTTTTAAAGAATACATGACCGACAAATTTGAAAACCCATTTAAGGTGATGACATGGCCATGATTTTGGCAGGATAATACCTTACGAGGTGTATCCTCCACAACTATAATTGACTCCAAACCACTCCCTGCCTTTGCAGCACACATTATGAAATATATTTTCAGTCTAATACATTACATTACATTTTATCCTTTACATAATGATTGTGAATTCTACTGGGATTGTATTTATATGACCCTACCTCTGCACTGAAAAAAAATATTTTGTGGTGTAGTAATATTTATTAGGTTAACTGTCACAATTTTTATTTTCTAATTGTAAATATCAGTGAGAACTGGAATTATGCAAGTGAAACTATATATGTCATTCATGTAATAAATAAACTGTGTGGGAAGAGTAGGTTTTATTATGTATTTTCACATAATCACAAAAGGTTTCATAGTCATTGCACATGAACTTAGAAATACCAAGTAAGTTTTAATAGTGTTGAGTGTTTTGAATCCGCGCATGCGCCTTGTGACACGCATGCGCTTCGTTGTCCGCCAAAACACAAGAAGACGACGACGGCGGTCAGGTTTAATGGAGGCAGGAGCAGCTAAATCATCTTGAAGGTAAGTCATTCAGGGTTTTTCCTGCATATGTAACGGAGTTCAAATATAATATGATCCCACTTGCCATTATCACACATCACGTATCACTGTAGCTTAATTTTACTATGGTCACTAAACGCAACGTACCTGTGGACTTGGGTCGTGCACCCCGGGGGTACAGCAGTCAGACCTTGCTGTCCCCTTGGTAAGTGCACAAGTTATGAGCTCTATGGAGCCAGAACGGTGACTTTAAAATTTGACAAAAACAAAATTGGCATTGAAAACAAAAACAAGTGCTGAAAAAGGAAACATTGGCATTGAAACATTTGTATTGAAAACAGTTGTACTGGCATTGAAACAAGTATTGGCACTGTAAAAAGAAACTTAATTAAAATTAAAATAATTAAAATGTTATTTATTATTTATTGGGATTTTTTTGTATTTTTCAATGACAATCTACTTCTTTTTTCAGTGACAGATTTTTTTACAATTTCAGTTTTTTTTCAGTGTCACTAATTTTCAGTTTAAACTTTCTGTCACTGTTTTGGCGTTGAGAGGAGGGGTCTGAAGGGAGGGGCAAGTAGAGCGTGGTTTGCATATAATTTGCATATCGGCATACTCGCCGTCTGCTCTGAAGCCTCTGGCATGGTGGCATTACTAAAATGTCCTGTTCACCGGGAACTTCCAAACCCAAGTAAAGCCCTATTCGCACGGGACTAGTATTACCTGGGGACCTCTAGTAATTTGTAATAATTGCGGAGGTCGTCTGTGATCTTTTGCAAATCTGCCATGTCCGTAATTTGTAAAGTAAAAATTCCAGCGCAAATTACCTACCATATTTTGCCAAACACAGAGGTCATGTGATAATATTAGTCCCGTGCGATTTGGGGTCAGGAACATTTGCATACAGCAGATCCAAGGTCTTATTGTCTCTGGTGGTGCATGTGACAAACTGGTGGAAGGTTGGGAGTGTGGAAGAGAGAGAAACGTAGTTGAAGTCCCTTGTGATGATGATGAAGGCCTCCGGGTGTTTCGTTTGTAGTCCTGCAGTCACAGTGTGGATGACGTCACACGCTGCTTCTGCTTTCCCAGACGGAGGAATATAGACAGCGATGATGATGATGATGATGATGAGCCCTCTCCTGCTTTGCTATCGGGATGATTCGCTATACTACGAGTTCGTTTACCATCGAAATTACTTTGAAGCTGTTATATTAAGGTAAAAATCTTGCATAGTGTGCCTTTAAAATACAGACTTCACTTATCCCATGCGAAACAGTACGAACAAAACACAGACGTGGTGGGGTAAATACTAAATCACATGAGGTCCCCAGGTAATACTAGTCCCGTGCGAATAGGCCTTTACTTGGGTTTGGAAGTTCCCGGTGAACAGGACATTTTAGTAATGCCACCATGCCAGAGGCTTCAGAGCGAACGGCGAGTATGCAGATATGCAAATTATATGCAAACCACGCTCTACTTGCCCCTCCCTTAAGACCCCTCCTCTCTTTTTACAGTGCCAATACTTGTTTCAATGCCAATACAACTGTTTTCAATACAAATGTTTCCCTTTATTTCTAATTCCCTCGTCTATATTTTGCTCATAATTTGATATGAAGCCTCATTGTTCTCTATTCTGATTCCGTTTACACTGTTTAAATTTTGATTCTGCATTATTCTTGATACATATGACACAGCTCTCTCTCCACAATGTGAATCTAGACCAGCAATGCTCTACTGCTTTTTTGAGGAGAGGAACTGAATCGTAGCGGCAAAAATGCAGGATTTTCTTAATTTAAGATTTAACATAATGGTTCCGATTCTGTATGAAAGATGTGAAATTTTTTAGATCAGAGCAATATTTTCAAATATTTTGACAGCATATTATCAAAAATACATTGGTTTGACAGTGGTACAGTTAATTTTGGTTACATGATTCTGTCGTTTTAATGTAGTATTTCTTGTAGTATTCTGTAGTTTTAATGTATTATTTTGTCTTTGAGTTTTTGTCACTAGTCTATAACTTGAATAAAAACTGCTGTACTATGCACCTGAACATAGATTCACATATATTTTACACGATGTCAGCAGAGAGGAAGCTCAAGAGGACCAGGCTGAGCAAGTCCTGAGGATCTGTCTTCCACACAAGTGAAGAAGATGAAAGTGCATCTGACACTAATGTGTCAATTGTTTTTGAAAGGACTGAGGTACTTGACAACTGTGGAAGTGTTGCAAAGGCCTGTCTCCTGCTCATGGGCATCATTTATGCCATGAACTTGAGTTATCCCCCAAAAACGAGTACACTTTTGAAGTTTTTCAAAAGCTTCTCCTAGAGCTTGATGTCTTTAAGCTGTCCCCGAAAATCCTGTCTCTGCGAAACAAGCTTATAGCTTGAGTGCACATGTTTGACCCATGAGTAGGGGTGGGCGATATGGGCAAAAAATAATATCTCATTATTTTTGGGGATTTTGGCGATAATAATCAGTCGATATCCTTTAAAATGTGATTGGAATTGTCTGAGTTAGGTCTTGTGTCCACCAAACGCGTTTTTAGCGCTGAGAGCGCTCAAAAACTCATTTTCCGAACAGATTTCAACTTGAAGCGCTCTGAGCGCTGCGCTAATAAAACGTCTCCGCTCGTTTCGAAACCAAACCATTTCCATGCCAGAGAGGTAGACCAACGTCTCGGCACTAAATCATCTGAGGTACCGGTAGCTTCAGGGACTGGAGGTGCTTGCATTTTCTCTCTACCATCACAACGCGCTGCTAAACTGTTGTAAGGAGGATGCTAGCGAGAGGTCCTGTGATCACGTCATGTGATCACGTAGGTCCACTAGTCGTGTGACTGAATCCTGCCATGCTGTAGAGATCGTTGCTGCACCGTGTATTGAGTGGATGTGAGGAGTTTCCACGTGTGTTAATATTTTTGGCGAAGTAATTTAAATACTGGATAATGGAAATTTGCACATTGTCAAAACAACAATGACGATATTATCGCAAACGATATATATCGCCCACCTCTACCCATGAGTTGTCCTTTCAAAGAGGGCGCTAAAAGAAAAATACGGCACAGTTGTTTATGTGGCTATTTGTCTATTTTCTTATTTTTCTCTCGTTTTAATGATATAATTTTTATTTTAACTTGTTGCACTGTATTAAACATGTGGCCATGTGGAGTGGTTTTGGGGACAAAAGAAAAGAAGTTAGATCAGCATTTTCAAGTTAAACCAGAGGTTCTCAACTGGTGGGTCATGGGTTCATTTTCAATGGGTCAAGGATGTGGGCATGAAAAGAGCGAGGGGCGAAATATCGCACTTTTTAGTGTCAAGATGCTCTGCTTTTTGTAGGATATTACTCAAGATACAGAAACAGACGTTTAGAACCTCAGGGCAAAACACTGTTCATTGAGATGAAACGTTTTAAGATGAAACGAATAATAAGCATGTCTTTTAAGATGCACTGAAGGTTCCTGAAGCATGTCAAATGTTTTTTTCGAGAGTTTAAGGTTAAAAAGCCTATTCAAAAGATAGGCTACATATGCTCTATGCAAACAGTTCCTGAACTTGTCCTTGTGCCTTTAACAAGCTACCTCAAACCCATTTTAGCCACCCTAAGATGAAATTTCTGTCATCATCGACTCACCCTGATGCCGATAGAAGGACTGAAGTTTTGTCAACATTCATGCTCTTCTGGGAGTTTGCCGAGATGTTTGTTTCTCACAAAAACTGCGGTGAATGGCAACTTGGCTTCAAACATCCAAAAAATGTCATGAATCAAGAAAATGTCTCCATACTGCTCATCTGAAGTAATCCATGTGTCCTGCAGCTTACACATTCCTAGATGTTTTGAAAAAAACATAACAAAATTGTGTTTTGGCTTTGTTTGCTCTGCTTTGCTTCCTCTGTGGTGCTGCGAGTACACGGATGGGCTGGCTGGAAGTTAGTAGTGTGTAAGTTTGTGTGCGGCGTTGTAAGGAGCACGCATAGGAAGAGCAGCAGAGCAAACAAAGCTGAAAACACAAGTTTGTAATGTTTTTTTTACAAATGTCTTGGCATGTGTGAGCTACAGGACACTGGATTACCTCAGACAAGCAGTATGGAGACATTTTATTGATTATTGATGTATTTCAATAATTCAGACGAATTTCAAAGAACACGCAATATGTTTGAATTAATTCAAATAAAATATCTATCAAGGCATGGTACAAATGTGTGACACCATTCAGGAAAACATAACAGATAACTGTTAACTAACTATATAACTATAATAGGTTAAGACGTTTGCTCTTACCATACCAATGGGCCACATATCTGTATATCCTTGCATATAGGGAGACCCTCTGCTGTCCGAAGCCGCCAGGGAGTTGGAACATGACAGTGCTGATTGTGGCAGTAGGGCGGGACAGTCATGGGGAGAACAAATATCTACGATATCCTCCCTACCACTGAGTATTGAAGCATGAATGAAGACCTGGTCGATATCACCGTCACCATGGATAATATACCGTCCAACGATAAACAGTATCTTGCCAGGGGTTCCCTGGTAACTGTTGCGTGTTTCAGGGGGCTTCTCAGAAAGGGACACAGAACCCGGAGCCGAGCAGCTGAGCGCCTCGAAGTGCCGTGGCCAGCTTCACCTCCCCGCCAACAGCACAGACAGCTGGTCAGCAACTATTTTCCCCCTCAGCAGCCCGCAATGGTGAGACACAAGGGTATGGAAGGGTATGGAGTCTGCTGGGTTGACTAACATCCCTCCGATGGACGAAACACTGGCCATGCACCTAAGCTTAATAATGCAGTTGGATGAGGTCTGCAGAACGGCTGATTTCATTCACCGGTTGGGCAAAGGCACCGAGGTGGCAGTCGCTCAGCGTCATCTGTGGCTAACGCTAATGGAGCTTCCCGAGACACAGCGCTCTGAATTTCTCCACCAAGCACTTGAACCCTCTGGGCTGTTCAGACAGGCTCTGGACAGAATTCAGACCCGCAGTGATCAGAGGAAAAAGCAGGAAGAGGCACTGCAGATGAGTATGTCAAGGCGGTCATATACACAACCGAATCCTCCAGGTGACCAGAGACGCTGTCGTCCGCAATCCCACTCCCTCACTCGACACGCAGCTCGGAAGAAACTCTACCTGGAGTATTCTCACCACCAGAACCGCAGCCCCAGCCCCTTTTGTTTTCCTTACAATTGCAATGAGATTATGGTCACTACAACCTATTGGCACAGATATGGAGTTAGAGCAAAACTCTGGCGTATTCATAAAAATATGGTCAATACAAGTAGCTCTTTAAAAATATTCTCCTTCTAATGCACACATTAATTTAATTTTCATTGGACAGCAAGGGGAATTCCAGTCTATGTTTAAGTCTCCCAAAAAATATATTTCATGACTTGTACTACTCACAAGATCCAACATGTCACATATTTTGTCTAAATACCAACTATTAGCACTTGGGGGTTTATAACAGCAACCTATTAATATTGGCTTTAGATGTTTCAAACTAACTTGCAGCCAGAGTACTTCAATTTCTGGTGACATTAAATCCTGCCTAACTTTAACATGTATATAACTTTGAACATAGGTAGCATCCACTCCTCCATATGCATTCCTATCTTTCCTGGAAACATTATATCCATGTATCATCAGTGATGTGTCCTCAAACAGAGTCTAAATGTGTCTTGGATACAGCCAATATATGTAGATTATTTAATAATAGCACATCTTCTACTTCAGTTAATTTATTCCTAATACTACATATGTTTATATGGGCAATTTTAAGACGTTTCTTGGGCAGTTTATGTAACATTTATCAATTATCTTTTTTCTTCCTGTTCATTTTGATGAACCTCGGAGCAACACAAATTACGGTTAACAGCAACATTTAAACATATACACATACATATACTCATGTACACAAATTCACTCATTATTTGTAGTATTTACTACAAATACAACAAATAGTAGTAGGCAACATATTGCCACTCTATCTGTGCAATAATAAGCAAGCTGATTTTCTTTTTAAATTCATATTTCCTTTAATAAACTCGGCAACTCTGAAATTGTTGCACGCTAAATTATTATAATATATTTTTTAGTGCTGCATTCTATAACCAGTAGCAAAATTCATTTTCTGGTATCAACACTGAAACGTATTTACCAGGCCTACTTGCACTCTGCAAAATTTCATTTGCAACAAAATATAAATTGGCCCACATCCAACACAAATAAGGTTTGGTTCCAATTATCATTCACATACCACAAGGCAAAACAAAAATTAGGCCATTCTTAGGCCTATTAGGCCAAAATTGAAAATATTTTTCTAAATACATTAAAGTATTGTGAAAGTAGTGTAAACACATTTCCCTTTTCTCAGGCCACTTCCATTATTTATGTCTCAAGCTTTTAGTCTCTATTCCAGGTTATTTCTCTAGTGCCTGGCTCAAACCATATCAATCATGTCTTCATTATATATGTATTATTTATCAGTTTGAAGAAGGCTTTAAAGTCACGCTAAGTCTATTTTCCTCATGGAGTATAGTTTTATTTCTTACCACTCTTGGGGGTCCTCGTTATGCATGTCCTCTCCTCTCTTTAACCTACTGACAGTGTCGGTTTAATAGCTTGGTTGAAGAAGGTCTCAATGAGTCATGATTAGTGTTGCTGGATGGATTAGACCATTTTTCACTTCTGCCTGATGTAATTTAATTCTGAGATCCTTGAACTGCGCTCTTCTTTTGGACACTGCTGCTGTTGGAAGATTTTCACTTTCATTCCCCTGAAATGCAGTACTCTCTCTTTCTCTGCTATTTGTAAAATACCTACTTTGGCCAAGTATCTCTGCATTCTGATGATCATCGTTCTTGAACCAGATTTCATTACAAGCCCCACTCTGGGCGCAATGTCCATTTCATGCTGGCAAGGAAGATTTCTATCTTTGAATACCTCAATGCCATGAATTCCGTATGACATCCCTTTTCCACATCTTTCTCAAGGCCAAATTTTCCAACCTTACAGTTTTTTCTCTCAGTTTTTTGTTCTTTTTGGAGTGTGTTTCTCCACACTTTCTCCATTTCATTCATCCTCTCTTACATACTAGAAAGCCCTACTTTTAAGCAATCCAGTTGAGGTTGCAGTTTATGAAATGCTTAATTTATTTCTTCTCTTATTATTGAGCTAACTTAAGCTGATTTCCACACTCACTGTCAGCCTCCATTCCGGTTCTCTCAGGTCTAACAGGGAGGCAGTTGGTGTCTGTTTTTTCTCTTTTCTCTTTCAAAAGTTGTTCCCATAGACCCTTCTTGCGTGTGGGAGGCAATGGTTCTACAGGATGTCCCGGTACACGACGGCGTTGATGTTTCCATCCAACACCACCAATGGCGTTTTTCCTCCATAATGAACACCGGCCGATACCATCACTGAACCACCACCTCAAGTAGTTTCCTGGATGCAGTTATCGTGGAGGTTCTCACCACGTCACCTTTGTCTTCCTGTTTGTCACCTGTTACATTGGAATTTCCCCCTTGGGGGACAAATAAAGGAATATCTATCTATCTATCTATCTATCTATCTATCTATCTATCTATCTATCTATCTATCTATCTATCTATATGGTGAAGGATATAGCGACTCTCATCCATAAAAACAACATGTCGCCAGTGCCCAAGCTCTAATCTTCTGTGCTCCCTAGCCCAGCGAAGTCAAGCAACTCTCTGTTGAACAGTTAGGCATGGACACTTGGTCATTCGTCTTGCTCGGAAAACACTGATGTGTCTTCTTCACAAACAACAAAGGCGGCTTGCTGGCATTTTCCCGATTTCTATGGCACAGATTAATCAGTTGCAGATCATCTCTTATGGTAGTTAGCCGTGGTTGTCCTGGAGATTTTCGTGGTCTCAAATGACCCTCCTCTCGATGATTGAGGATTTTACAGACATTTCCAAGGAAATCAGCAATGTTAGCTTGTTTGTGTCCGTCCTGTCAGAGTGCAAGCACTCTTTGGCGTATTGCCAGTTGTGTCAGACGAGGCATAGCCTAGGGAACTTCTGTGTCACAAATTTGGTTGAAAAATATACAGCCAATTCTGAAAACGTGGACTTACTACATACAGACTTTAAGCAGGAAAGGACAACACAGTGAATGTCTTGCCTTTAATAGTGCCAAACAATTGTTTGAATTGAATGTGTTTAACCTGGGTAACTGGGACACAGTATGCAATCATTGCACCTGGTCAAAGGTGATTACTGATGTGTATAAATAGGAATAAAGAGAGGAATGTGTCTATAAAAAAATTCTTCTAACTTTATGGGCAATAAATGGGCATGCCATAGGTCTGATAGATGATAGTGGAGCTCCTGCTGCTGGAATGGTCTATTGCGTTTATAGACTGTACATTTGGAATTCAAAACAGGTAATTACACTTCAAAAATGAACCACGTTCAAACTATTTTTTTAATTTCAAATAAAAACTGACGGCCCTAGTAGTGTGTGACCTTAAGAAAATAACAATCTGTCTACAGCAATACAGTAAAAAAAACACATTCGCTCCTTGGCAGCATTCCCCGGTGTGTCCCTCACTCCTACACTATTAACTCCCCATCCTTCAAGCTCCCTGTCTGGGTACAGTCAGCTAATAGGACCGCTAACTAGCTAGTGGCAGCAGCTAGTACAGTTAACATATGGAACTTTTGTGGTGTCGGCAAAAAAAGTGTTGTATTATATATTACTCACACTGTTCCTAAGTAATATAGGTCTATGTCTGTATCAGTGCATATGCCCTTTATTTTCCTTCTAAATTAAATGATTGATATCAAAAGTTGCTTCCAAATTGGTAAAACATACTCAAGGATACACAAACTATTATTACTCAGGTGATATGCAAATATGAACGTAGTGTATCTCATCTGATTTGGCAAGAGACATTTGTAATAATTATGGTAATTGGATGAAGGCTTGATTATTTTATTATCAAGTCCTAAAGTTTCTCGCAGTGGCAGAGTGGACACACAAGGACACACATCACCACTGATGGTATGAAACTTGAACTACAAGTCTTTATTGTTATTCAATGTAATGTCTTTGTTTCTTAAGAACATTAATGTTGAGGTTTCACATACTGAAATAAATATTCAAGTATCTTAAAAGCTTTCTCAATGTAGTTTTATAACGGATTTTATTTTTTTTTGCAGGAATCTAAGAGCATGGAACGAGCAGGGACGGCCAATGGGACTTACACTGTTAATGACATACATCCCTGCTATGAAATAGATAATACAACATACATATTTACAAGCAACCCTTCCATTATATGTGTATTATTGTATGTTTTCCTTGGCTCATTGTCTGTTGTCACAATAGGTGGGAACCTTCTTGTAATAATCTCCATCATTTATTTTAAACAGCTCCACATCCCTACTAACTACCTCATCCTGTCTCTGGCTGTGGCTGACCTGCTTGTAGGAGTTGTAGTTTTTCCTTTTAGTATGGCATTCTCTGTAACCTCATGTTGGTATTATGAAGGCTTATTTTGTAAAGTAAGAGGAAGCTTTGATGTTACACTAAGCACATCTTCTATTTTGAACTTATGTTGTATTTCTATTGACAGATATTATGCCGTGTGTCAGCCTCTCACTTATAGAAGTAAAATAAATGATCGTGTCACTGGGATTATGATCCTGGTGAGCTGGGCAGTTGCTGCTCTAATTGGAATTGGCATCATAATTGCAGGTTTTAATCAAGGAAAATGTGAAGAAAGTTGTTTAATTGATGCTCTGATATCCACCACTCTGGCGTGTATTTTCTCCTTTTATATACCAGTCATTATAATGCTTAGTATCTACCTAAAAATCTTTCTCGTTGCACAAAGACAGGCAAACAGCATTCAGAACACAACCTGTCAGAGCACAAAGTCTGGAGGAACTGTCAGTAAGATAGAGAGAAAGGCCACTAAAACTCTGGCTATTGTTTTGGGAGTGTTTCTTTTATGCTGGACTCCTTACTTTCTTTGTATCATCTTTCAGCCTTTAATATCTGATGTGACACCAATTGCCGTGATTGAAACACTTAACTGGCTTACACTGTCAAATTCCATGCTCAATCCATTTATTTATGCTTTCTTTTACAGCTGGTTCAGGTCAGCATTTAGAATTATCATTTCTGGAAAGATATTTCAAGGTGATTTTGCGAACTCAAAACTCCTTTGACTTGATTCATTCAGTATCATTAGAATACGATTTTAATTGGAGAATAAGAATCAGAAAAAACTGAGTCATATTCCTTGTATGTGTGCACATACCTGGCCAATACAAGTAATTATGATTCTAATTGGAGGATAATGATAAAGGCTTCAACAATAAAGACATTACACCACTATTGTATTGTTCACTGCCTGAGCAAAATGTACTGTATATACATTGGTATTTTTCATTTAACAATACTTAAACAATACTTAATTTAAACACAATAACACATAACAGATGACAGATCAGATTGGAATCTACAGAAGTTATAATCTCAATGTTTTGCAAAGCTATTTTACAAACTTAGTTTATTTCACTGGCCTACATTACTAAATTATCAGGCAGGTAATTAGGTAACAAATGTCATTATATCACTAGTATGGTTTTGCTGAAGTCATCATACTTGACTTTGCACAACTGAAAAACATTAAAGATTCCTTCTTCACACATTAAAAATGTTTCAAGTCTGTCTTTAGAAAGAAATCAAATGCCTGTATGTCATTTTTCAAGTTTATTGATTGCTGTATCATTTCTCCTCTCTATACTGCCTCTGTAGTGGGTATTGCAACTAAACTGTAAATTAGGTGGGCAAAATCCATAATTGCTGCAAAATGTACTTTAAAGTTTATATAAAGTCAATGTCGGAGTAAGTCAAATCAAGTTGGTATCCTCTAAAGTTAGGGACGAGTAAATCTTTCATTCTACATATGAGTATATGAGTATTGTTTTAAGACTGGAAATAATCTGAAGCAATCCTTTAAAGGACCAGTGTGTAGGATTTAGTGCCATCTAGCAGTGAAATTGCAGATTGCAACCAACTGATACCCCTCGACTTAACCCAACGTGTAGGAGACAAAAAGCCCTATCTGGAGACAGTGCTTGGTTTGTTCATTGTGGGCTGCTGTAGAAAGGACATCAGAGGGAACACCAGAAAAGATTTCCATAAAATATGATCCAGTTTCACCCAATTTACTGATAAAGTTGTCTTTCTGTACAAGTGATAAAGTTGTGTCTTTGTACAGTAAACAGTGAGGCCTGACCCCCAGAAACACTCGGCCCTGGTAGCGGCCCATGTTGTTGCAAGCTAGCCAACCAATGAATCGTTGCTCTGTGTCGCTTAAAGTTGAAGATTGATTTACGGATGAATGTCATGATATAATTATTTGAAATTGGGTAGTTCATGCTTACATAAGCACACGTCACATTTTGTTATACAAGTAGAAAAAAAGATTGGATTTAAATGTAAAAATACAAAGAAATCTAGTTTTTCGAAAAAATATTGCCATACATTGTTAAATAGGCATTTCAGATTTTTCATTTCATCTGGACATCAATGTTTAATTGGTTTAGTCGTGTCTATGACATGACATTTATTCAATGCTCACTGTAGTCCTCAAAACTGTTCAAAATGTGCAAATGTTCATATATAAAAACAAATTGATACTGTAAGACAAGTATGTTTACAAGATTATATGATCCAACTAGACTGTCACAGCCTCCTTGACTGATTTTATGTTGATGATTATATTTTTCAGAACTGCTGACGAGTCGTGAGGGTCAGACTTTTAAATTAATTGCCTGAAAACATTTTACATCACACAAGGTGCTTATTTTCTTTGCATTACATGAAAACATTGCAACTCACTATAATTGCTGAATGACTGGGAGCCCTAAGCAGTCTTGAGGGATCACACCCCCCCCCTTTAAAAAAACTCAAGCAAAGTGTTTTTACTCATGTTGGCTAGCAGTAATATGAACACAACACATGCAGATCAAGTACCTAATTGGGTGATGACAGACTGATGACCTCAGGCAAATTCAATGAATATGGTTCTTCTGACCACTCAAAGCGCGATTACACTACATGCCCAATCACCCATTCAGATACATTCATAGAGTAATGAGCCACCATAAACGGAAGCTAACATTCATACACATACATCCACCAATAAGCATCATTGGTAGCAATTTGGGGTTCAGTATCTTGCTCAGGGCCCACAAAATGCACCAGAAGGAGTCGGATTAAATCGTCAACCTTCTGAATAGTGGATAACCCGCTCTACCTCCTGAGCTACAGCCCCTGTGTGTTGTAGTGTTCTGTTGTTGATAGGATCATATTGGACCTTGTGTTGAAGTTGCACAGAGAGAAGGGAGAATGACAGAAAGAAAACATAACATGGTGTGGTGCTACTTTTCACCTGAAAAGTGCCGCACAGCAGCAACAGGAGCAACCACGTCAAACATTTGAAAACAACACACCCTATATAGGGTAAAACAATTGCTAAATAGATATTGCCATTAAACTTGCCCTGCCCATGTGTGATACATTTGGTATCAATGGCCTGTATGTGCCATGTGATTTGTCTTCAAATGTAATGAATTGTTTTTTTCTAAAAATGACCATTATTTTGAAAAATCACATACCCATATTAAAAAATGACAGATATCAGTATTGGTAAAATTGTATCAAAAAATAAGTATTATATCTAATATAAAAACATTTGTATCCCCTATCACTACCCTGCAGCAAATGTTCCCCTACCCATAGACCGCAGGAATGTCGGGCCAGGGATGTAGCAGTCTGATACAATATTTTTATGAATAAAAGCCTGAGTATCTGTTTTTTCCAAATTGTTGTTCGCTAGTCTTTAATCTGTACGTCTTTGTGTAAATAGGCTTGGCCTGTGTGTGAATTTTAGTGCCAGACTAGAGGGGTTGGTCTGAGCATGTGTATTTCAATAAGTGAGTCATGCATGTAGTTGTTTGTGGTGTCAGACTAAAATGTGTTATATAATGTTACTCATTACTCACTAATACTCATACTGTAACATCACAAAGTGAGTAAGCTCTCCAGCTCAAGTTCAATGAGTACAGTGGCTGTAACTGTGTTGTCTGACAGAAAAATAAATATTTAAATCTGAAAAGGGAGCCCTAGCCTTCCATTTTTTAGGGATGATAAATGGCCAAGAGATATTTTCCTTATGCCAAAAGAAGCCCATTTGTGGTTACAATAAGTGCTTTGTATTGCTTATGTTTACAGCATAGCAGATCTTAAATGAGCTTTCTAGTAAAATCAATTTATAAAAAATAAATTGTATGCCTGAAAAATCATTTCACCTGGCAATGACAAAAGCCATTTTTTTCTCATTCTTGACCAGTCCTGGTCTTGACTACAACCCTGACAATTAGTGTGTTATTTATATCACATTCAAACATGAATCTAGTGTATCTCATCTGATTGGGCAAGAGATCTTTGTATTCATTATGGTAATTAGATGGAGGCTTGATTATTTCATTATCAATGCCAAAAGATTCTCGCAGTGGCAGAGTGGACACACAAGGACACACATCACCACTGATGGTATAGAACTTGAACTACAAGTCTTTATTGTTATTCAATGTAATGTCTTTGTTTCTTAAGAACATAAATGTATCTAAAAAGCTTTCTCAATGTAGTTTTATATTGGATTTTCTTTGCAGGAATCTAAGAGCATGGAACGAGCAGGGACGGCCAACGGGACTTACACTGTTAATGACATACATCCCTGCTATGAAATAGATAATGCAACATACATATTTACAAGCAACCCTTCCATTATATGTGTATTATTGTATATTTTCCTTGGCTCATTGTCTGTTGTCACAATAGGTGGAAACCTTCTTGTAATAATCTCCATCATTTATTTTAAACAGCTCCACATCCCTACTAACTACCTCATCCTGTCTCTGGCTGTGGCTGACCTGCTTGTAGGAGTTGTAGTTTTTCCTTTTAGTATGGCATTCTCTGTAACCTCATGTTGGTATTATGAAGGCTTATTTTGTAAAGTAAGAGGAAGCTTTGATGTTACACTAAGCACATCTTCTATTTTGAACTTATGTTGTATTTCTATTGACAGACATTATGCCGTGTGTCAGCCTCTCACTTATAGAAGTAAAATAAATGATCGTGTCACTGGGATTATGATCCTGGTGAGCTGGGCAGTTGCTGCTCTAATTGGAATTGGCATCATAATTGCAGGTTTTAATCAAGGAAAATGTGAAGAAAGTTGTTTAATTGATGCTCTGATATCCACCACTCTGGCGTGTATTTTCTCCTTTTATATACCAGTCATTATAATGCTTAGTATCTACCTAAAAATCTTTCTTGTTGCACAAAGACAGGCAAACAGCATTCAGAACACAACCTGTCAGAGCACAAAGTCTGGAGCAACTGTCAGTAAGATAGAGAGAAAGGCCACTAAAACTCTGGCTATTGTTTTGGGAGTGTTTCTTTTATGCTGGACTCCTTACTTTCTTTGTATCATCTTTCAGCCTTTAATATCTGATGTGACACCAATTGCCGTGATTGAAACACTTAACTGGCTTGCACTGTCAAATTCCATGCTCAATCCATTTATTTATGCTTTCTTTTACAGCTGGTTCAGGTCAGCATTTAGAATTATCATTTCTGGAAAGATATTTCAAGGTGATTTTGCGAACTCAAAACTCCTTTGACTTGATTCATTCAGTATCATTAGAATGTGATTTTAATTGGAGAATAAGAATCATAAAAACTGAGTCAATTTCCTTGTATGTGTGCACATACCTGGCCAATACAAGTGATTATGATTCTAATTGGAGGATAATGATAAAGGCTTCAACAATAAAGACATTACACCACTATTGTATTGTTCACTGCCTGAGCAAAATGTACTGTATATACATTGGTATTTTTTATTTAACAATACTTAAACAATACTTAATTTAAACACAATAACACATAACAGATGACAGATCAGATTGGAATCTACAGAAGTTATAATCTCAATGTTTTGCAAAGCTATTTTACAAACTTAGTTTATTTCACTGGCCTACATTACTAAATTATCAGGCAGGTAATTAGGTAACAAATGTCATTATATCACTAGTATGGTTTTGCTGAAGTCATCATACTTGACTTTGCACAACTGAAAAACATTAAAGATTCCTTCTTCACACATTAAAAATGTTTCAAGTCTGTCTTTAGAGAGAAATCAAATGCCTGTATGTCATTTTTCAAGTTTATTGATTGCTGTATCATTTCTCCTCTCTATACTGCCTCTGTAGTGGGTATTGCAACTAAACTGTAAATTAGGTGGGCAAAATCCATAATTGCTGCAAAATGTACTTTAAAGTTTATATAAAGTCAATGTCGGAGTAAGTCAAATCAAGTTGGTATCCTCTAAAGTTAGGGACGAGTAAATCTTTCATTCTACATATGAGTATATGAGTATTGTTTTAAGACTGGAAATAATCTGAAGCAATCCTTTAAAGGACCAGTGTGTAGGATTTAGTGCCATCTAGCAGTGAAATTGCAGATTGCAACCAACTGATACCCCTCGACTTAACCCAACGTGTAGGAGACAAAAAGCCCTATCTGGAGACAGTGCTTGGTTTGTTCATTGTGGGCTGCTGTAGAAAGGACATCAGAGGGAACACCAGACAAGATTTCCATAAAATATGATCCAGTTTCACCCAATTTACTGATAAAGTTGTCTTTCTGTACAAGTGATAAAGTTGTGTCTTTGTACAGTAAACAGTGAGGCCTGACCCCCAGAAACACTCGGCCCTGGTAGCGGCCCATGTTGTTGCAAGCTAGCCAACCAATGAATCGTTGCTCTGTGTCGCTTAAAGTTGAAGATTGATTTACGGATGAATGTCATGATATAATTATTTGAAATTGGGTAGTTCATGCTTACATAAGCACACGTCACATTTTGTTATACAAGTAGAAAAAAAGATTGGATTTCAATGTAAAAATACAAAGAAATCTAGTTTTTCGAAAAAATATTGCCATACATTGTTAAATAGGCATTTCAGATTTTTCATTTCATCTGGACATCAATGTTTAATTGAGCATAGCGTTAGTTCAGGCAGGGCACGAAGTCAGGCTTAGCTTTCAGTTACAGCTATATCATACGATCACAGCTAGTCATAAACATACATCAGCTGATTCCTCTAAGCTTCCCATTGGATACCATGCACAGTCAGCTGACAGCTCACCTGATTTCCTCAAGCATCCAATTGGCTAACATCTACATGGCGCCTTATTTAAGCTGCTTTAGCCTGCCTGCTATCTCTGCTGCTCCTCTACAAGCCTTTTTGCCAGGATGTTGTGTGCGTTACTTGTGGTTTGTCGTTTGTTTCTACTTGTCCTGTCTGCGGTGAGTATGATGGCGGGTCGATTGCATTGTGAAGTCTCAGCAGCGATCTCGGCTGTTGGGGAGAGTGTCGCTTTTGAACAACATCCGCAGTTCTGTCCGGCTGCTCTGGTTCTGCAGGGTCTGCAGAAGGGGGGAGGAATTGCTCCTGCGGCTCCGCTGCGGTCCCGGCTGCAGCTCCAGCTCCGGCGCTGCGCTGCCTTTCAGGGGAGCGTGGGTCCGAGGCGCAGCGGCCGGCTCCACCAGTCTTGCTTGTCAGCTCTGTCCAACATCCGGTTGTCGCTTGCCGTCATGGGTTCAAGGGTCCAGGGTTCGGTTTGGCACGTCAGGCCGGACAGTCTTCCTCCGCAATTGTTTCCCTCTTCGCTGTCGGCAGGTAGAGCGCATGGTCCCACAGGTGCAGCGCTTGACGATGACGTCACAGCAGCTTGTTTGACGGCGTCACATTCCTGCCGAGAATGCTGGGAAGTGCAGTCCCAATCACCATAGGGAAGAACGTGCTGCCTCTCAAAAAAAGGGGGCATGAGAGATAAACCTTCAACCCCAGTAAACGTCCCTGAGCTGGGGAAGGCGCTAAGAAAGCATTCTGTTATAGGGCTGGTTCATGGCTCTTAGCTGGGCTGACTTGGTTGCCAAAACCTACAATCTGTTTTGAAAGAGCTGAGATAGTCGATGCTTTACTGAAGAAAGGATAACAAAAAGGTTCATATTGGTCCATTCATAAATCGCCTTCTCAACAAGCATTAAGGTATAGCTACCAGGGATATTTAGGAAAAAAAAATAAAATAAATAAAAAAAAAAAACAATATTAATTGATCTGCTCTTGCAAAGGCAAAACTAAGGCATAAATAGTTTAACCCCTTCAGACCCTGTGTCCATTACAATGGACGTCACTTGACAGGGGCTTCTTTTTTACTTTCTGCAACATTTAACAGACAAAAATAGGTATGATGTTGTCATATGATGTTGGTATTTTAAGAATTGTTTGGACCCGATGTCCATTGAAATGGACAAGAAAAATAACAATTAAAGGGTTTTGATTAAAAAAATTTTTTTTATTGATTCTCATTTCTGGTTGCATAAAGGATGGGGGAAAAAGTCATTATTATATTTTTCACACTTGGAACATAAGGCGGGTCTGAAGGGTCTACATCCTCTGGCACTTTTTCCTTATTTTATGCTATAATCTACAATGCCATCAGTTGATTAAGGAAGCATGTAGAGGCGCATGGCTAGCCAAGGCAGATGTCACAGATGCATTTAAGTCATGCATTACACCTTCACATTGGCATCTGTTTGGTTTAAATGAAGAGAAATGTACTTCTCAGTTAGGCTCACCTTTGGTTGTTACAGCAGCCCCATATTTGATACCTATCAGAGGCTCTCTGCTGGATTCTTTTAAATAACTGCAACTGCTTTCGTGCTCCATCTCGTAGACGATTTTCTGTTAGTTAACTATCAATTCAAAATCAGACCATGCATTTTTGCTCTTAAATATACCTTTAAACATTAGGTCTTCTGCTAGCCAAGGAGAAACATCAGGCCCTGTAAGGCTAGAGTCTAGGCTTCACTCTAGATAGTGTACTGATGAAAAATTGCATCAAAGAGGTAATGAAAGCAGCAGGCAGTAGTAATTTTCAAAAGAGAACTGCTCTCCTTGCATAGACATCTTAAATTGGCATGTGTGTTATTCCCCAGGGAAGTTCCCCTATATCCAGGCTTCTGGACCTCTCCGATTTATAGAGAACTCCATGATATGGTGAGCTTGGAGAAGGGCTGCAGATCCGAGCCCCAGTCCTGATCTCTTCTGCGTGATATGGTATGGCATCTCCTTCTTTTACAATGAGCAGATAGAATCATCATTTGCCATTAATTATAAAAGACGCAGCATATTGAGTACATATAAATGAATCGAACACTGTGTGCCAGTCCACCCTGGAAGCTTTATGTCAACAGCAAGGTCTAATAGTGTGACTGCTATGATCTACTAGATCACTAATGAACAGCTTTGCTGAGCTTAGAAGACAGAGAGCAGACATGAGGGGCATTTAGGGAAGAGCAATGGATCCTCAAGTTTTTCGGTGTTGGGTACAGAAATAATGGAGATATAATTCATTCAAACATACAGTAGTAGTGGCATGATTGACCTGTATGATAACCACCCTTCCGTAGGTTTTGGGGGGGTATTTTAATAATCAGTGGTTCACAGACATATGGCTAAAATACTGTCATCCTTGCCAGCTAATGCCTCTTCTACCTTTTTTAATGAATGTACATTGTTGTTTCATGTTTCTGTGGGGAAAAGACTGGTCATGGGAACAATCATGTTTTTTCGACAATGAGGCAACTGCCAACATCATTTACAAGGGCGTTCTTCAGTTCCATTCATTAATAGATTTGTAAGACGCCTCACTTGGTTATCTATGTTGGGTAAATTCATTATTAGAGCATCTCATATTCCATGCTTGGATAACAATTGCTGATTTTTGTCCCGTTTGAATCGCAGAATTTCGCCAGCTGTGCCCGGAGGCAGCGCCATCCAGCCTGACTTGCCCCCCATTTTCTCAAACCGTGTTAGAGTAAACACAACCATGCAATATACAGGCTATCTACTGCTCAGTATATGCGATCTGGCTTAGCTAATCTACATTAAAATAACTCATTCAATTCGCATAAATGCAGCATCCGTAGCTCCTGTCTCGACGCTAAGGCTATGGGTATATGTTCATTATCTGCTTACGAACGATACCTCCTGCCTGAGGCCAAGCAAATCTTGATGCTCAAAAGCAATGAGTGCCTTGTAATTTCCGGCTTAAATTCATTAATGTATAGCAAATTTCTGGGGATATCTCTAGTATACTTAGCCTTGTACTTCAACTAGTGTCTGCTTAGACGTATTGGTTTATAGTCCTGCTGGCTCCTCTTACTGGCACTTCCATGTAGCTCATGGAAGGGAGGTTGCCTGGTGTGGTTCTTTGGGGGTCTCTGCTGCCGCTCTCCTTGTCTTAAACCTTTCCATGTATGCACATGGAAGGTTTCCACGTAGGCACGTGGAAGGACAAGGAGGTCCCATACAGAGCCACACCACCAAATATAACCCTCTGTTCGGGAAATATGTTTTTGCTGGTTTAATTTAAATACACTCTAGCATAACTTCTGAGGGATCTCTTTATTAATCCTCAGCCAAGTTACTTAACTAGTATCTGCATAAATTATTGGCTTTATTACTGTTATTTATTTCTTACAAAAATTTGCGCTGCTGGCTCCTCTTACCGGCACTTCCATGTAGCTCATGGAAGGGAGGTTGCCTGGTGTGGTTCTTTGGGGGTCTCTGCTGCCGCTCTCCTTGTCTTAAACTTTTCCATGTATGCACATGGAAGGGCAGGGAGGTGTGCTCTCCCTGCCTTAAGGTTTTTCACGTAGGCACGCGGAAGGACAAGGAGGTCCCAGAACAGAGCCATACCGCCAAATGTAATTCTGCTTGGAATATAAGATATTTTGACGAAAGTGGTCCTGATTGAAATTGGTTTAGTCGTGTCTATGACATGACATTTATTCAATGCTCACTGTAGTCCTCAAAACTGTTCAAAATGTGCAAATGTTCATATATAAAAACAAATTGATACTGTAAGACAAGTATTTTTACAAGATTATATGATCCAACTAGACTGTCACAGCCTCCTTGACTGATTTTATGTTGATGATTATATTTTTCAGAACTGCTGACAAGTCGTGAGGGTCAGACTTTTAAATTAATTGCCTGAAAACATTTTACATCACACAAGGTGCTTATTTTCTTTGCATTACATGAAAACATTGCAACTCACTATAATTGCTGAATGACTGGGAGCCCTAAGCAGTCTTGAGGGATCACACCCCCCCCTTTAAAAAAACTCAAGCAAAGTGTTTTTACTCATGTTGGCTAGCAGTAATATGAACACAACACATGCAGATCAAGTACCTAATTGGGTGATGACAGACTGATGACCTCAGGCAAATTCAATGAATATGGTTCTTCTGACCACTCAAAGCGCGATTACACTACATGCCCAATCACCCATTCAGATACATTCATAGAGTAATGAGCCACCATAAACGGAAGCTAACATTCATACACATACATCCACCAATAAGCATCACTGGTAGCAATTTGGGGTTCAGTATCTTGCTCAGGGCCCACAAAATGCACCAGAAGGAGTCGGATTAAATTGTCAACCTTCTGAATAGTGGATAACCCGCTCTACCTCCTGAGCTTGCTAAGTTGCACAGAGAGAAGGGAGAATGACAGAAAGAAAACATAACATGGTGTGGTGCTACTTTTCACCTGAAAAGTGCCGCACAGCAGCAACAGGAGCAACCACGTCAAACATTTGAAAACAACACACCCTATATAGGGTAAAACAATTGCTAAATAGATATTGCCATTAAACTTGCCCTGTTAAATAAATGTGTGATACATTTGGTATCAATGGCCTGTATGTGCCATGTGATTTGTCTTCAAACGTAATGAATTGTTTTTTTCTAAAAATGACCATTATTTTGAAAAATCACATACCCATATTAAAAAATGACAGATATCAGTATTGGTAAAATTGTATCAAAAAATAAGTATTATATCTAATATAAAAACATTTGTATCCCCTATCACTACCCTGCAGCAAATGTTCCCCTACCCATAGACCGCAGGAATGTTGGGCCAGGGGTGTAGCAGTCTGATACAATATTTTTATGAATAAAAGCCTGAGTATCTGTTTTTTCAAAATTGTTGTTCGCTAGTCTTTAATCTGTACGTCTTTGTGTAAATAGGCTTGGCCTGTGTGTGAATTTTAGTGCCAGACTAGAGGGGTTGGTCTGAGCATGTGTATTTCAATAAGTGAGTCATGCATGTAGTTGTTTGTGGTGTCAGACTAAAATGTGTTATATAATGTTACTCATTACTCACTAATACTCATACTGTAACATCACAAAGTGAGTAAGCTCTCCAGCTCAAGTTCAATGAGTACAGTGGCTGTAACAGTGTTGTCTGACAGAAAAATAAATATTTAAATCTGAAAAAGGAGCCCTAGCCTTCCATTTTTTAGGGATGATAAATGGCCAAGATATTTTTTCCTTATGCCAAAAGAAGCCCATTTGTGGTTACAATAAGTGCTTTGTATTGCTTATGTTTACAGCATAGCAGATCTTAAATGAGCTTTCTAGTAAAATCAATTTATAAAAAATAAATTGTATGCCTGAAAAATCATTTCACCTGGCAATGACAAAAGCCATTTTTTTCTCATTCTTGACCAGTCCTGGTCTTGACTACAACCCTGACAATTAGTGTGTTATTTATATCACATTCAAACATGAATCTAGTGTATCTCATCTGATTGGGCAAGAGATCTTTGTATTCATTATGGTAATTAGATGGAGGCTTGATTATTTCATTATCAATGCCAAAAGATTCTCGCAGTGGCAGAGTGGACACACAAGGACACACATCACCACTGATGGTATGAAACTTGAACTACAAGTCTTTATTGTTATTCAATGTAATGTCTTTGTTTCTTAAGAACATTAATGTATCTAAAAAGCTTTCTCAATGTAGTTTTATATTGGATTTTCTTTGCAGGAATCTAAGAGCATGGAACGAGCAGGGACGGCCAACGGGACTTACACTGTTAATGACATACATCCCTGCTATGAAATAGATAATGCAACATACATATTTACAAGCAATCCTTCCATTATATGTGTATTATTGTATGTTTTCCTTGGCTCATTGTCTGTTGTCACAATAGGTGGAAACCTTCTTGTAATAATCTCCATCATTTATTTTAAACAGCTCCACATCCCTACTAACTACCTCATCCTGTCTCTGGCTGTGGCTGACCTGCTTGTAGGAGTTGTAGTTTTTCCTTTTAGTATGGCATTCTCTGTAACCTCATGTTGGTATTATGAAGGCTTATTTTGTAAAGTACGAAGAAGCTTTGATGTTACACTGAGCACAGCTTCTATTTTGAACTTATGTTGTATTTCTATTGACAGATATTATGCAATATGTCAGCCTCTCACTTATAGAAGTAAAATAAATGATCGTGTCACTGGGATTATGATCCTGGTGAGCTGGGCAGTTGCTGCTCTAATTGGAATTCGCATTATAATTATTGGATTTACTCAAGGAGAATGTGAAGAAAATTGTTCAAATAATGCTGTAATATCAACCACTCTGGCATGTATGTTCTCCTTTTATATACCAGTCATTATAATGCTTAGTATCTACCTAAAAATCTTTCTTGTTGCACAAAGACAGGCAAACAGCATTCAGAACACAACCTGTCAGAGCACAAAGTCTGGAGGAACTGTCAGTAAGATGGAGAGAAAGGCCACTAAAACTCTGGCTATAGTTTTGGGAGTGTTTCTCTTATGTTGGACTCCTTTCTTTCTTTGTATCATCTTTCAGCCTTTAATATCTGATGTAACACCAATTGCCGTGATTGAAACACTTAACTGGCTTACACTGTCAAATTCCATGCTCAATCCATTTATTTATGCTTTCTTTTACAGCTGGTTCAGGTCAGCATTTAGAATTATCATGTCTGGAAAGATATTTCTAGGTGATTTTGCTAACTCAAAACTCCTTTGACGTGATTTGATCATTACTGTTTAATTGGAGAATAATGATTAAGGCCGAAACAATGAAGATTGAAATTTCACTACTATTATACTGTTCACTACCTGAGCTAAATGTAATGTATATATACTAGTATTTCTTAGTCAACAATACTTAACAATACTTAATTTCAAAACAATAGATATAGATCAGATTAGAATCTAAAGTACCTGCATCAAAGACAGTACTTAAATATGGACTGACAGGTAATTAAGTAACAGATGTCATTATATCACTAATATGGTTTTGATATTGATTGCTGTATCATTTCACCTCTTTCTGCTGTCTGTGTAGTATGTTCTACATGGCCAAAATCCATAATTGCTGCAACACTGTACTCTAAAGTACATTTAGCCCCCTGTACTGTACAATGAATCTAAACAGTGAACACAATAACTGGAGGAAGTTTGTGTAAAATTTGTGATTTGGATTAATTCTGAGCATATTATTTCCTGTGAATGATATGAGTTTTCCTGATATTTTTAGGAACTTTTTATGCAATTATCTGTTGTTATGTATTTTCTTAGATTTTAACATATATATATATATATATATATATATATATATATATATATATATCATATATCATAAATACATAATAGGCTTCTTTTTGACGAATTCTTTGTTTTCTTCTCATTGTTCTATTAGCTCTTTGGTTGTTTTAACTGTTTCTCAGAGAGTGAAGGCTCTGTGACTATAGCTTGTGTTCAGATCAAACTATTTCATTTAGTTTTATTGACATAAATTAATGAAATGCTGAGATATAGACCTACTTTATATATTTTTAAAATCAAATTAAGAGGGCCTCGTAACCCCCTGTGAAGCTTTGGTGACCCATAATGGGGGTCCCGATCCCCAGGTTGGTAACTATGGCTTTAAAGAACCAGAAACTGCTATAAACTAACCAACTGAAAGCCTTATCTTGAGGCTTTGTTTGTTGTGGACTCCATGGAAGAGGACCCGTTCCCTCTTTAGATAAAACAGCTCATTCTAAGGTTACAAAAACATAACGATTCTTATTTTCAGGTGATTATACACTAATGAAAATATACCTATTAATATCATGTTCCATTTTTGCCAATAGATCCTCCTGAATGTTACACACCGGACCTTTAAGACTTGTAAAACTGCTGAAGAAATAAAGTACTCAAAACAGCTTAAAACCACTACTTTTTCTGCACATTGGTAACAAAAGAATGTATGAATATCTAAATACATTACACTGTTTTGAAAATGGTAAGCAGCAAATATAGGAACACAACACACAGATATAATGTAAAGAAAGCTTTTTGGTGTAATCTTTTTTATATTAATTTTTTTTTTAAATTTTGTTTAAAGGTCCAGTGTTTAACATTTAGAAGGATATATTGGCAGAAAAGGAATATAATGTTCATAGTTATGTTTTCATTAGTGTATAATCACCTGACTGTAGGAATCGTTTTGTTTTTGTTACCTTAGAATGAGCTGTTTTATCTAAAAATGCCACGGGTTGCCTTTCGTGGAGTTCACCATGTTTAACTTCCATACATGTTTCTACAGTAGCCCAGAGCAGACTAACCAAACACTAGCTGTACATAGGGCCTTTTGCGTTTCTCCTACAGAATTCACAGACCATTATTCCCAGGTTCTAAAATACAGGTTCCAGCCGTGTTCAGTTAGTTGCAATCTCCAACTTCCCCTCTAGATGCCACTAAATCCTACACACTGGTCCTTTAAGTACTTAAAATTACAGTTAGTCCGCAAGAGTTCAGTCCTGGGTGATTTAGTAACACCTGTAGTTATTGGTGGTAACAGCAAGTGCAGTTTAATACTACAGGTCCCAGAATGCTGGGGGTGGCAAAACAAATAATTGCTGTTTTATTAAATGGTAAATGGACCTGTACTTGTATAGCGCCTTTCTAGTCTTCCGACCACTCAAAGCACTTTTACACTAAGTGAGACATTCACCCTTTCACACACATTCACTCAGTGATGGCAAAGTCCATCGAACAGAAACTAACATTCATACACATTCACACACCGATGCATGGCATCGGGAGCAATTTGGGGTTCAGCTCAAGGATACTTTGACATGTGGTACCAGGAGCTGGGGATCGAACCCACAACCTTCCGATTAAGGAGCAACCCGTTCTGCCTCTGAGCCACAGCCACCCCTGAGGTTAAGTTTAAGAATTAAGAATTTTTACCTACACTCAGTCAACCATTGGGATGGGTATCGTTTAAATTGAACAAATTTTAAATGTTAACAGAATTTTGGGGCGCCCTGGTAGCTCACCTGGTATCATGTACCAAGGATTAGTCCTTCTGCAGGGGCCATGGGTTAATTCCGACCTGTGGCCCTTTGCTGCGTGTCATGCCTTCTCTCTCTCTCTCTCTCTCTCTCCTCCTTTTCCGTCTATTTTGAGCCATCCTATTTAATAAAGGGGAAAAAGCCCCCTAAAAATATAGTAATTTAGCAAGTATAATGCCTATATGTTATCAATAGCCTGTAACACTAACAATCTGATATGGCCTCTTCATCAGTCCAGAGGACACTCTGAAACTGTGAATTCCTGAACAACAATTCAGACGATGCTTTGCCTATTTTGCACCCATATTGACAGCTAAACAATCTGCTAGCTAATGGTTACTTATAATCATTAACTCATGTATGTATAAATTGTCGGTGTGGGCTCTAGGCTGCTAACATACATAACATACATGAGGTGGATACAGCAATGAGTTTTTTGAGTTGTAAACTGAATTATATGACTATACTGTGAAACACATCAATGCTGGTGTTAAAATTACATTATTACCAAATTTTAAAATGCATACCTTGTAATACAATGCTGAGATAACATTTATAAATTAAAAAAACAGTGTTAAAGGGGAACTTCAGCAGATTTTTACCCTAGTCTTGATCACTAGAGGTCACCCAGTACTGTCGATAGGAAAAAGAACGACCAGAATTGGTTCTAGCAAACTGGAGATCCTGCAGCTAATGGCCAGAGCTCCCAGTTACTTATAATACACTTTTTGGGGGCATATCCTAAAGAGTGCCTTTTGCTCCTCTTAACAGACACAAAATGCAATTAAAATGTCTGTGCAACATGATCAGGGCCCTTACATGACAACAACATGCCTTTTCAACTCATACGTTGAAACACAACGCGAACCATTTTTTCTCCACAGTAGATCAACACACGTTATTCTTACTCCAAGCTTATTTCCTTGTGAACACCTCCGATATCCACTCTCTTCTTCTTCTGCGTTTACCTGCAACAAGTGAAATCCCACGGGACTTCAGCGCGAGAGCAGTCCCACGCTGAAGTTGAAGCTGAAGTCCCGTGGGATTTCCCTTGTTGGAGGGAAACGCAGAAGAAGAGATTGTTGCAGGAAGTGTGCAAATCGGAGAGTAGCGTGTGAAGACATGGACATTTTTGAGGGGGAAATAAAAACAATTTCGTCGCGAAGGCATTAGCTCCGTGATCGATTATTCTGGGCTTTCGGTGAAGCGAGCGGTCGAAAAACAGGTAGGCGACAGTACTGTTTTGTACGGTTTCTGCACAACGTATGAGTTGAAAAGGCATGTTGTTGTCACGTAAGGGCCCTGAGCATGTTGCACAGACATTTTAATTGCATTTTGTGTCTGTTAAGAGGAGCAAAAGGCACTCTTTAGGATATGCCCCCAAAAAGTGTATTATAACTAACTGGGAGCTCTGGCCATTAGCTGCAGGATCTCCAGTTTGCTAGAACCAATTCTGGTCGTTCTTTTTCCTATTGACAGAACTCAGTGACCTCTAGTGATCAAGACTAGGGTAAAAATCTGCTGAAGTTCCACTTTAATGCTGACTCAGCATTCGCAATCACATGTTCTTCCACAGAAATCTTCTGCCGTGGTTTTTTTGGCACTCCTCCTTTTGGAACTCCTTCCACATTTTTCAACGTAGAAACTCCATTAAAACTCTCAAATATTCCTCATCTTTCAGACATTTAAGCTATCATTCAACTTTCAAATCCAATTTAAACTTCCCACAATATTAAGTTTTTTTGTCAATTAGAAACCCCCTTCAAACCCACTCACCTCCAATCTCTTCCCATGCATTCATACATTCACTCAGAAACTTTGAAATGTTCACAACAAATAGCATCTTCTCACATTAATTCAGCCATTTCAAATCTTTCATACTTTTGACACAATCGCAGTTCAAAATTCATAAAACTTTCAGGCCTTCTGAGACTTTTCCTTTAGTGTGTATTGTACATAATGTTCAGAGTTAGGGTTAGAGGGGGGGATGAGAATTGTAATCGTCCAAAAATGATCTTATCTTATCAATTTTCTCTCAGAGTTACAAGTTTCACTCCACATACATCATTTATACATCAAACGTAGTGCCGGTCACAGACATGTAACTGCTGAAGCAAACAGACTTCCACTTCGGCTTTATGAGCTTCCAAGCGACAGGAGCACTAACAAACTGCTGCATGAATTTCTATATTAAGTGGAAGAAGAAATTTCAGGAGTGACGCAGAAGCAGCCACTTCTTCCAACAGCCAGTGTGGTCACATTTTTAGCTCTACACACACAAATCTCACCAAATGTGGTCAGTGGGCTCTCGTCTTGCTGAAAGCATATCCACCTTGGTATTATGAGTTCCGGTCTGGGCGCTAGAAGCATAATCATGGCAGGTGTGCCTCAGTAAAAGTCTCTATGAAAAGAAGCCTCTGACCCAGGAGACACACACCAGGTACCATCGCCATGGCAACCCTTAATTGCAGTTGGGAACACAGCTGATTGAGATATGGTGAAGGGTGTAACGATGACCTAGGTATTCTTCAAGATTAAAAGAAAAAAAATGTAATCTTCTTATATTCAAGATCAAGACCACTTTATGACGTTTATTCAGCTGTTCATTGTAATTTAATTATTTATCTTTCTAACTAGAATACTACTTCATCTTATACAAATTAAATCCAGCAGTTCATGTTACCTCACAGCCATAGTAAAGCTATGGAATATATTTTACGTTCTTAGTCCCTTTGCCCCTTTTCCAAGTATTCTAACTCCTTTCTACACTTTGTCAATTTATATCTAATCATTCAGTTGGAAACTATATTAAACCTTATGAAATACATTACATAGTTTATAGACAGGGTCAATTTTCACAAAATCAGAACCCCGAAGGCATTTTGTGATTATTTATATTATACAACATTTCTACGGGTATTAAGGGGTGCTGAATCCAAATCTGCTGTATATGAAGCTCAAAAATGTCCCAAAATGCCTCAAAATTGAGAAATTCAAAATGGCCACCACCGCCAGGCTGAAATCTATTTTTCAGTATATCTTTTTGACTAAACAAGGTACAAACATGAATTAAATGTGCTTTTGTAAGTTTTCCTACATGGGCAATTCAATGCCATATTCAGATTTGAGATGTAATGTGAAGAAACTGCTTAGATATTGCAAAAATAGTTGTTTTTAACTATGAACTATTATTAACTAATTAATATTTAAGTTATTATTATTAATATTATTACTATTATTGTTGATATTATCAGGCTACATTTACTTTTTTTGTATTTTGTTTTGAGGTCAAATGTACAAACAAATACAAAAAGATACAAACTTTAATTAAATGTTCACAGGTTTTCACACATGGGGAATTTAACATCCTGTCCTGATTTAGATCAAGTGTCAATAATCAGCTTGAAAATCACACATGTATAGAGAAAAAGGTGGTCATTAGTGATAAAGAAGTTGTCAATCAAATAAGATCCAAAAGCAGGAAGATCCATGGCTCATGGTGATATTCATTGAACTATATCCCAGTAGAAGTTACAGTGACAGCTTATTCACAGTCCTCTTCAATGTTCTGGCAAGTGTTGTCAAGTTTCCTGCAGTTGCATGCGTCTATACATTCCATGCGACTCTTTCTGAATAGAACAGATTAAATTGAATAGAAAGATTACAACCAGTACAAGTACAGGTACATTGGAATACTCTACCAGTCTATCATATTTGTACATTCTTGTACACAATGATCAACATCAGCTAATTCCCTATACACATACCTGCAGCTGCAGCGTTGGCTGAGGCATCCCTTGGTACACCCACATGAAGTGAACTCCCTGCAGGCTTTAGGCATAGGTGGCAGAGACATTAGCCGTGGCACTAATTGACCTTCCTTGTGTATCCATCCCATTTCATCCACTGGAGGAAGATCAGGATGTGGCAGGTGAGCTTGGTTCCAGATTGTCGCTTGATAGTGTGAACGCATGATATGAAACTTCACTGCATCTGAGGTTGGAGGCAGAGTCTCTTGTGGACAACCTTTGCAAAACAACTTCACTCTTGCTTTGTTGCATGTATCAACCTCAGGCACACCATACATCTTACAGATGAATTTCTCTGTTGAATTTACAATATCTTCTGTGAGAGGGCCCTTCCCAAGGCCAGTAAGATCAGTGTGATGTTGCTCGAACACCTGCCAGGCTGTTTTCTTTCCGTGACCGCTGAACTGAGACACACTATCACAGCCAGTGATGGCATGGAAGGCAAGCAGTGTGTCCACTTGATCATCAGAGAGTAACTTGCGAATGTCATGTACTGGAAAATACTCTGGATACTTTGATGTCCCGGCTTTCATGTAGAGATGGGTACATCCAATTCTGTCATGATGTGCTAGAAGTAGAAGAAGCACGGCTGTGTCACGCGCTGACACAACTATTGTGTCCATAGGAGCCTGGATGCAGTGCAAAATCAGTCGTGTATCAGCCTCCTCATGGTCAGCACTCAGAGAGGAGATTTCAAGTTCTGGATCTGATGACTTGACAGTGGTCGCTTCAGCAAACCCACCTGATACTACAACGACTGGCTCATATTCTGGGCTGTGTTCTATCAGATGGTTTGAGAGTAGTCGAGCGAGATCTGCTTTGTTTTCTTCCAGTGCCATGAAGCTCGACCAGTCTGCTGGAAGTGGAACAGAGTCATTCACGATCTCTCTGCGTACTGGTCGGTGGCGCTGTTTACGCTTCTTTCTTGTGCCTGTTTTGATGGATTCGTCATGGTACCTGTCGAAGACTACATCAACCCTCTGGTACTTCTCTGCCATCTTCATCACTGTGTCAGCAAACTTGTTGGCATAGTTGCCTAATGTTGTGATGTCAGGCGGCTTCCCAAGTGCCATTACAAGTGCTTGGCCATCAATAAGAAAGCAGCTGGGTTCCTGAAGGGGCACATCTGCAGTGGTTTGGATATGTTTTGTCAGTATATTTGCTAAAACAGATTTATTGGTGGAATGTAGACTGCCGTTAGTTGCGGCCAGAGATGGCGGGATGGGCATGAGTTCATGCTGGAGAATATTTTCCAGGTCTACCTTGCGACCTGCTCTGTAAGCTGTGATGAGCCTTTGTAGAATCTGCCTGTCCACTTTGATGATGTTTTGCTTGTTCTTGGAAAGTTGCACGACTTCATACAAAGAGGCAAATGTTTTGGCTTTGTTCTTTCGAATGGGTGACTTCAGATCCAAGTGCTGGTCACTATCTGGAGGTTCACACAGACGTTTGTCCACAAACACTTTCATTTGTGCCTGTCCAAGCTGTTCTGCACCAAGCAGAGATTGTTGAATCTGGGGTGTGACCACGTCCTTGTTGATTATGTTCTTGAGTGTGTCCCCACCATCTTGAAACACACCGTGCTCTTTTAATGATAGACATATTCTGCTTTCATCCACATCATCTCTTTCCATTCTACTCTTTGTGCACTCTGTGTGTGTGTACTCATTGTCTTCATCATCTGTTGTCAGTCTCAGCATCGCTGTTGTCTGAGAAGCTATGACTGTTCTCAGATTATACGACAGTGTCCATCTACTGAGGGATGTTGGTATCCTGGTGATACCTACTAGGCCTCCACTCTTTTTCCTGTAGCATTTAGCCACTCTGTACTTTGATCCGCTGAAACCTGATTGAAGCGTCGATCACTGCGTTTTACCACGAAGTTGCCTTTCTCAAACTCAAGGAGGATTTCTGGTGGGAGAGCAGACATCTCAGCCAGGTACACAGTACCTCATCTGGCGTAGTTTATATGATCGTACCTGAAGAAGAAGGGCAGCATACGTTTGAAAGCATACAGGTGGAGATCCCACAATCCATCACGTTGCGCTCTTGTGAAACAGAGTAGGATGCTGACCATAGTCATATAGTTCCACCAGAATGCAGCATTCGGGTCATCAACTGCAAGTGATGCAGAAAACTCTTTCATGGGCTGCTGGAATCGGTCTTTGGTCAGTTTGTCGACCAGTTGTGCGATGTGATCAGCATCTATGGACTGGCAGAGTCCATAGAGTTCAGCTCTCAGTGTAACATCAACCTCATCCAGATATGTGTAAAGCTGTGGGAGTAGTAGTTGCCAAAGAGCCTGCAGGGTAAGCTTGTGGGTCCTCATAGCACGTGCATACCCCTTTCCTGCCATGACATGCTGAGCAGCATTTGCTCCCAGAAGATCACACTTGACCCATAGCTCCCTCAGGCCAGAATCAACCATGTGTTGTCCTATCACACCCAGGAAGTTAATGGCAATGTGAAGGCTTCCAAGGCAAGGTATAAGCACGTCCTTGTATTCTTCTACTGACCACTTCAGTTCTAGCAACTTTGGATAAAGTGCCTCATCCACTGTCAGAATGACATGTTGTTGTTCCATTGATTTGGAGACATGGAGCACTCGCTTGACGACTGTGTTCAGTGTATCGAGTTCAGATGCAGGAGCCTGGATGATAGGTAGGTACCCTACTGTAGTTTTCTCTGGGTTGACTGTGCTTGCCTTTTGATTATACAATGTCCAGGAAGGCTTTGGTTTTTGAGATGTGCTGGACATGAAGGAGGCCATGTCTGTAGCTTGTGCTTTCTGTGCTGCGGGACATTGTTCAGATGACTGTGTGAAACAGTCTGCTGCTAATACACCACTGACTGGCCGCTCTGTGATTCCTCTCTTTGGTGCAGGTATGATATCAGTCATTGCCTTGGGGATGTTGAGGGTGTCTGACCTGGAGTAAAGATCAACTCCTTCAAGGAGATCACCTTCAGGTGGACCACGTTGCCAGGCAGCCACTTGAGTGGCATGGAATGTCCCTTTTCCGTCCAGAGTGTATTCGTTGATGTCAACATTGTCCGCTGAGAAATGAACAAAGCGTCCCGTTACCAGATTTTGTGGAATAACGGCACCATCATCCCCCATGGTCTCCAAGGTCGTCTTAGCCAGTTCAGTGTCAAGTTTGATTACCTCACGGTAACTCATAACATGACCTGCCTGGTGAAACATGTTCACCAACTCCTTTGAACGTGTAGCTTGATGAAGGGTACTGGCCAGTCCTATGTGCTTCGGAGTGAGGAACTTGTCTCCACTAGCTGTGTACATAAGATCCTGTGCAATGCTGAGGACTCTAAGCTGTCGTTTGGCTGTGTTCTTATCATAATCTTCAACGTCATCCTCCAGCAGGCGCTGACCACCTAGTAACAAGTTGAGGAACATGTACAGGCTGTTGGGTATGCTGTCTATTGCTCTGTTTTCACTGATGTCTATCCCCTCTTGTTTTGGATGTGAGATCATATCTCTTCGGATCTGCAATGCCACATGGACCATGTTCAGGAACATATCTTGATCCTTATGTTTGAATGTAGGAATAACTCTATGAATATTGGAGGTGTCGTCTTTCAACATTGTTGATACTGGAATATGCCGGTATTTGGATGGAACCAAGACAGTACGAGGTTCATTTCGAGGCTGATCATGCAGTACAACAAAGTCGTATATGCCCTCAAGACGATCAGCTATTTGTTCCTTGAAGGAGTTCCTTCGGCTTAGAAATCTAGATGGTATATCTAATTGAGCCTCATTAGCTAGTGTAGAGTACCGGTCCCACACATGTACAAGATCCAGAATATCAGCTTGATTTGCTGATTGTTCAAGTTCTTGGCAGATCCACTCTAATGGCATGTCTGTGCTCGGAAGTGACTCCATGCGTTTGATCCTACGTTCAAACCTGGTCTTGCAAGTCATGTGATAACTTCCTTCTGCAGCTATAAGATCATTTACACAAGCTAGTCGCACTCTTAAGAATGAATCACACTTTGCTGCTCGTAGGATTCTGCTGCTGAATTCCATTTCTTGTATGAAATGTAGTTTTTCTTTCTGATCTTGTTGGCAAAAGATACACTGCTTCCAATCTATTGGAGGTATTTTGCTCCGTAGAGTAACATTTTGCGGAGTTGGGGTGGATGCAGATGAACTTGGTTTGGTATCTTTTTTCAATTCTGCCTTCAATTTCCTTTCTATTTCACGTTTATTCATGTATTTTGCTCGGCAGTCCTTATGCCATAAGAATTGCTGAGGCAAGTCTCCTTGAAGTATCTCAGTAAGTCGACTGGTTGCATCTCGGAAGTTGTCATGGTGTAATTTCATCCGGAGCTGTGTTACAGTGTCAGCTGACTGGAAGCCATCCTTACTAACTGTCATGAGATTTTTCTTATTGTCTTCCTGGCATATGATGCATAACTGTGGCTCAGATGACATTAAGCTTTCTTGAGTATAGTCTATTTCTTCAGCCATGGTTTTTGTCGCCAATTGACTAATTCAGACCTACAAGAAAGAGTGAGTTTTCTTAGAATACGAATGCAAAGTCTAAGACAGTGGTTCCCAACCTGTGGGCCGCCGAGGTATTGCAGGTGGGCTGTGGGAGGCCTTTCAATAGACAAAAAAAAAAATCATGAAGGATTACTAAAAGGGATTGAATGGTTCAAGTAGAACAATACCCGAAGAGATTTACATTCAAATAAATTAAATGAAATACATTTAAACAGTCTTTCCACCAATCAGTCAGTGTAAAAGCAAGTGTGTTAAGTTTACTGACTTTGATGCTATCTAGCCAATCGCGTTAGCATGCTAATCGCACTAGCGTGCTAATTGCACTGACCCACTTTTGCACCAAAAAGTTTGGGTGGGCTGTGGAAGATTTTCAGAATTTAATTTGGGCCTCAGCAGTCAAAAGGTTGGGAACCTCTGCACATCGATATGTATTGCTCATTGAGCCAGTAATGTTAGCTAGCCACTAACATTATCTAATCCTAGCAACTAAAATGAGCTATTTAGGCTTCTTTTAGTGATCAAAAATGCTAAAATATATACTGCAATTATTTGAACTACATAGATAGATATATAGATAGAAATGTTATTGATCCCCTTGGGATGTTTATGAAAACATGTCACATTATGAAAATATACACTGGACATGACTTTACCTGTTAGCTGTCTTATGTTTCCGATCAGCCGTTCTGAGAAGTGTGAGAAAGGCTAAGCTTGGGGGTGGGGTGGGGTGATATTGGGGAGGGCAAAGGTTGGGGAGTGCATTACAGCACATTTGACACATTTTACCTCAACACAAAATACAACTAAGTAAAAGTAGCCTGATAATATTAAGAATAATAACTTAATTATTAATTAGTTCATAATAGTTCATAGTTAAAAACAACTATTTTTGCAATATCTAAGCAGTTTCTTCACATTACATCTCAAATCTGAATATGGCATTGAATTGCCCATGTAGGAAAACTTACAAAAGCACATTTAGTTCATGTTTGTACCTTGTTTAGTCAAAAGATATACTGAAAAATAGATTTCAGCCTGGCGGTGGCGGCCATTTTGAATTTCTCAATTTTGAGGGAAATTTGGGACATTTTTGAGCTTCATATACAGCAGATTTGGATTCAGCACCCCTTAATACCCCTAGAAATGTTGTATAATATAAATAATCACAAAATGCCTCCAGCACTTTAAATAAGCACATTTTCAGAAATTCTGCCTAGACTATTAGTCTCATTTATAGTAATGGAATACACCTTCAGCTGATACAAATGAAATCCAGCAGTTTAGCTTAGCCCACAGTAAAGCAATGCATCTCTTTTGCCATTTTCCAGTTATTCAAACTCCTTTCTACACTTTGTTAACTTACATCTAATCATTCAGTTGGGAACTACATTGAAACCTTATGACATACTCTAGCTAAGATACAACACACTAACCCCTGGACAACATGCTAACACTAAGCTGAACAGACTAACTTACAAAATAAACAGTAAAACAACAAGGAAAAACTTACAGCTTCCATGGTTGAAGTGGACTGTCACCTAGACTACAGGTGGTGCTGTGATTCTCTATGATGTCATAGATAAATGGACAAAAAGGCTGTATACAAATGAGGCATGTGTAGGAGCAGTGTTTTCTGTGGGAGACAATATCTCCCTTTGGCGTGGACTTTGTTTTTTCATTTTTCTGACCTTTTACTTTCACAAAAAATAAAAAATGTAACCAATAATACGCTAGTTTAGCCTTAATTCATTTTTGTAATTTATTTATTTTATAGTCTGCATAGAAAAATTCTCGCCCTTAAACAAATGTAGTTGAATACCCCGTCTGTTTGTACCTTGCTCACACTGTAACACACACACACACACACACACACACACACACACTGTTCTTCTCAGAGCTTTTTTTCCTGCATTTGGAGCCACATGGTTCTCTTATTTGTGGTTTATGAGTGGGCTCTGGGAAAGGGTGAGCTGTGGTACTGTGGATTGAGCAAAGGTGGAGTCTGGTGTAACTGGAGGAAGGGTGAGATTGGTTCTGTGGCTGGATCAAGTGCGGGCTCTGTGTGTGCTGGTGATGAGCAGAAAATCTGTTCCATAAAACAGCTTATCATCAGAAAAACTAATATCACAATTGTCCGAAATTGTCCACGCTTTCTTTTCTGATTCTTCTACAGGACGGATTTTGACTGCATATTCATTTTGCGAGCAAAATGCCCAAAAGAAAAATTGAAATAAATAAATAAATAAAATAATAATTACAGACATGCATAGGGAATTAATATTGTAATAGGCCTATGTAACAACCAATTTGTGTTTTTTAGTAAATACATATATAGAATAATGTAGTGTAGATTATAGCAGTTAACATAAATTTCACCTCCTGTTCTTGATCTTAATTCTTAATTAATGTGCAACTTTTAGTTCCTACTAGTGGCATCATGTTTTTTTTCAAAAAAAGACACTTACCAGGGATTTCTCATTAAAACCTAACTAAAAAAAAAACTAGTTTCTTTCTCATCATGCACCACAGTATCCTGGAACAGAAAAAAACTTTGTGCTATAACATACAGCAAGTTTTACTTACTTGTTCTAAATAAAACTTCTCTGTTACTGTTACCTTTCTGCATGTGTCTGGTGCCTACTGTCAGTCATTTCTAAAGCTTTAGCTCTGCCAAATAGTTTAACCTATTCTTTGCTACATTTATATAGGTTGTATGTGGCTTATTAGGAATAAAAAAAATTAAAATAAAGCTATGTTAATATGTTAATATATAAGTTGCAACATCTGGCTTTAGGTCAGCTGTCTATCATGTAAGATTTTGTTAATGTTGTAGTCACATTAGTGTATTAATATATACATTTAATGCCACTATATTAGGTATACCTAGCTACCTGAACTGCCTAAATAATAATGTCTAATGCAGCCACAACTTTGCAATAAACTCAGACTTCATGAAGTTTAAAATGTTTAGTTTTTGTTGAAACTATTTTGTACAGGTGTTACATCATACAGAGAGGTATTTCTAATATTTTGTCCAGACTATTTGTATCAAGGAGTATGTTTGACTATGTTTGTTTTTAAGGAGAAGCATTTTGGTTTTGGCCTTTTTGGTTTATTGCCAAGGAGAATGTCTGTAGTTCTGTGCTTTGTATTGTAGGTGGAAACAATATCTATTTTATTAATGTCCTATTATCAAAATGAAATGATTCATTTGATAAACTTTTGGAGATGATTACACACACACACACACACACACACACACACACACACACACACACACACACACACACACACACACACACACACAAACACCTAAACACACACAGTTGGTGTACAACTGTTTTGGATCTCATACAACAGAATGTAAACCCAACTCTGATTGGATCACCAAAATGTGTCTGGTTCAGGATATATGGATTGATAAATACTGAACCAAGTCCTTCACAGTGACAGGACACACAACACGGTCCTTGCATGGACTGTACTGAGGTGTTACTAGGTAAGCAAAAAAGCTTAATGGAAAGGTTATTTTTTCTTTAAAGATTGTTGTTGTTACAGTTGTACATGCATGCTGAACAAAATATCTTTTAAATGTTCCTAATATTTTAGAATATTATTGCAGAAAACGAGAAGCATGGAACCAAAGTTGACTGCCAACGGGACTTACACCATAAATGAAATACATCCCTGCTATGAATCAGATAATACAAATTACGTATTGACAAGTAACCCTTCCATAATATGTCTATCAGTATATATTTTCCTTGGCTCATTGTCTGTTGCCACAATATGTGGAAATCTTCTTGTAATAATCTCCGTCATTTACTTCAAACAGCTCCACACTCCTACCAACTACATCATCCTGTCTCTGGCTGTGGCTGACCTGCTTGTAGGAGTTGTAGTTTTTCCTTTCAGCATGGCATTCTCTGTAACCTCATGTCTGTTTAATGAGAATTTATTTTGTAAAATACGAGATGGCTTCGATATATCACTGTGCACATCTTCTATTCTGAACTTGTGTTGTATTTCCATAGACAGATATTATGCAGTGTGTCAGCCTCTGGCATACAGAACTAAGATAAATGTTCACATAACTGTGATAATGATCCTGGTGAGCTGGAGTGTTTCTGTTCTAGTTGCAATTGGCATCATAATTGGAGGATTCAGTCAAGGATCATGTGAAGAAATGTGCTCAGTTCATATTGTAATATCAAACACTATGGGGCCTGTTTTTTCATTTTACCTCCCAGCAATTATAATGCTCTGTATCTATCTGAAGATTTTCCTTGTTGCTCAGAAACAGGTGAACAGCATCCAGAGCACAAAGTCTGGTGCAACTGTCAGTAAGATGGAGAGAAAGGCCACCAAAACTCTCGCTATAGTTATGGGAGTTTTTCTCTTATGTATGACTCCTCACTTTCTTTATCTTGTTTTTCTGCCATTAGCTCATGAAACCCCTCCACTTCCTATGATTGAAACACTTAACTGGTTTACATTGTCAAATTCCATGCTGAATCCCTTTATATATGCTTTCTTTTACAGCTGGTTTCGGTCAGCCTTTAAAATGATCATTTCTGGAAAAATATTTCAAGGTGACTTTGCTAACTCAAGACTGTTCTGATTATTATTATTTTTACAAATTATGAAACAATCTCAATTTATTACTGAAGCCTCTATATTACCTACCTTAATCTAGAGTTTAAATTTTAACATGCCAATAAACATTTCAATGCTGAAATATGAATTTCTATGCCTATACTTTGTGTGCATTTTTATGTAGCCAATATAAATAACAATTAGAATTGTTACAATTACAATGCAGTGTTAGAAGATTTTACAAGAATACTTAAACAACAGTAACTAAAAAGCCAAAAAACATTGCTAAATCACAAGGCTACAAAAGGAGGAAATTAATAGTTTGGACTGAAATTCATTACATCATTACTTTTTAATAAAGGTTTGTTTCGAAAGGTTTTTGTGATTGATGGTGCAACCATCATACTGGTTTACATAGTATACCATATAATCCTCAAACAGATAGGTATTATTAGATAACTATTAGATTTTAAGTTTGTGCCGCTCGAGTGGCAACCTGTTGAAACAGCTTGCATTACTTTCTGTGTCTGTGTAATTCAGTAACAAATATCATTATATCACTAATATGGTTTACTGAAGCCATCATGCTTGACTTTGCACAACTGAAATACATAAAAGATTCCTTCCACACATGATCACCATTTTTCAAGTCCGTCTTAACACAAAAATAAAAGGCCTGTATGTTATTTGAAAGTGATATTGGTTGCAGTATCATTTTGCCTCTCTCTGCTGTCTGTGTAGTATGTTCTACATGGCCAAAATCCATAATTGCTGCAACACTGTACTCTAAAGTACATTTAGCCCCCTGTACTGTACAATGAATCCAAACAGTGAACACAATAACTGGAGGAAGTTTGGGTAAAATTTGAGATTTGGATTAATTCTGAGCATTTTATTTCCTGTGAATGATATGAGTTTGCCTGATATTTTTAGGAACATTTTATGCAATTATCTGTTGTCATGTATTTTCTTAGATTTTAACATATATATATCATATATCATAAATACTTAATAGACTTCTTTTTGACGAAGTCTTTGTTTTCTTCTCATTGTTCTCTTAGCTCTTTGGTTGTTTTAACTGTTTCTCAGAGAGTGAAGGCTCTGTGACTATAGCTTGTGTTCAGATCAAACTATTTCATTTAGTTTTATTGACATAAATTAATGAAATGCTGAGATATAGACCTACTGTATATATTTTTAAAGTCAAAATAACAGGGCCTCGTAACCCCCTGTGAAGCTTTGGTGACCCATAGTGGGGGTCCCGATCCCCAGGTTGGTGACCAGAAACTGCTATAAACTAACCAACTGAAAGCCTTATCTTGAGGCTTTCTTTGTTGTGGACTACTGTAGAAACATGGTGGACTCCATGGAAGAGGACCCGTTCCCTCTTTAGATAAAACAGCTCATTCTAAGGTTACAAAACATAACGATTCTTATTTTCAGGTGATTATACACTAATGAAAATATACCTTTTAATATCATGTTCCATTTTTGCCAATAGATCCTCCTTAAATGTTACACATCGGACCTTTAAGACTTGTAAAACTGCTGAAGAAATAAAGTACTCAAAACAGCTTAAAACCACAACTTTTTCTGCACATTGGTAACAAAATAATGTATGAATATCTAAATACATTACACTGTTTTGAAAATGGTAAGCAGCAAATATAGGAACACAACACAGATATAATGTAAAGAAAGCTTTTTGGTGTAGTTTTTTAAAAATTTTGTTTAAAGGTCTAGTGTTTAACATTTAGAAGGATATATTGGCAGAAAAGGAATATAATGTTCATAGTTATGTTTTCATTAGTGTATAATCACCTGACAGTAGGAATCGTTTTGTTTTTGTTACCTTAGAATGAGCTGTTTTATCTAAAAATGTCACGGGTTGCCTTTCGTGGAGTTCACCATGTTTAACTTCCATACATGTTTCTACAGTAACCCAGAACAGACTAACCAAACACTAGCTGTACATAGGGCCTTTTGCGTTTCTCCTACAGAATTCACAGACCGTTATTCCCAGGTTCTAAAATACAGGTTCCAGCCGTGTTCAGTTAGTTGCAATCTCCAACTTCCCCTCTAGATGCCACTAAATCTTACACACTGGTCCTGTAAGTACTTCAAATTACAGTTAGTCCGTAAGAGTTCAGTCCTGGGTGATTTGATGCACGGCATCGGGAGAAATTTGGGGTTCAGCTCAAGGATACTTTGACATGTGGTACCATGAGCTGGGGATCAAACCCACAACCTTCCGATTAAGGAGCAGCCTGCTCTGCCTCTGAGCCACAGCCGCCCCTGAGGTTAGGCAATAATTAAGAATTTTTCCATAATTTTGTTTGCAACTTCTATCTTGTGAGATTCACTGTGACCTCACCAGCTAATAAGGCAAAATGGCAAACATTCACTGTCATTAGCAACCTATTTTCTAGAACCTATTATTTGATAAGGCATAATTGGTAAGTTCAGTTTGCTCACAAACACTAGTACATTGAAGTGTAGTAAATGCTGACTTTTTTGCACATGCAGTTAATACATTGGTATGGTATTTTAAGGTAAAGTTAAGGGAGATACTGCAAAGAATGAACGGACAGATGCACCTACACTCAGTCAACCATTGGGATGGGTATCGTTTAAATTTAACTAATTTTAAATGTTAACAGAATTTTGGGGCGCCCTGGTAGCTCACCTGGTATCATGTACCAAGGATTAGTCCTTCTGCAGGGGCCATGGGTTAACTCCGACCTGTGGCCCTTTGCTGCGTGTCATGCCTTCTCTCTCTCTCTCTCTCTCTCTTTCTCTCTCTCTCTCTCTCTCTCTCTCTCTCTCTCTCTCTCTCTCTCTCTCTCTCCTCCTTTTCCGTCTATTTTGAGCCATCCTATTTGATAAAGGGGAAAAAGCCCCCTAAAAATATAGTAATTTAGCAAGTACAATGCCTATATGTTATCAATAGCCTGTAACACTAACAATCTGATATGGCCTCTTCATCAGTCCAGAGGACACTCTGAAACTGTGAATTCTTGAACAACAATTCAGACGATGCTTTGCCTATTTTGCACCCATATTGACAGCTAAACAATCTGCTAGCTAATGGTTACTTATAATCATTAACTCGTGTATGTATAAATTGTCGGTGTGGGCTCTAGGCTGCTAACATACATAACATATATGAGGTGGATACAGCAATGAGTTTTTTGAGTTGTAAACTGAATTATATGACTATACTGTGAAACACATCAATGCTGGTGTTAAAATTACTTATTACCAAATTTAAAAATGCATACCTTGTAATACAATGCTGAGATAACATTTATAAATTAAAAAAACAGTGTTAATGCTGACTCAGCATTCGCAATCACATGTTCTTCCACAGAAATCTTCTGCCGTGGTTTTTTTGGCACTCCTCCTTTTGGAACTCCTTCCACATTTTTCAACGTAGAAACTCCATTAAAACTCTCAAATATTCCTCATCTTTCAGACATTTAAGCTATCATTCAACTTTCAAATCCAATTTAAACTTCCCAGAATATTACATTTTTTTGTCAATTAGAAACCCCTTCAAACCCACTCACCTCCAATCTCTTCCCATGCATTCATACATTCACTCAGAAACTCCATTCAAACTTTGAAATGTTCACAACAAATAGCATCTTCTCACATTAATTCAGCCATTTCAAATCTTTCATACTTTTCACACAATCGCAGTTCAAAATTCATAAAACTTTCAGGCCTTCTGAGACTTTTCCTTTAGTGTGTATTGTACATAATGTTCAGAGTTAGGGTTAGAGGGGGGGATAAGAATTGTAATCGTCCAAAAATGATCTTATCTTATCAATTTTCTCTCAGAGTTACAAGTTTCACTCCACATACATAATTTATACATCAAACGTAGTGCCGGTCACAGACATGTAACTGCTGAAGCAAACAGACTTCCACTTTGGCTTTATGAGCTTCCAAGCGACAGGAGCACTAACAAACTGCTGCATGAATTTCTATATTAAGTGGAAGAAGAAATTTCAGGAGTGACGCAGAAGCAGCCACTTCTTCCAACAGCCAGTGTGGTCACATTTTTAGCTCTACACACACAAATCTCACCAAATGTTGTCAGTGGGCTCTCGTCTTGCTGAAAGCATATCCACCTTGGTATTATGAGTTCCGGTCTGGGTGCTAGAAGCATAATCATTGCAGGTGTGCCTCAGTAAAAGTCTCTATGAAAAGAAGCCTCTGACCCAGGAGACACACACCAGGTACCATCGCCATGGCAACCCTTAATTGCAGTTGGGAACACAGCTGATTGAGATATGGTGAAGGGTGTAACGATGACCTAGGTATTCTTCAAGATTAAAAGAAAAAAAATGTAATCTTCTTATATTCAAGATCAAGACCACTTTATGACGTTTATTCAGCTGTTCATTGTAATTTAATTATTTATCTTTCTAACTAGAATACTACTTCATCTTATACAAATTAAATCCAGCAGTTCATGTTACCTCACAGCCATAGTAAAGCTATGGAATATATTTTACGTTCTTAGTCCCTTTGCCCCTTTTCCAAGTATTCTAACTCCTTTCTACACTTTGTCAATTTATATCTAATCATTCAGTTGGAAACTATATTAAACCTTATGAAATACATTACATAGTTTAGTCTCATTTATAGTAATGGAATACACCTTCAGCTGATACAAATGAAATCCAGCAGTTTAGCTTAGCCCACAGTAAAGCAATGCATCTCTTTTGCCATTTTCCAGTTATTCAAACTCCTTTCTACACTTTGTTAACTTACATCTAATCATTCAGTTGGGAACTACATTGAAACCTTATGACATACTCTAGCTAAGATACAACACACTAACCCCTGGACAACATGCTAACACTAAGCTGAACAGACTAACTTACAAAATAAACAGTAAAACAACAAGGAAAAACTTACAGCTTCCATGGTTGAAGTGGACTGTCACCTAGACTACAGGTGGTGCTGTGATTCTCTATGATGTCATAGATAAATGGACAAAAAGGCTGTATACAAATGAGGCATGTGTAGGAGCAGTGTTTTCTGTGGGAGACAATATCTCCCTTTGGCGTGGACTTTGTTTTTTCACTTTTCTGACCTTTTACTTTCACAAAAAATAAAAAATGTAACCAATAATACGCTAGTTTAGCCTTAATTCATTTTTGTAATTTATTTATTTTATAGTCTGCATAGAAAAATTCTCGCCCTTAAACAAATGTAGTTGAATACCCCGTCTGTTTGTACCTTGCTCACACTGTAACACACACACACACACACACACACACACACACACACACACACACACACACACACTGTTCTTCTCAGAGCTTTTTTTCCTGCATTTGGAGCCACATGGTTCTCTTATTTGTGGTTTATGAGTGGGCTCTGGGAAAGGGTGAGCTGTGGTACTGTGGATTGAGTAAAGGTGGAGTCTGGTGTAACTGGAGGAAGGGTTGGAGATTGGTTCTGTGGCTGGATCAAGTGCGGGCTCTGTGTGTGCTGGTGATGAGCAGAAAATCTGTTCCATAAAACAGCTTATCATCAGGAAAACTAATATCACAATTGTCCAAAATTGTCCACGCTTTCTTTTCTGATTCTTCTACAGGACGGATTTTGGCTGCATATTCATTTTTTGAGCAAAATGCCCATAAGAAATTGAAATAAATAAATAAAATAATAATTACAGACATGCATAGGGAATTAATATTGTAATAGGCCTATGTAACAACCAATTTGTGTTTTTTAGTAAATACATATATAGAATAATGTAGTGTAGATTATAGCAGTTAACATAAATTTCACCTCCTGTTCTTGATCTTAATTCTTAATTAATGTGCAACTTTTAGTTCCTACTAGTGGCATCATGTTTTTTTCAAAAAAGACACTTACCAGGGATTTCTCATTAAAACCTAACTACAAAAAAAACTAGTTTCTTTCTCATCATGCACCACAGTATCCTGGAACAGAAAAAACCTTTGTGCTATAACATACAGTTTTACTTTGTATCCAGGAGTATGTTTGACTATGTTTGTTTTTAAGGAGAAGCATTTTGGTTTTGGCCTTTTTGGTTTATTGCCAAGGAGAATGTCTGTCGTTCTGTGCTTTGTATTGTAGGTGGAAACAATATCTATTTTATTAATGTCCTATTAAATGAAATGATTCATTTGATAAACTTTTGGAGATGATTACACACACACACACACACACACACACACACACACACACACACACACACCTAAACACACACAGTTGGTGTACAACTGTTTTGGATCTCATACAACAGAATGTAAACCCAACTCTGATTGGATCACCAAAATGTGTCTGGTTCAGGATACATGGATGATAAATACTGAACCAAGTCCTTCACAGTGACAGGACACACAACACGGTCCTTGCGTGGACTGTACTGAGGTGTTACTAGGTAAGCGAAAAAGCTTAATGGAAAGGTTATTTTTTTCTTTAAAGATTGTTGTGGTTACAGTTGTACATACATGCTGAACAAAATATCTTTTAAATGTACCTAATATTTTAGAATATTATTGCAGAAATCGAGAAGCATGGAACCAAAGTTGACTGCCAACGGGACTTACACCATCAATGAAATACATCCCTGCTATGAATCAGATAATACAAATTACGTATTGACAAGTAACCCTTCCATAATATGTCTATCAGTATATATTTTCCTTGGCTCATTGTCTGTTGTCACAATATGTGGAAATCTTCTTGTAATAATCTCCATCATTTATTTCAAACAGCTCCACACTCCTACCAACTACTTCATCCTGTCTCTGGCTGTGGCTGACCTGCTTGTAGGAGTTGTAGTTTTTCCTTTCAGCATGTCATTCTCTGTAACCTCATGTCTGTTTAATGAGAATTTATTTTGTAAAATACGAGATGGCTTCGATATATCACTGTGCACATCTTCTATTCTGAACTTGTGTTGTATTTCCATAGACAGATATTATGCAGTGTGTCAGCCTCTGGCATACAGAACTAAGATAAATGTTCATGTAACTGTGATAATGATCCTGGTGAGCTGGAGTGTTTCTGTTCTAGTTGCAATTGGCATCATAATTGGAGGATTCAGTCAAGGATCATGTGAAGAAATGTGCTCAGTTCATATTGTAATATCAAACACTATGGGGCCTGTTTTTTCATTTTACCTCCCAGCAATTATAATGCTCTGTATCTATCTGAAGATTTTTCTTGTTGCTCAGAAACAGGTGAACAGCATCCAGAGCACAAAGTCTGGTGCAACTGTCAGTAAGATGGAGAGAAAGGCCACCAAAACTCTCACTATAGTTATGGGAGTTTTTCTCTTATGTATGACTCCTCACTTTCTTTATCTTGTTTTTCTGCCATTAGCTCATGAAACCCCTCCACTTCCTATGATTGAAACACTTAACTGGCTTGCACTGTCAAATTCCATGCTGAATCCCTTTATATATGCTTTCTTTTACAGCTGGTTTCGGTCAGCCTTTAAAATGATCATTTCTGGAAAAATATTTCAATGTGACTTTGCTAACTCAAGACTGTTCTGATTATTATTATTTTTTTTTTTTACAAATTTTGAAACAATCTCAATTTATTACTGAAGCCTCTATATTACCTACCTTAATCTAGAGTTTAAATTTTAACATGCCAATAAACATTTCAATGCTAAAATATGAATTTCTATGCCTATACTTTGTGTGCGTTTTTATATAGCCAATATAAATAACAATTAGAATTGTTACAATTACAATGCAGTGTTAGAAGATTTTACAAGAATACTTAAACAACAGTAACTAAAAAGCTAAAAAACATTGCTAAATCACAAGGCTACAAAAGGAGGAAATTAATAGTTTGGACTGAAATTCATTACATCATTACTTTTTAATAAAAGGTTTGTTTCGAAAGGTTTTTGTGATTGATGGTGCAACCATCATACTGGTTTACATAGTATACCATATAATCCTCAAACAGATAGGTATTATTAGATAACTATTAGATTTTAAGTTTGTGTCGCTCGAGTGGCAACCTGTTGAAACAGCTTGCATTACTTTCTGTGTCTGTGTAATTCAGTAACAAATATCATTATATCACTAATATGGTTTACTGAAGCCATCATGCTTGACTTTGCACAACTGAAAAACATAAAAGATTCCTTCCACACATGATCACCATTTTTCAAGTCCGTCTTAACACAAAAATAAAAGGCCTGTATGTTATTTGAAAGTGATATTGGTTGCTGTATCATTTCGCCTCTCTCTGCTGTCTGTGTAGTATGTTCTACATGGCCAAAATCCATAATTGCTGCAACACTGTACTCTAAAGTACATTTAGCCCCCTGTACTGTACAATGAATCCAAACAGTGAACACAATAACTGGAGGAAGTTTGGGTAAAATTTGAGATTTGGATTAATTCTGAGCATTTTATTTCCTGTGAATGATATGAGTTTTCCTGATATTTTTAGGAACATTTTATGCAATTATCTGTTGTCATGTATTTTCTTAGATTTTAACATATATATATCATATATCATAAATACTTAATAGACTTCTTTTTGACAAATTCTTTGTTTTCTTCTCATTGTTCTCTTAGCTCTTTGGTTGTTTTAACTGTTTCTCAGAGAGTGAAGGCTCTGTGACTATAGCTTGTGTTCAGATCAAACTATTTCATTTAGTTTTATTGACATAAATTAATGAAATGCTGAGATATAGACCTACTGTATATATTTTTAAAGTCAAAATAACAGGGCCTCGTAACCCCCTGTGAAGCTTTGGTGACCCATAGTGGGGGTCCCGATCCCCAGGTTGGTGACCAGAAACTGCTATAAACTAACCAACTGAAAGCCTTATCTTGAGGCTTTCTTTGTTGTGGACTACTGTAGAAACATGGTGGACTCCATGGAAGAGGACCCGTTCCCTCTTTAGATAAAACAGCTCATTCTAAGGTTACAAAACATAACGATTCTTATTTTCAGGTGATTATACACTAATGAAAATATACCTTTTAATATCATGTTCCATTTTTGCCAATAGATCCTCCTTAAATGTTACACATCGGACCTTTAAGACTTGTAAAACTGCTGAAGAAATAAAGTACTCAAAACAGCTTAAAACCACAACTTTTTCTGCACATTGGTAACAAAATAATGTATGAATATCTAAATACATTACACTGTTTTGAAAATGGTAAGCAGCAAATAAAGGAACACAACACAGATATAATGTAAAGAAAGCTTTTTGGTGTAGTTTTTTAAAAATTTTGTTTAAAGGTCTAGTGTTTAACATTTAGAAGGATATATTGGCAGAAAAGGAATATAATGTTCAACCTAAACACACACAGTTGGTGTACAACTGTTTTGGATCTCATACAACAGAATGTAAACCCAACTCTGATTGGATCACCAAAATGTGTCTGGTTCAGGATACATGGATTGATAAATACTGAACCAAGTCCTTCACAGTGACAGAACACACAACACGGTCCTTGCATGGACTGTACTGAGGTGTTACTAGGTAAGCGAAAAAGCTTAATGGAAAGGTTATTTTTTTCTTTAAAGATTGTTGTGGTTACAGTTGTACATACATGCTGAACAAAATATCTTTTAAATGTACCTAATATTTTAGAATATTATTGCAGAAATCGAGAAGCATGGAACCAAAGTTGACTGCCAACGGGACTTACACCATCAATGAAATACATCCCTGCTATGAATCAGATAATACAAATTACGTATTGACAAGTAACCCTTCCATAATATGTCTATCAGTATATATTTTCCTTGGCTCATTGTCTGTTGTCACAATATGTGGAAATCTTCTTGTAATAATCTCCATCATTTATTTCAAACAGCTCCACACTCCTACCAACTACTTCATCCTGTCTCTGGCTGTGGCTGACCTGCTTGTAGGAGTTGTAGTTTTTCCCTTTCAGCATGGCATTCTCTGTAACCTCATGTCTGTTTAATGAGAATTTATTTTGCAAAATACGAGATGGCTTCGATATATCACTGTGCACATCTTCTATTCTGAACTTGTGTTGTATTTCCATAGACAGATATTATGCAGTGTGTCAGCCTCTGGCATACAGAACTAAGATAAATGTTCATGTAACTGTGATAATGATCCTGGTGAGCTGGAGTGTTTCTGTTCTAGTTGCAATTGGCATCATAATTCGAGGATTCAGTCAAGGATCATGTGAAGAAATGTGCTCAGTTCATATTGTAATATCAAACACTATGGGGCCTGTTTTTTCATTTTACCTCCCAGCAATTATAATGCTCTGTATCTATCTGAAGATTTTCCTTGTTGCTCAGAAACAGGTGAACAGCATCCAGAGCACAAAGTCTGGTGCAACTGTCAGTAAGATGGAGAGAAAGGCCACCAAAACTCTCACTATAGTTATGGGAGTTTTTCTCTTATGTATGACTCCTCACTTTCTTTATCTTGTTTTTCTGCCATTATCTCATGAAACCCCTCCACTTCCTATGATTGAAACACTTAACTGGCTTGCACTGTCAAATTCCATGCTGAATCCCTTTATATATGCTTTCTTTTACAGCTGGTTTCGGTCAGCCTTTAAAATGATCATTTCTGGAAAAATATTTCAAGGTGACTTTGCTAACTCAAGACTGTTCTGATTATTATTATTTTTACAAATTATGAAACAATCTCAATTTATTACTGAAGCCTCTATATTACCTACCTTAATCTAGAGTTTAAATTTTAACATGCCAATAAACATTTCAATGCTGAAATATGAATTTCTATGCCTATACTTTGTGTGCATTTTTATATAGCCAATATAAATAATATAAATAACAATTAGAATTGTTACAATTACAATGCAGTGTTAGAAGATTTTACAAGAATACTTAAACAACAGTAACTAAAAAGCCAAAAAACATTGCTAAATCACAAGGCTACAAAAGGAGGAAATTAATAGTTTGGATCGAAATTCATTACATCATTACTTTTTAATAAAGGTTTGTTTCGAAAGGTTTTTGTGATTGATGGTGCAACCATCATACTGGTTTACATAGTATACCATATAATCCTCAAACAGATAGGTATTATTAGATAACTATTAGATTTTAAGTTTGTGTCACTCGAGTGGCAACCTGTTGAAACAGCTTGCATTACTTTCTGTGTCTGTGTAATTCAGTAACAAATATCATTATATCACTAATATGGTTTACTGAAGCCATCATGCTTGACTTTGCACAACTGAAAAACATAAAAGATTCCTTCCACACACGATCACCATTTTTCAAGTCCGTCTTAACACAAAAATAAAAGGCCTGTATGTTATTTGAAAGTGATATTGGTTGCTGTATCATTTCGCCTCTCTCTGCTGTCTGTGTAGTATGTTCTACATGGCCAAAATCCATAATTGCTGCAACACTGTACTCTAAAGTACATTTAGCCCCCTGTACTGTACAATGAATCCAAACAGTGAACACAATAACTGGAGGAAGTTTGGGTAAAATTTGAGCATATTATTTCCTGTGAATGATATGATATTTCCTGATATTTTTAGGAACATTTTATGCAATTATCTGTTGTTATGTATTTTCTTAGATTTTAACATATATATATCATATATCATAAATACTTAATAGGCTTCTTTTTGACAAAGTCTTTGTTTTCTTCTCATTGTTCTCTTAGCTCTTTGGTTGTTTTAACTGTTTCTCAGAGAGTGAAGGCTCTGTGACTATAGCTTGTGTTCAGATCAAACTATTTCATTTAGTTTTATTGACATAAATTAATGAAATGCTGACATATAGACCTACTGTATATATTTTTAAAGTCAAATTAACAGGGCCTCGTAACCCCCTGTGAAGCTTTGGTGACCCATAGTGGGGGTCCCGATCCCCAGGTTGGTAACTATGGCTTTAAAGAACCAGAAACTGCTATAAACTAACCAACTGAAAGCCTTATCTTGAGGCTTTCTTTGTTGTGGACTACTGTAGAAACATGGTGGACTCCATGGAAGAGGACCCGTTCCCTCTTTAGATAAAACAGCTCATTCTAAGGTTACAAAAACATAACGATTCTTATTTTCAGGTGATTATACACTAATGAAAATATACCTATTACTATCATATTCCATTTCTGCCAATAGATCCTCCTTAAATGTTACACATCGGACCTTTAAGACTTGTAAAACTGCTGAAGAAATAAAGTACTCAAAACAGATTAAAACCACAACTTTTTCTGCACATTGGTAACAAAAGAATGTATTAATATCTAAATACATTATACTGTTTTGAAAATGGTAAGAAGCAAATATAGGAACACAACACACAGATATAATGTTAAGAAAGCTTTTTGGTGTAATCTTTTTTATATTATTTTTTTATTTTTTTTGTTTAAAGGTCCAGTGTTTAACATTTAGGAGGATATATTGGCAGAAATGGAATATAATGTTCATAGTTATGTTTTCATTAGTGTATAATCACCTGACAGTAGGAATCTTTGTGTTTTTTTTTTTTTTACCTTAGAATGAGCTCTTTTATCTAAAAATGCCAGGGGTTGCCTTTCATGGAGTTCACCATGTTTAACTTCCATACATGTTTCTACAGTAGCCCAGGCAGTTTCTGCAAATATGACAAAAAGTAATTTTTTTTTATAAATTACTTTTAGAAATACTGCAGCTTGAAAACAAACTAAAGTTAAAATAAGTTAACCACAAGGTGTGGAAACTAGCGATGAAAGCAGTGCATGGATGTACGTCATGCCTGCTGTGCAGGCATTAAAGATGCAAATGTAAAACACAATTAAAGTTGCAAGCAGCGTTCAATACGCCCTTGCACCCCGCCCACGTCAGATGGAGCGACAGGTCGCCTTTACCAGAGGTTTGTTTACACAGCTTTTAATTTTCAGGACTATTACACACTGCGTAATGAATAAAATATTATTTTCTATAGGGGGCACGAGACAAGACATGTTAGACATTCTGTTTACATTTGATTAGGCTTCAGGCAGTAGGGGGCATTATGACTATGAGTCAAAATTGGCCTGGGAACGATGTGGAGCCAAGTTACAACACTTATTTTTAAATTTTTTCATGCCAAAATTGGCCAGGTTGCCACAGTAGGTGAGTGTTTGAGGTGGATCTGGACAACCTGCTATGAGGAGAATATCAAGGTGTAAAACATATCATTTCCTGTTGCCAGTAGATGGCCCTCTGACTGTAAGTGAATATTGGCATCTAGATGTCTTCAGGTCGGGACTCTTTTCAAACCTCTGAAGTTTGGGGCAGATTTCACCATGTACATTTTCATGGCGAAACTTTGATTCGATGCCACTCCAGAGACACTCTAGGTCCGTGCAAACTAAAGACCATTGTGATGCTAGATTGCAAAGCTTTTGAGTTTTCATTGAACAATTTACAGTCGATCTGGTTAATTCTTTAGCAGGAGTTTTCTAAAGTACCATGTCTGTAAATTAAAAATGGCCAAACTTCCTGTCAGATTTAGCAATCAGCAATAACTTTGACCTGGAACTCAGCTGGTCCTTTACTTGGTAACTATAGGTAAAGTTACCTTGTTCACTAACTTTTTGTAGTTTTAGTTGACCCATATGTAAAAAATAAACCTCTAATCTAATCCATAAGGACCAAGTGTAAACCTGTAATGATGTCATCCATTGGTTTGTGGAGTTCCGTTTTGAAGCCTCAATTTTGGCTTTATGGTTTGCCTTTACTGTTTGTCTGAGCCAGCAGAGGTGACGTACTGCGAGTTGAGCTGCGCTCATTGGCTGCACAGTTTTGACTTGTCCATTGCAGGAAACAATGGCGGCTTACCTGGTCAGACACAATCTGTATTACAGATTAACAGTACACTAAAATATGTTGCTGAAACGATTTTAAGTGAGAAACAGGCAACACAGTGACAGAATCTTGCTTCATATTTGATCAGCACTGCCTAGTTTGACAATTTGATCTGTGTTTGGTGCGTTGAGCTGGACAGACTCACTATGAATGACTTGTCAATCACAAGGTAGCCCCATGACAAAAAAATCAAATTGGGCCCCCTCTGCGCAGCTGTTGTCACCACATCTCTAGGTCCTGCCTGTCCCATCAAAAGCTTTACATAACTCTAATTAAAGGCTTGCAACTGTCTTGCTTCTTGTAGTTCAATACTAGTACTAGCACAATATTTACTGCAGGTGATTTGTACATGCATGCAAGTCTGCATACAGTATGCAGTTCACTATTTGATGCAAGATTAAAAGCAACCATAAAAAATGTGCTAAAGGCCATCTTTTACAGTCTCAATGTATTTTTAGTGTAAAATTTAAAAATGGAAAATTCTCTTAACGAAATGTATTATTATTATTAATTATTATTGTCCAGCATCCAGTACAGACAGTAGGTTGTTGTTTTTTATATTTTATTTCACAATGATCATTATGTGAGAAAATAATTGTTATTAATGTGTTGGAATATCTGTCATTACTAAATATTTCATTTTCTTTTTTGTAATGGTAAAAAGAGCAAGAGAGACAGAAATCCCCACAGATTCCCTGCAATGATGCTAACTGGCCTGTCATTGAACACAATGTTGCTCAGCTTCTTCACTGAGACAGGAGGGGTTCAGTGATGGGGAGACTGGGAGGGGTACAGTGATGGGGAGACTGGGGTGCTGCTGACTCATCTGTTGTTAAGTCTGTTAAAAGGGGCAGGGACAATGATTTAATATGAATATGTTGCTAAACGTTTCCCTGAACTGATTAAATGGTGATTAAATGTAGGCTAACACTAGTCTGTAGCTGGCTATCTTATTTCCCTATGGACATTAAGCCAACAGGTTAATACCACTCACAGACTATAGGCTAACCACCTTTCTTGGTGAAAAACTGGGTTACAGATTGACATCCTTTCCTTTGTCTTTCCTCTCTCTCTTTTCTCTCTTTCCTTTTTTGAAAACCAGATTTTGTGATAAGTGCGCTAAAGCAGGACCAAACCATTTCATGCAGATACAGGGGTAGTCGGTCAATACGGGTGTTTACTTTTTGGTCAGTGGGGATATTTAACTTTTACTGCCAAAAACAAGTACAAACAAAGAGATTATTAATTTTATTATTATATTTGAAATATATATACTGAATGATGATGGTTTAATAATTTTATATTAGTTTTTACCTATTTTTTGGGGCCCCTGTCAGTCATGGGCCCTTGGAATTGTCCTAACTTTTCCCCCCTATACGGCGCCCCTGGCCACGCCCAAAAGCAAACCCTGCTTTATAGTCTATTTTACTCTAAATAGGACCCTAAGTTACTAAATGAACATCATGCTGTATGGAAGAAGACTGAGCTAATAAACTTATAATAGACTTATTACTGAGCTAATAAATCAAGTGAGAAGTTGGTTAATTTTTCCATAACACTATATGAATATATTGTTGTGTTATTGCAGCCAATGGAGCTGACCACTACTGGCCATGACATAGAATGCAGGTTTAAGACACTTCTAGATGGCTTCACTTCACCAAATGGAATTAATAACAGAAGGTTATGTGAGCTGCTGCAACAGGCTGCCACTAGAATGGTACCATCTTGCATGTCATCCCCTTTTTTTCTCTCCCCCATTTCCTGTCTATCTTAAACTGTCAATATCAAATCAAGGCATAAAAGGTCTTGAGGTTTGTGGTAAAAATGTTTGTGGATCATGTTTAATTTAAAGAAGAATAAAGAATTAGGATAATTGGATTGGACCAACCAACCGCTGGTATATTTTCACTTTATGTAAGTTATCTTACAAAGTTGACCAAGAAGAGTCTGTGAGCCGGACTGGCCAGCGGACTTGCTACCTACCCCAACAGGCGCTTTTCGAGCTTCTATACTTACCAGGATTTGCAATCAATGTTTATAAAACTGCCAATATGCTGATTCTACATAGTTGACTTCTCACCTCAAATATTCCCTAAAGTGAATTTTGTGATAAAATAGCATTAAAAAAATTATTTTAAAAAAATGACTGGAAGCGTCACAGGAACACCATGGAACAGTCTGAGGAGATGCAATGGGTTTTGGGACAGTTGAGTATGTGCTCATGCCACATACTCAAAAATTCTTGCCAATGCAGTCTACGTCCAGACATTTCTCACTTGCAAAAAATCCACATACAATGAAGTTGGAACGCACTACATACTACATTTGATGTTGTGCTTAGTAAGAATAGTACGTTATTATGTGATTTTAAGGAGAAGCCTCTTGGCTGAGAGCTTTTTTTGGTTTTAGGAAATTAATTTTAAAAGATTGTTTTTGGACATTAAAACACTTGCAAACAAGCATTCACTTACCTACACAAACACACACAGCTGGCGCATCATTATTCATCATTTTGTATCTTTGTATCTTATGCAAACACGATGTAGGTACCTACATCTGATTGGATTACCAAAGTTTGTCTTAATTTATTGGGTAATGAGATAGGGATTGATAAATGCTGTACCAAGTCCAAAGGTTCTTCACAGTGACACAGTGACACGGTCCTTGCATGGACTGTACTGAGGAGTTATTAGGTAAGGCAAAAAGCTAAATGTTAAGTCTTTTCTTTAAAGATTGTTGTTGTTACAGTTGTACATACATGCTGAACAAAATATCTTTTAAATGTTCCTAATATTTTAGAATATTATTGCAGAAATCGAGAAGCATGGAACCAAAGTTGACTGCCAACGGGACTTACACCATAAATGAAATACATCCCTGCTATGAATCAGATAATACAAATTACGTATTTACAAGTAACCCTTCCATAATATGTCTATCAGTATATATTTTCCTTGGCTCATTGTCTGTTGTCACAATATGTGGAAATCTTCTTGTAATAATCTCCGTCATTTACTTCAAACAGCTCCACACTCCTACCAACTACATCATCCTGTCTCTGGCTGTGGCTGACCTGCTTGTAGGAGTTGTAGTTTTTCCTTTCAGCATGGCATTCTCTGTAACTTCATGTCTGTTTAATGAGAATTTATTTTGTAAAATACGAGACAGCTTTGATGTATCACTGTGTACATCTTCTATTCTGAACTTGTGTTGTATTTCCATAGACAGATATTATGCAGTGTGTCAGCCTCTGACATACAGAACTAAGATAAATGTTCATGTTGTTGTGATTATGATCTTGGTGACCTGGGGTATTTCTGTTCTAATTGGAATTGGCATCATTATTGCAGGATTCAGTCAAGGGTCATGTGAAGAAATGTGCTCAGTTGATGTTGTAATTGCAAACACTATGGGGCCTGTTTTTTCATTTTACCTCCCAGCAATTATAATGCTCTGTATCTATCTGAAGATTTTTCTGGTTGCTCAGAAACAGGTGAACAGCATCCAGAGCACAAAGTCTGGTGCAGCTGTCAGTAAGATGGAGAGAAAGGCCACCAAAACTCTGGCTATAGTTATGGGAGTTTTTCTCTTATGTATGATTCCTTACTTTCTTTGTATTGTTTTTCTGCCATTAGCTCATGAAACCCCTCCACTTCCTGTGATTGAAACACTTAACTGGCTTACATTGTCAAATTCCATGCTGAATCCCTTTATATATGCTTTCTTTTACAGCTGGTTCCGATCAGCCTTTAAAATGATAATTTCTGGAAAAATATTCCGAGGTGACTTTGCTAACTCAAGACTGTTCTGATTATTTAAACAAGGATTTTTTAACAAGTTATGAAACACTCTGAATTTATTACTGAAGCTTACTTACCTTACTTAATTTAGAGTTTAGATTTTAACATGCCAATAAACATTTCAATGCTGAAATATAATTTTTTTTATACTACCACTAACAGTACACTGTCTATACTTTTGTAAATGTTTATGTAGCCAATATAAATTATATAAATAAAAATAACAACAGCAACACTTTTTGTCTCAATGTATGCTGCTATATTACCTACATAAACGAACAAGATCATCAGGGAGAAAACTGTCTTTTTCTATATTGTTCTTAACACCTGCCACAAGGTTGGATTTGTTTAGATTCCCTTTGAAATCAAGACACCACAATCATATTCTGGGTTATTGCAAAATTAATTTAGAATTGAAATATCAATAAATACAGATGCACATAATGAACAAATAACATAAACGCATTCTGCCGGTAGTAATTATTCCTGTGCCTTTTCTTGCGAGCACTACAAGCTTTTTTTATTATCACTATGTGTTGTATTAAGCCTATGAGTGTTTATTTACTTAATTTACTATAATGATTAGAAAGGATGCTTTCAGTCATTTGAAGTGTTTTCATGCGCAAAGTAATGTTAATGTAGCAAATATCAAATAATATCAAATAATAAATATTAAGCAGCAAACTTGTTATAATGTTAAAAGAGGAAACAGGATTTATCAGGATGACTGCTGTTTTACTTTAAACAATTTCCCGGTATGAATCTTGAGTGTGTGTGGGAACTTTTGGAGGTGTAAAATATTACATTAATTAACTTTAGTATTATTTTTCGGTATCCCCTGCAGCCCCCGCCACCACAGCCTCAATGGATTGGGGTAATACATTTAGGCTGCTATAAAAGCTGGCCAATATGTTCACTCTTTCTGTCCCTTCCTACAGCCTACCCTACATCACTATCCTTGGTTTGCCCCTTCAACACCTCCATAACACAGCAACCACACATCCATTCACTGTTTCACTGCTGATCGACAAACACCATGAGTTAACCTTAGTTTTAATAAATTCTGCTTATTTTAGATGTAACCTTTGCATGGACTCCCTCCTGGTCACTTTCTTGGGAAATTATGTTACAATGTGTTTTATATTAGATGACTGCTATCTAGCTAAACTTTTGTTGTTATAGAACTGCTAGTTATTGGCATTGCAATCAAGTTTTTTATCCGGCCAATGGCCAAAGTATAAATGAAAGTGTATTAAATCATCTCTGGATTTTCATCTGCACACCAAAAAACACAAGTGTAAATGGGACCTTTGTATCTGTAGCAGTCATAGAGACAGGGCAGATGTACAGTATCTGGGTAGACCACCTAGGGTATGGGAAGGGATCCCACAGCCAGTTTCTTACACTCCTGAATTGATTTATTCTTTTTATCAACATTGAGCCAATTATCTCCATGTGTTAATGAGATTTTCATTTTAACCTGAATTTTGAAGCACTTCCTAAAGTCTGCCTCAATACGAGCACTAAATGAACCACTGATGAATCAGTTCTGATATTTAATAAAAAATAATGTCCCTTTATTGATCCCTGTAGGAGAAAGTTAGGCACAGCAGGACAGGGGAATGTAGTGCAAACTGCAAACTGCAAATAAAATAAAATAAATGAAATGCAAATATAATAAAAATCTAGAAAATATAAAATGTATACACTATATACAACATAGTTGAATATGGTCCAGATGGGTAACTGGAGTGGATAACTGTACATGTGCAATGGTAAAGATATTGTGCAAATAAAAGAAAAAACATTGTTCTTGGCAGGTTAATGGTTGACAGTTCAGCAAACAGAGGTGGGAGGTACTGGGTGCTGTGGCATTGTGGAGTCACAAATGAGCCTTTAAAGCGCTTTGAGGCTCGGGGCTGGATGAGTCTGTGGCTAAAAGTGCTGAGACCCTTGATGTCATCCCCCTTCTGCACAATTCTGGTGGTGATAGATTGTCTCCTCCTAACAACAGGCCTGTATGTAGGAGTAAGCTGTATCGGGTAGTGGTCAGATTTGCCAAGAGGGGGGAGGGTGGTGGCCTCCTTTGCATTGGCATACAACAGGTCCAAGGACTTATCCCCTCTAGTGTTGCAGGTCACGCACTGAGGGAAGTTGGTGAGAGTCCTTGAGATTTTGGCATGGTTAAAATCTCCATTTATTATAGTGAGTGCACTGGGAAGTGTCTGCAGGTCTGCTACAGTGGAGTGGATGACGTCACAGGCGCGCAACAATATTGCTGATGGAGGGATGTAAACACTGACAGCAATGGCAGCTGAAAACTCTGGGGGCAGATAGTATTCCCTCAACTCAATGGTCAGCAGTATAATTTCAGGTGTGCAGATTGTTTCCTTTATAATATCATGTCCTGGGTTACACCATTTGGAGTCAACAAAGACAGCAAGCACTCCTCCCAACTTCTTACCGCTCTGTTTCTTCCTATCTGCCCGAACTAGCAAGAAGCCGGCTAGTTCCACTGGACAATCAGGCTCGTATCTTACCGACATGCCTGCTCAAGTTCTTGTCTCCTCGAGAGTTGTCCCCTTAACTCCACTGGCACTAGGACAGTCAACCTATTTGAGGTAAACTACTGAATAATAAGTATGGGTTATAATAAGGTTCTGCACAATCAACCTATACAGATGTTTGCTGGTTAGGACGGACCTTAATGCCTATAAGATGGATTTCAGTTAATTTTTTTAGATATTAATGGTCCCCAGAGGATGAATCCTATTGACTTTGGTCATCCCCTGACTTTTCATTTAGCGCCACCATTGGAGAAGAAGGCCAGGCTGTCTGCTCTCAGCATGCCAGGTTTGCCTGAGAAGAAAGACGAGGCACAAAAGTTATCTCAGAAAACGATGCCCAACTCCATACAACACAATTGCCAGCTGTTTAAAAAGGAAAGTCTGTCCATAATATCATACGGACAATTTGATGCTTATTTTTGCTGTGAAACAAGTTAGGCATTAAAATCTTAGATTTCAAATTTGCTTTTGACGTCCTGTCAGCTTTTAGAAAATGTCTGACATAGCTGACATGACCCTGACTCTTTAACCATGTCATACTCAGCTGTTCTTTGTTTTACACATAAACATTACATAATTGCCTAGTGACAATCAGATTGTTTATACAACACAGCCAAGGAGAGCTCAGTGAACCACCAGAGCAGCTCTGGGACCAAAGAATTAACAGTCATTCACACCTCTAATAGGAGAGCTTGCATCATATCATTGCATCAGACTGTAAACAAACTGTGCGAGACAAACTGAATATACTGAATATACTCTAAGTTAGGATACTAATACTCTTGAGTCAATGCTGTGTGACAGCATTGTTTTTGCTGCAAAGTCACAATTATGTAAGGAAATATATGGACTAAATGGGTGTTGCAAGTCGTCCATACATACAAGCAAACTGTTTCCTGACAATGTTCCCTAAAATATCTGCTTGTAGCAACTAAATTCAAATGATCATTTTTAGGTTTATGTTTCAGCAAGTTAAAGCACTTGGTAAAAGTTAGGGAACGATCATGTTTTTGGTTACATGTTGAAACAATCAATGGGGACATGAGACAGGACATGTCTCAAACCTGATCTCCAGTCTAGTCCTGCAGATGGTAATGCCCATATAATTAGTAGATGCTGATTCCGGGTTTGTGAAGTGAAACCAACACAGCTGACTTTCTAACGGCCAGCAGGTGCTCCATGGCCTGCAAAAACTAAGCCCAATAGTATCAGAATCAGAATCAGAATCAGAATCACTTTTACTGGCCAGGTATGTGTGCACATACAAGGAAATGTACTCCAGTTATACAAATAGTGTACGTGTAGTATTGAATCTTATGGGGAAAATGACCCTACTTCACACTTAATTTATTACCTCAGTGAACAATTTCTGAATGGGTTTATGGTCTCATTTGCTAGTTTGAAATGTTGCTATAGCAAAAAGTGAGTTGAAACCAATTGGAACCAATGACCAAGGAGTGGGCTAACCTGGCATGCTATACAAGTCATTGCATTCCATAGACTTAAGAGTTTTTCGATTTGGGAAGGCTAAATATGCAAAAGGGAAAATAAAAAAAGTGCAACCCTTCAAACTCTTTAGATGTATTGCTCCCCATGCACACCACTTCATGTTGAGAAATCCAAAACTGTGCCAGCAGTACTTAGTTACAGTTGCTAATCTATGATTGGACAATCACAGCTCAGGGAAGGGTTTTAGCAAACATCCATTAAGGGAACAAGCTGGAGATATTTATGTATGTGAGAGGATCAAAGAAACAGTATAGTAAGAGATAATGACAACAATACTGTACATGCAATAGCTATTACTTCTTGGTTAACAGGTATGGTATAAAAGATTGTGCAGTTCCCAAAACAACTGAAAATTTCAATCACTACTACTTGTCCCGGAAAGCTTTTCTTTTCTTTTCTTTTGCTTAAATATGACTTATTGTAAATGTACTTCAGATGTAACTGCATTAAAAATTATAATTACTGAAAACTGAATTGTGTTACAAGATTTCTCTATCCAGAAAGCATGGAACCTGAAATAATCAACAAGACAGATAATGTTAAAATCATGCATTTCTGTGAGGAATCAGGAAATTCCTCTTGCATAATGGCAATAACCCCTTCGACAATACGCATGATTTTATATATGTTCATTGGCAGTACTGTATCTATTTTCACAATTTGTGGAAACCTGCTTGTAATCATCTCCATAATTTACTTCAAACAGCTCCACACTCCTACAAACTGCCTCATCCTGTCTCTGGCTGTGGCTGACCTGTTTGTTGGGACTTTAGTTTTGCAGTTCAACATGGCACTGTCTGTTAAGTCATGTTTGTATTTTGGGGATTTAGTTTGTAAAATGCGACGCAGCTTTGACATCTCACTAATGACAACATCAATTCTCAACTTATGTTGTATTTCTATTGACAGATATTATGCTGTGTGTCAACCCCTGACATATAGAACCAAGATAAATGGACGTGTTGTTGTGATCATGATCCTGGTGAGCTGGACTGTTTCTGCTTTATCTGGATTTGGCATCATATTTGTAGGACTTAAGCATACTACCTGTGAAGGAAGGTGTTTCATATTTCATATTCCAAATTCAAATACAATTGGCTCTGTTGTCTCATTTTACCTCCCATCAGTCATAATGCTCTGTATCTACCTGAAGATTTTTCTTGTTGCACAGAGACAGGCACGCAGCATCCAGAACACAAAGTCTGGAGCAACTGTCAGTAAGATGGAGAGAAAGGCCACTAAAACATTGGCTATAGTTATGGGAGTTTTCCTTTTCTGTTGGACTCCTTTCTTTCTTTCTTTAACCTTTAATCCTGTGACTAATTATTCAGTCCCATCACCTCTTATTGAAACTCTTGTTTGGCTTGGATGGTCAAATTCAATGCTTAATCCATTAGTTTATGGATTCTTTTACAGCTGGTTTCGAGCTGCTTTCAGAATGATCATTTCAGGACAAATATTCAATGGCAATTTCACAACCTCAAAGCTGTTATGACCAAGTGGCTAGATGCAGGTAATACATGTTTAATGTAATTCTAAGTATAAATAACTTAATGAAAGGAGTGCAGTGTGTGTATTGGAACCTTCTAATTGAATTACTGTATATTCTGAATCAAAACAATAAATGGAACAAGGATAAATTGTCTCACAGCAATGTGGTTATTCACTTTTATAGAATGTAATATAAGAAAATGATCAATTAAACTAAAAGCATTGCTCATGTTTGCAATTCGAGAATTTCGTAATTAATGAAAAACTTTTTTCTTAACTCTTATAGGGATTTATTACACTTATGGATTCATGGAAAATTTGGTTTTAAACAAATGTAATATGTAGCTAAGGTATTGCTTTAAATTGAATGCAATAAGAGAGTCTGCATTATACAAGGGACCGTTCAAAAAAATAATGTATCATATTAAACTTGATGACTTTTCAAACGTGTATCCCTCTTTGAGGAAATGTTTATTTTATCTATATTTACTTGCAATAATGAATACATCTACTTGAAGTGCATGTTTGCAGAAAGACAAAATTAGGTCAAAACAATGAAACAAACAATATATCAGAGAAGTAAATGCAAGATTGTCCACCCATCTGGTGTGCAACAATATAATAAATATATGGGAAGTTATTATTTTCCAGCAATATACCTCCCATGAGATATTGTATATGGTATTGTATCAAATACTCCTGTGTGTAACATTTAGGATGATCTATTGGCATTAATTGAATATAATATTCACAGGTATATCTGTTTAGTGTATAATCACCAGAGAATAAGAATAGTTATGTATTCGTAACCTTAGAATGATGGGTCACCAAAGCTTCACAGAGGATTGTGAGGCCTTCTTGATTTTAAGCGGTGTAAAAATATACAGTAGGCCTATATCTCAGTGCTTCATTAATTACTGTCAAGAAAATAAAAATTTTAATGTTATTTTTAAAGATTAGATTCTTTTTTTAAGATATAAACTTTAAAGACCAGAACACAAGCTATATTCATGGAGCCTTTACTGTCTGATAAACAGCCTCTTTTGTGACCTGCATTCACAAAGAGTTAAAATAACCAAAGAGCTAATAGAACAATGGGCAAGCTTCAGGGAGAAGAAACACAGAATTTGTCCAAAAAGAAGCCTATTACATATTTATGATGAAATTTAAAAGGAAATACACATTACAGACAGATAATTGTATAAATGTTCCTAAAATATCAGGAAAACAAATGCCTGATCAATGTTCTAAGGAAATTTAAAATTCCTCCAAATCATTAACTATACACAAACTGGAGAAAAATGGGTCAATCTTGTGCTGATAATAGGAAGGAAGTTTAGCAGAGTTGCTATCTGACTCCAGCTACTACAGGTCAAGATTCATCATATACAGTGTCTACCTATGGACAGACAAGAACAATTCTTAGGGCATCCTCAAAGACTTTCATTCCCACAAATGGTCCCGCCTTGCTGGAAGGCAGTGAGGTAAAACCTAAGATAAAACAAAAGTGCTAAGAGTGTTTGTGAATTCATTTGTTCTCTGATAACTGAAATAATATTCCTTTTCACAGAGAGTTGAGGCAGGGCAGCCAAAGGACATCAGAGGGAAAACCACCAAACAGGATGAAGTGGATAGTTATGTTATTGTATGGCAGCTACTGTTTTGAATTTTGAAGTTTATTTGCTTTAAAATACTTTCTTGTAGTGATTAATTAAAAGAGATAACCTCAAATGGTGATTGTGTTTGATGGATTAAGCACATGCACAAACACACACAAGGAGTTATAGGATTTCTCATTATATTAAACTACCTAAAATGCAAGTCCCTTGAAAATTATATGCAAATGAGAGAAAAATTAATCTAAACCATGTGTGCTTTAGATAGGGGAAGACCAGTGATAAAATCGAAGGAAAAAATTAAGAAAAACACCTTGGTATGGTATTCTCTGTCAGATTCTCTTCAGTCGGCATCTGATGCCCAACTTTATTTATAAAGCACCTTTCAAAACCAAAGTTACAAGGTGCTGTACAGTGCAAACATTAGAAAATAGATATAACAAAATAAAACGCCTAGATTTCTTGAGGCATGCTTAACATTTGCTGCTAAGGGACAAATACAGTGTTGAAACTTTCCAGAAATTCTCTCGGGGCCCATTATGAGGAATTCTGTTTTGTCAGGGTTAAGTTGGAGGAAGTTATCTGACATCCGGTCCTTGATGGCAGTTAGGCATGGGTCCGCTAGAGCTGCTTGACTAGAGGTACATAGGACACATTGCTATTGGCTAACGTGACAAGTCCCTCCCAAGCTGCCTGTTTTCACAGGAAATGTGTAAATATGCTATATTCCAGCGGAGGGACAAATGACTCATGGGTAAGAGGGGGCAAGCTAGTGACTGGAAAACTGGCGTTTAATACCATCAATACTAGCTGAGAGGTCTTTTAAGCAGCTTATAATGTAAGCTTATAAAAGAAGGTGTGATTTTTTTTCTGTGGCTGGATCGTACTGTTAAGGCTAGGGGAGTTAACCCAAGTGCCAAACACAGAAAGGCAGGGAGACTGGGATTGAGCTATCGGAAAAAAAGATTTCAAAACATTGAAGGGGGTGGGTTTGAGCTGGAGTGAGCAAAATGGGAAACAGGAGCTGAGCTAAGCCAGGTGTGCATGGTAAAAGAAAGAAGTGGAGGGCATGACATAAACGCCCCAGGTCGCCTTCCATTGAATCCACTGTACAGTGTCCGTCCATCGAGGTTCCAGGATGTTGGTGAAGCAGGTCCTCTGTAAACATGTGGCCACAGCCATCTCAGATTTATTTATTATTTATTTATTTGGCCAGCCTGAGTCCCAATTTATCCAGACTGGACATTAACCACAAACAGCCGTAAGTCCAAACTGGGCAAGCATGGTTCCTGTCCTGGCTTTCTTCCCTCTCCTCCTGGTATGACCACAGCACCCACTGTAGTGGGCTGGTCAAACCAATCTGGCTGGGTGGATCGTCTCAAGGCCGGCAGCTCTTTCATTCAAACCCCACTCTTCCTTTTCTAATGACTGTAGGCTACTTCTGTCATAGATGGGTAATGAGTATTTCAGCAATAAAGCTGGTAAAAAAAAAATATTTAACCAAGTTTGAAGACACTAACCTACTCAAAAAGGTGTAGCAAGTTTGAAGGGGCAACCTGCCAGTGCTTTTGCATGATGCCACAGGGAGTTGTATGATTACTCATATTGATCTACATAAAATTCCACTCCCTTCAACAGAATATGCAAATGAGCCCACAATAATGAATCTACTCAGTGTGTGGTCAGTGGCACAGAGAGCAAGGATTCCCATCAGTACAGATGCACAAACCAGGATTGATGTGCATGATGTGAAACATAAAGAGCACTAAACTTTATTGAAAATCTCCGGAAACTTGAAATCTTTTTTTATCATTTATGCATGGAACCTGAATTCTTTGCCAACAGGTCTGATGATTTTTTTGAGAACAAACATCTCTGTAATAAATCAGCAAACGTATCTGGTATGAGCGCACTCACCACCAGCACATATTTGTTATATATTTTTATTGGCTCTTTATCAGTTCTTATAATGTGTGGAAACCTTCTTTTAATAACCTCTATCATTTACTTCAAACAGCTCCACACTCCTACAAACTACCTCATCCTGTCTCTCGCTGTAGCTGACCTGCTTGTTGGGCTTACAGTTTTGCCTTTTAGCACAGTACTGGCTGTGAGCTCTTGTTGGTATCTTGAAGATTTACTCTGTAAGGTTCGAAACAGCTTTGATATCTTTCTGTGTACATCTTCTATTTTGAATTTGTGTTCTATTTCTGTTGACAGATATTATGCAGTGTGTAAGCCTCTGAGGTACAGAGCTAAAATAAATGTCCATGTTATTGTGATCATGATCCTGGTGAGCTGGACTGTTTCTGCTATAAATGGAATTAGCATGACAATTTTGGGAGTGAACAAAGGACAATCTAACAGGTGTGTTTTATTTCAGAATTTAAGTTCAGCAATTATGGGAATTTTGTGGGCGTTTTATTTCCCAGCTACTTTAATGGTCACTATCTACTTAAAGATTCTGATGGTGGCACAGAGACAGGCACACAGCATCCACAACACAACCTGTCAGAGCACAAAGTCTGAAATTAAGAAGGAGAGAAAGGCCACCAAAACTCTGGCTATTGTAATGGGAGTTTTCCTCATCTGTTGGACTCCTTTCTTTCTTTGTATGACCTTTAACCCTTTGAGTAATTACACAATACCTGTTGCTATGATTGCAGCATTTAAGTGGCTTGGATGGTCAAATTCAATGCTCAATCCATTGGTCTATGCTTTCTTTTACAGCTGGTTTCGATCAGCTTTCAGAATGATCATTTCTGGGAAAATATTTCAAGGAGATTTCACTCATTCTAAGCTCTTTTGACTCATTATTTGAGAGCAAATGTCAGTAATATCTAGGGGTGGAAGGGTTCACAAAAAATCCCAGTTTGGTTCATATTTCTGTTTTGGGGTCACAAACACTGTCTTTTTCATCATGTTTTACATTTATTTATTTGGCTTAAAATGTTGTTTGCATAGCCAGAATTCTAACTAGTAACATACAGAACATTCTCATGTTCTTATTAAAATAATAAGTTGTTTAATTAGTGCAAACAAAAATACTGCTTTAGTTTAACATAAAAACTGCAACATTATCAATCATATGCTGAACTTATACTCATCTATTGAAACTATTTGAAAGAAAAGGCTACATTAACCTTTTTCTAGTACATTAATTTCTCTTTTACTGTACTTACTTACTTAATTTACTACAGAACTCTCAAACTGCTTTAATCTGCTTATCTTGCTCCCTTCACTACTCTTTTCCACACATCCACACACCTATGATCTGTTCATTATGAAACTGAGACGGCATAAATCAGACCGTAGCGGCCAGCCATTGTCTATGATTGATGGGAAACACTGTCCCTTGTTTCTTTTCTTAAAATGCCTTTTTGACCTTATAGCCTGTTTTAAAGGAACTGAACAATACATACATGACCCGAACCTTGACTAGCAAACCAAATGATAGGGATGATTTTCCTGAACCATTCCACTCCTAGTCATATCATCATCAGTTTGGCATTTAAGATTTACATCTCTTTTCCACTGCATGCCATATATATAGGACCTCATAGAAATGTACAACTTTAGATAGGAATACATATTCAACAGTACATATGGTAATCTCAATATAAATGTCTATAAAAAAATAAAGGAAAAAAAGTAGGAATATATCACTTTGTTTGCCTGATTTACTGTATATATTCAGTTATAGATGCTGCATCTATACTCCTCGGCCATGTCGCTCCTCAAATGTTTGATTGGGTATGGTTATGCATGTACATATTTATATGTATATATGCATATATATATATAGACATATATGTATGTTTGCATGTTGTTTGTAAAGCACTTTGTAATGCCGTGTTAAAAAGTGCTATATAAATAAAGCTTTACTTACTTAAACTGACCTGTTAATGAATGGTGAAATGATCTTTCTCTTACAGTAGTTTTCAGTTTAATCATGCTAAATATTAAATAGAGCAGGGTAACTGTAAAGTACTGAATAAGACTTTTTCATTTACATATTCTAAGATTTAAATCAATTTAAGCAGCAAATTTTCCACAATTTTATGAAGATTACACTGAATAATGATAAAATCTAGGCTTCACTGTACAAAAATAGTACAAAGTGTCTGAGTTTGGTCTCAGTGTATCCTATCAATGTATTCATGACACAAACATAACAAATATAAGGATATGGGCTTCAGCATCTTTTATTGTATAAGCATTTTTTTTGCAGTTCTCATTCTCTCTGTTTTGACACTTGCACACAGATGCTCTGAATCTAAGCAGACTAAGCAGAGCACCTGTCTGCTTTTGTGGTCCATGATGATCATCGCTATTTACTCTGTCCACAACTGTATAATTAAAAATGGGCCTAGAATCCATGTTGTCACGGAAATGTATGAAATTGGTATGCACATGGATCATGTCCAGAAATTCAATAGCCCAGGTAACTTGAGTGTACTTTGTCCAGTCTGCACCAGACTTTACATTTCTGATGAGAGTCTGAAAACATCTAAAACCTGAAAGTCCAGAGTTGGGACCAGGAAGCAGAGCTGCTGTCTTTCACACTTCTCTGTGCTTTCTTTAGAACAGTCACCCACCCAAAACCCCATAGAGACTGTGTCTGTCCCCTGACCACCTAAATTATTTAAAGAAATAAAAAAAAAAAAGAGGAGTTAAACATAAAAATCTAATAAAAATTAAAACTAACTCCTCAGTAGCACACAATAAGAGAATGAAATGTGGACTGTTAAATATCAGGTCTCTGTCCTCTAAAGCTGTTTTAGTGAATTAAATAATATCAGATTATGATATTGATTTGCTTTGTTTTACTGAGACCTGGTTGTCCCACGAGGAGTATGTTAGCCTAAATGAATCCACCCCCCCCAGTCATATTAATACTCACATTCCTCGAGGCACTGGCCGAGGAGGTGGAGTAGCAGCCATATATGATTTGAGCGTTTTAATGGACCCTAAACCTAAACTAAATTATAATTCATTTGAAAGCCTTGTTCTTAGTCTTTCCCACCCAAACTGAAAAACACTGCAGCCAGTTCTATTTGTTATAGTGTAACGCGCTCCTGGACCGTACTCTGATTTTATATCTGAATACTCTGAGTTTTTATCAAGTTTAGTCCTTAAATAAAAAGTAATTATTGTAGGTGATTTTAATATTCATGTGGATGTTGACAATGACAGCCTTAGTAACGCCTTTATCTCATTAATAGACTCAATCAGAGTGTAAATAAACCAACTCATTGTTTTAATCCCCCTCTTGACCTTGTTCTATCATATGGCATTGATATTGAACATTTAATACTCTTCCCACATAATCCTTTCCTATCTGACCATGTTTTAATAACTTTTGAATTCATACTATTAGATTATAAGCCATTAGGCAAAACTTCCTACAGCAGATGTCTATCTGACAGTGCTGTAGCTAAATTTAAGGAGGAGATTCCTTCAGTGTTTAATTCAATGCCATGTCTGAATTTAACAGAGTCCTATAATAACTTTAGTCCCTCCGAAATTGATAATCTTGTTGATAGTGCTGCAGGCTCACTACGAAGAACATAAGAGTCTATCGCTTCTACCCGCCAATTAAAGCAAAAAGGTAGGAAATCTGAAAGGAAATGGCACTCTTCCAAATGATCAGAATATCGCTCAATTTGGCAAGATAATCTTAAAACCTACTGAAAGGCCCTCCGTAAAGCCAGAGGAGCCTATTATTCAGCACTAATAAAAGAAAATAAGAATAACCCTAGGTTCCTCTTCAGCACTGTAGCCAGGCTGACAGAGAGCCACAGCTCTATTGAGCCACATATCCACATAAACTTAAGTAGCAACGACTTTATGAGCTTCTTTTATAATAAAATTATTACTATTAGAGAGAAAATTGATCACCAACTGCCATCAACAGTTATCAGTGGCTCTCCAAGTTCAGGAACTTTAACTAATGTAAACTTAGATATATATTTAGACTGTTTTTCTGCTATCGATCTTCATCAGTTAACTTCAATAATTTCTACATAGAAGCCATCAACCTGTCTGTTGGACCCAATCCCAACTAGGCTGCTTAAAGAAGTTGTACCCTTAATTGGCACTTCTTTACTGGATATGATTAATCTTTCTTTATTATCAGGATATGTACCACAGTCCTTTAAAGTAGCTGTAATTAAACCCCTTCTTGAAAAGCCCACTCTTGACCCAGGGGTTTTAGCCAACTATAGACCAATCTCTAACCTCCCCTTCCTCTCTAAGATTCTGGAGAAGGTAGTCGCCAAAGAGTTGTTTGACTTTTTACATAACAGTAGTTTATTTGAGGATTTTCAGTCAGGATTTAGAGTTCATCACAGCACAGAGACACCTCTGGTTAAAGTAAATAATGACCTTTTGATTGCTTCAGACAATGGACTTGTCTCTGTACTTGTATTATTAGATGTTAGTGCTGCATTTGACACCATTGACCATAATATTCTTTTACAGATACTTGAGCATCAAATTGGCATTAAAGGAACCGCACTAAGCTGGTTTAAGTCATATTTATCAGATCGTTCACAGTTTGTACATGTTAACGACAAATCTTCAATAAATACTACAGTTAGTCATGGAGTTCCACAAGGTTCTGTACTTGGACCAATACTATTTACTTTATATATGCTCCCTTTAGGCAAAATTATTAGGAATCACTCCATTAACTTTCACTGTTATGCAGATGATACGCAGTCATATCTATCAATTGAGCCCGATGAAATTAATCAATTATATAAATTACAAACATGTCTTAAGGACATAGAATCCTGGATGAGCTGCAATTTTCTGATGTTAAACTCAACGTTCTTGTACTTGGCTCCAAAAATCTTAGAGACACACTGTCTAAAGATATAGTTACTCTAGATGGCATTACCTTGGCCTCTAGCACCACTGTCAGGAATCTTGGAGTTATCTTTGATCAGGATTTGTCATTTAATTCCCACATGAAGCAGACCTCTAGGACTGCCTTCTTTCATTTACGTAATATTACAAAAATTAGACACATCCTATCACAGACAGATGCAGAAAAACTAATCCATGCATTTGTTACTTCAAGGCTGGATTACTGCAACTCTTTATTATCAGGTTGCCCCAATAAGTCCATTAAAACACTCCAAT